TTAAAGGAAGAGAGAAAAATGGTATCGGAACTGGTAGGTTGTTTTAGTCTGCTTGCTTGTGCATGAGGCGGCCCAGATACGTAACACCGAGAAGAAGCAAGCAAATAAAATAAAAGGAGAGAAATTTTATTTCCTTTCTAGTATGCATCTTGATGGCCCCTTGCAGCAAGCCTGCGTGTGTGTGATATCTCACCCGCGGAGATTCAAAAAGGTCTGTAGACCGAATGATACCGTTTTTTTAAATCGTTCGCTTTTACCCCGGCTCAATCGTGATTGACATCAAACGTTATCATATTTGCCATGCTTATCAGAAATTGGCGCCTCTTTAAAGACGTATCAGTTCTCAGCTTGCTCGACAACATCTAGCGAGACGAGACGGTGAAGGTAGCTCAACCGCTACCAACGGTACTGACGTCGATGGCTGGGGGCAACCCGTCTTAGGGACCGTATAAGTGGCCCCATAAGTGGCCCCGCGGACAGCCACCCGTTTAACACCTTACCAGCTTTTTGATATGCTTTTGATACGTGGTAAGTCGAAGCTAGCTGTTTAGAAAGCCCGGCGCCCGGCACCCTCTATCGACGTCCGGACGTGAATGGACGAGTTTTGGGTGCCTAGTAGCATTGCCCACGCATCCCCGCAGTGACGGGCCATTCGCCGGCTACTATAAATGATCAGCCGGAGTAAATTGTTTCCAGCTGCGGATGGCACGTTATTGTGCGTCTAATATGTCGAATATGTTATTCATTAAGACCCCTTTCCGTATGCAAAGAAACCTTATCGAACAGTCCCCCTGGAATCGTCTTCATCGCGCGTGCGTTGTTACTATTGTCACTCGACTAATTGGAGGTCACATCACTTAGCATCACACATCCGGAAATTCTAAATGCTACCTCTTTCTTCAGCGGCACGCCTTTTTTTTTCTACCCCGAGCTTCTCTACTCCTATCACACATTGCCAGTAACGTAGTTATGCGCACGTATAGCGTAGCACCCAGAACGAGCATAGGCCAACGGGGGAGACCCGAGACATAGTATCCTGAGGCATAGTATCGTCAAAGCTACGGACGGTGAATGTGATGGTTCTTAATATCGAGACGTTTCAGAGTGAGTTCAGACCATCATCGCTTAGCAGTTTTGCAGGAACTTTCTCACCTATCGTGATATGGCGCTTCTAAACTGAACTGGCCCGCGCTCCGAGTCTCGTCTTGTCTTAGAAGCACAAACCCAACTTCCCCCAAAATCTGCAAATGGACATGCGATGACAACGCACCCTACATACATACCTACCTACCTAACTATACGGTCCACACCTGGTCCCTTGTGTGACCATAGGCTACCGAGTCTTCCATTCCCGCGGGCCACCTCTCTCCTAACCTTCCTATCCAGGAAGCTCGGGAGAAAACTTCGGCCGATCTTCCAGAATATTGATCTACCTAGATACCTACTACATACTTCGTACCTCTTGATTTTCCTAGCGAGAAGGTTTCGATATACTATTAGTCCCTTTCGCAGCTAGTATAATAAAATATCGTGTAACCAAAACCCGTAGATCTCTTCCTTGTCGCAAACCACTACGGATGCACGATGACATGCCCCAGCTTGTCGACTTGCTGTCTCTAAATTAATTATCTGGATTTTCCGCCCGCGACGTAGATTGTTCTTGAATACCTCCTACCTACCCTGACCCTGCTACTGCCAACGGCAGCCAAACATCTATGTAGCACGTGGCCAATCATCTAATTATCTTTCATAGGGAGATTTTTTGGAACGAAATTTTAGAGTTCAACTTATTAAGCGCCTCGACAATCCACTTTAGCTGAAAACGAGGGTTTTTGAACGTTCGCCCTAACCAATCTCTCGAGGGGTCCACGGGTTTTCAAGCGGGTCTGTCTTCCGTTCCGAGAACTCGGTCCCAATATGAATTTTATTTATTAGTTATCTTGGCCTGGCCTGGCTAACAAGTATCTACCCTACCTTGGGTTAGATTAGGTACCTGTTATGTACCTACCTACCAGGTGAATTACTACTTCAGTCGGGAAAATGGAAAACGGGGGGTGTTGAGATTATCCATGCCTTGGTGCTTTTTTTTGTTACTTTTTCTTTTCGCCCGGAAGATATCTGCTAGTGACCCCTGGATTTTCACGTAAAAAAAAAAAAAAAAAAAAAAAACTTCCAACCCCTCGTAAGGCTGACCAAGGCGCTGGTATACGACAACCATGGAAACTAGAAATATTGCGTGGATAGATCCTGTTCAAGTTCCATCATCTCAATGATTCCATCCACCCCCACCCGCATGAGCTATCCCATGCTATCCCATGTTTATCCCTCCTTGCATACGGTACCGGCCCTACTCTTCCAAAGTGAAGCCGGCAACAAGTCCGTCAGCCCAGTCATCGTATCGAAGGGGGGCGATCGCTTATAACAAGCACGCGCAACAATCACCCCATCCCTTCTGCCATCCCGAACTTCCCAAATCTACCTGCACTATTACCTACCACCCTCGGATATTGTGGGTAAGGGAAGGTGGCTATTTGCTCATGCCAACCCAAGGGATGAGCGCGAACGGGTTTGGCTGACTGCGTTGTTCAGCTGCGAGATCTGTCGTCTCGACGCTAGGCCTTACCTATACTACTACTACTACTACATAGCTCATTGTGGGATCGTCGTTATGCAAGGCGTCACTATGTTGGACGATGTCTTCCGTAAACAAACTAGGTGCAGATGTCACTCACTACCGTGCTCCACCATGTTCATCCTACATAGCATTAGGTAGGTACCTAGATGATAGCAAGCCAGGTAGCTACCTAAACTGAGTTTTAGTCCCCAATGTTTCTAGCAAACGAGCTTCTAGCCGCCCTACCGAAGGAGAGAGAAAGAGAGAGAGAAAGCGAGAGAAGTGTTCCTCTATGTACGTACCTACGTAGTATACATGCTTATATGTTTACACTCCCACGTGTTTTACTGTACGTTAGGTAGGTATGTTTATTATACCTAGTTACACCTATCTACCTTGTAGTCTATGTAGTTACCTAATACATGCCTAAACTACCCTAAACTACCTGGTAGGTAGACAGTATGAAGTACTTGAAAGAATAACCGAAAGAAAATAACCGGAGCATTCTATCTGATTAAAAGATCTTGGAGCAAGCATTTTTCTCCGAGTTATATCCCGCGGGGTTCAGACTACATAGTAGCGTTTCGATTACACTTATTTTATACCCGAACCTTTGTAAAATATTTAAAATTTAGGTACGCTTTATTCAGTAGAATTGGCCCGATCGGAAAATTTATCCCCGATCATGTGAATATTATAGAAATTTTATAATTAACTTCCGCGATGCAAGTCCGTATGGTTTGAGGTCTACTGTGGCAAGCAACAATACCAACAACAGAATCTCTTTTCTTTTCTCCAAGGGTTCAATTCAAATCATAAAACCAGGGCGACGCTCTGGTCTAGAGAAGAAAAAAAACCCACTGGACTAACCCTAATACAGTGAATCGTCCGCCGGTGGTATCGATGCTCAGTTCCCGTTTACGATCCTTTTCCGCGTAGAGACAGGCAGACGCATAGACTCACGTTATGTACATACCATGCTATAGTACGTTTAGCTTTACCCAGCTTGGATCGTACATGTTTACTCCGGTAACTCCTGATGAATCGCGGGTGGGGACCTTATTTTTCTCTTTCTTTCACACGCCCTACGTAATCTCGAAACCACCTTAGCACATTAACATACATTAGTGTCTATTGGGCCCCGCGGTATGGTTCAAGAAGTGGATTCGAAAGCAAGGGATGCTCCAATAGGATCGTGTTCTCGAAGTTTGATTTACATGCCCAATATTGAGGTGCGTTACCTAGTGTAGTCTACGGTTTTAGTGTTAAGCCCTGGCGTACTTGGTACAATACATCATGCGGAATATAGTGTATACCACATCGTGTACCTAACCTAACCTACCTGGAACATACATACATGAGGTACATGCGTAGAACTTGGTAATATACGTCGTATCGTCGCCCGCAAATCCCATTGTAAACAAGGCACAACAAGGCGCAACAAGGCGCAACAAAGCATAACAAGAAAAAGGGCCCATTCCGCTGCCCTGGGTTGTAGCTGTCCAAGTCCCACTGGCGGAGGTCGCCTTCTCGTGTCGCCGGGCCTATCATGGTTACAGCTGCCACGCCTGCTACGACGTATAATCATGTAGGACCTTCATAGCTCTATATCATTGGAACGATTGTACGACGCTACACCACGGCGGCGTTCAACAGCAGAGCTGACTTACTGGCCTCGACCCGCTGTCGATCGTCCCCGGCTGAGAGCCTGGTACACACCTGCCTGCCTACCTAGGTACCATGTGTGTGTGTGCGTGTGCGTTGCTAATGTCTTGTGATCATATATCTATGCATGCACGTTATGCTGACTGCAGATTGTAGTCCCTTTCTTGCTTTTACTATGTATTTCGGAATTACCTAAGCCTTAGTAGGCTACCTATCGTGTTCCACGACGGTGAGCAATATTCGCAAGGGTCTCTTCTCTCTGGCGGTGCAGAAATTTTCGATGTGATCGTCCAGCTACGTATAAATCATATGATATATGCAGGAAAACCACTGCATGGCTAGTAACACAATGTTACCGGCTGCGAAAAGTCCTACGCCGGGGAGGCGGTAAGTCGTAACGGCTACCGCTATTCTTTTTTCTTACCTCACCTAATTTCCGGCCACGGAGTAAGTCCGTATTAATAATAACCTTAGGCGCCGGTCCGGGGCCGGTACGAATTGGCATTTGGTCCCGGTCCTTGGAAAGAACCACCCGGAAACACATATAGCCTAGGCATCTATTCAATATTAAGTAGGCTTATGCTTACATCACGCCGGCCTCTCAAATAATTAATACGTGACTAAGTTAAGAAGATAGACTCCTAAAACATGGTCAAGCGGATTAGCTAATCCACAAAAGTTCCAACAGGGTCAATGAGTTCGCGCTGTGCCTCTGCACTACGATTCTTTCAGAAAGCCTTAACCTGTAGATCGGGGACCACCCTCCTGATATCCCCTGTACATCGCCGGTCCTAATTCCATCACGTTCTCGTACCTTAAAACCCATGGGAGTGTGATATAAGCTAATGTGTTCGATATGGTATAGTAGGTTGACACCACACCTAGGTCCTCCTCGCTATCGTGTAGAGGCGTCTGCCTAACATGCGGTTCCATCTTATGGGAGGGCTTCTACTACCGTCGGGTATCGAATGCCGTACCGCGACGCCCATGGTGTTTGAGAAAACAGATACCTACGTACCTAATACATGTCAATCCTACAGACGAGGTAGAAAGGGTCACCAAGGAGCCTTGCTGGAAAGGTTGGATGCGTACCTGCGTGCCAGCGTACTTCAACCAACCAGGAGCGTGAATACGTCAAGCCTTAGGAGCATACTCTGTCAGACCTCGTCCGGCATTTACCGTCTGCGACAACAAGGTGCTCCCATAATGATTCTGTATATGCGTTGGTCCGTGTCTGCGAATGATTTGAAGCGGCCCTGACGCCCATTGTCATTAGCAGCAATCCTGTATCATCCCCACCCGCCGGCCTCTGCCCTACGGCGCAGGGTATTTTTAGGGGTGATCATTGGACGATATACGCATAGTCGACTATTATACAATCCTCGCCTCGCCCTGCCACGAAGAGCTTAAGCACTTAAGATAGCTGCCTAGCTCCACGAGCCGGTCGGTGGAAGGAACGCAGCTTTGTACATAACACTGACGGACCCGGTGGGAACGGGAGGAGACATCGGTCTGCCAGTTTCGTCTTCGCACGACGACGATCGAAACTATGAAACTCGTAGGCATAAGCTGGAGGATCCGCTAGCTTGCTGTATCTGACAGTTAGGCAAGTAGATCTACCGCCAGCATTGCGGCGCCAGCATGAGTTCCCTGTCGGATTCGAACCCGTATTTCGGAGGCTGAGATGGGTTTACAACTACTTACACGGCTACGATAGATACTAGATAGGCTATTCGTATGTTAGATGAGACGATTCTTGGGTATGTGGGAACTTGTCTAAAGTACCTACTATCCCAGTTCGTGTTTTGTACTTGTACTCCGCTGGTACGCCGTATTTTGTAACTGCTTTCATAGCCCTTAAAACGTTGAGTCAAAAAACGGCCATTCAATTTCAGATAGGTATCATTTTAATTTTTCCATAGATTACCTACGTTACGGATAAGACATAGCATAGCTCTATAACAAGTTCTTGTGTAACGTGAATCTATAAAGAGTTAAACAATTCATTACCTAGGTAGGTCTTAGGTACTTAGTTGATTGGATAGGTACATGTGTAAGAGTTGTGTTGCTGATTTCGACACTTGTGATTGAACGGATACACCCCTGTCCGGCACGGCTTCAGTTACCTAGTGACAAATAAACAAACGGGGAACCCCGGGTTCTCTCAACTTAATGCTTAGCATGATTACTTTCGTGCTCCATCTATTTTGCCCTACGAGGCGGAGGGAATAGGACTTGCACAGAATCTCAGCCTTACCAGATACCAGACGTCGGTTCCACTTTGGGGGCGGCTAACATCACACGAAGGGACACGCGAGAGCGTAGCAGCGAAAGGAAAGAAAAGAAAATAGCCGGCCCCCAAACTGGAGACGAGGACCGTGCTAGTACTAATCGAGACGTGTTGGCGGCTTTATTAGTTCGTCCTCTAGACTTCACTTAGATATTCGTCCGACGACTATACAATACGAGAAATACTATCACTAGAGTAGCGTAAGTAGAGCTGAATCTTTCAGCTGGAGGTATACTAATGGCACGTGTTGAACGGGTAGATAACGTGGCTTTTCGATCCTTTGCCGCGTGCGTACATAATTAGGTAGACACGTACTTGAGTACTCAGGTACTAAATAAGGCATTCCATTAGGAACAAAAATAGAATGCACCGGTGATGCCCGTTCGCATATACTTGCGACTAGAACAGCGTTCCGCAGCCTTTCTCTTTTGCACCTCATCTCTATTTGCAACTGATGCGGCTTCTTTCCGCAATCCAGATACTCCTAACAATTTAAAAAATAATGCCAACTACAACGTAGGTACCTAACCTAAGGTACCCAAAGCGTGAACGATGGAACAGCAAAGCTGGGTATTTGACTCTGATTTGGGAATCGGGTAGATACATAGAACTACGTCGAATGTGAAACTTGCCGAACCCCCGTGATGGATCGCCAAAACGCAGCTCTCTCGCAGTTCAAACGTTTTATCTATGCAACTATATTCCGTGCATTGACCTAGAATAAGTACCTACGGACTGAATGCGGCTGACGCAGGCTGCTTGCCTTTCCATGTTTCTAACACATCCCTGATGGGCTCCTACGACCTACCGCGGTAACTCCATCCTCCCGTGTTTCTAGAAGCAATTATTATCGTCGTGCAAACGCGAGAAGCCTTAATTATCTGTTGTGCGATATGGAGAATTCGGTGGTGCATGGCGAGTACGGGAGGGTTCTGAATATCTACGTGCGTATAGGACCCAAGCGGTTGGTTGCGTTACGCGATGCAAACAATAGAAAAAAATCAATAAAATAAAATAAAATAAAATAAGAGTCAGCCGACTTGTCCAGGTTTAATATCTACACCGCCTCCTGTTACTCACATTGAAAGCGGAATTTCCCAGCTACCAGTCTGTAGAACCGGAATGCCCGCTCGTGGCTAGACAAATACCTGAAATCTTCCGATTACCTAGCCAAAAGGATCGAGCAATACATAATTTAGTATACATAGGTACGATAGGTGGGTTGGTGGGTAGGCGGGCATTGGTAATGGCCAAAAGACCAAAGCATGAGACCCCGTTTAGGAGTTGATAGGCCCTTTCTTGATAGGCCTCGAATAGGTAGCTGTCAAATGGTCCTCTCTCGCATGATTTCTGTACATCTCGAACAACGAAGACACCCTATTCCTTGGGCACAAAGCAACTAGGTAAGACCAGCTAGGTTAGGTACCTGTTTAACGTGATTTCTGTGCCATCATACACGAGAATGCATAACTAACAAAAGAACAGACGAACTTGCTGACGAAGACAGCATGACGGATTAAAAATAATAAAGAGGATTTGGAGAGCTGAGCTGAACTCGGCGAGTCTAGCAGCTGGCCATATGCTCTCCAATATGGTGTAGTACAAAAGACCATGCAGCCATGCGAACAGCGGCAGAAACAACGCTTGTATTGTACAATATCAAACTGCGCCGTAGGCGCGTGGGTGGGCAAAAGGATCATCATCCCTGGCCCAGGAAACCTTCCTATCCCAGGGCCTCTAGCCCTAGGTCGGCCGACAGATAGCTTTCCCCCTTCCTTCGATCGCACACTGCAGCAAATCGAAAAAAAATTCTCTTTTGCTGCTCTACTTGGTAACGATATATAGTACCTATGAGAAGGATATACCTAGATCCTCGAAGGAATATGTGGGCAGGGGCTGGCATGAGCCTGCCTAGACCGAGTACCGAACTCGTTTAGATAGAGAGAGAGAGGAGTGGCTCTCTTTTTCTCTTTTTCGTTAGCCTGGGAGGAGAAAGTTTAAAGCACGGACAACCGCGCGGGCGTGGTCATAGCAAAATATAGACTTATGTTATTCAAGCCTGATGTTATTATTGTCTTAAACCTGGCTGGAAACCCCAGAAAGCGTTGGCACTAACGGATATCTACCCGTTCCCTGAGGCGCAAACCCGTACCGTACCGGATCGAGTTGAGCTTAGCTTGGCTATCTTTCTTCTGCATTGCTAGGTAGTCGTAATTCGGACAGAAGTAACGGTATGATCTCCTACCTAGATGGTTGTCCAGTTCAGATCTTTAAAGTTGTTGTTACACATAAAGTACATGTAAGTATATAGACCTGTAGGGTACACGTTGCGTCAGTAGCAATGACTGCAAAGCAACGTGGGAGGGACAAGTAGGGGGCTGTCAAACGAGGATATGTTTAATTTGGCCGCTTAGAACCATAAACAGAGGTCGTATTGAAGGAAGAGGAGGAGCAGAAGGGTTCTAGCGGCTTACAAGCAACTCATTTGTTAGGTATGTGGCAGGTACCTATTCAGACCCGAAATACGGCAAGGAAAATAGTACTTGATCTATCTTGGGACATCCTTCAAACCCTATATCTCTCCAATGGCGCACGAAGTTAGGTACGGCTGCATGGCACGCAGGTTATTTTACCATGGCCGCCGCGTATATTACGCACGTCAAGCAGGGCTATCACCACATGCTCTGGCCTCCAAAGGATGGGAATCCTCGACCCTGTTTGTAGCTAGTTACAAGCAGAACATAGGATTGAGCGATATGCACAGCGTACCGCTCAGGGGCTATGGTAGAAGCACCCCGATGTTGATTGTCTTATCGTCACTAATTGAATACATTTCATAGTAATGGTATTATGAATAAGTATTAGTATGTCCTCAAGTACCAACTAGACACAGGTACATGCTGCACTTATGCCAACGAACCAGAATCTCCAAAACGATCAAGACATACCTAGCTATTGTAGAAGTGATAAAAAAAAACAGGCGTACTAATCAAATTAAAATGAGACATATGGATCGCAAAGTGTCAACTATAAGAGGTACCTAAACTATCCAGATGGATCATTAAGCCAAGAAATGAATCCTATATTATTGAGTTTGCAAGTTTCATTATTTTCGTCAGTTATACTATTATATCAGTCACTTACTATAGCATCAAACTAACAGAGGTAGTTAACTTCTCTTATATAAACATAATTTTTGCATGTACCTAACATAGGTATCGATGATACCTACCTAACATATAACTTTTGTCTCAAGTACTAATGTCACTCGTCTGCATGGTAACCTCGAGGACAGCAAAACCCAATGCCATAATCGGAAGCCAGTGGAAAGCTTAGGTCTAGATTCCCGTAGCTAAATCGAATGCAAATCTAAAACCTCAACATTCCTCTAGCACTAGCATGGATCGCATCGCAAATAAAGCGTTCGATCTGATGCGGCACAAGACTATAGCCACGAGACTATCAGCCGTAAGGCGTACACCTACCTATCACAGAAGCACTAGAATTGGCCTTGATAGGAGGAGCGAACATGGGGGCCCCAGTGCGATCGCTATTGTTAACCCTTCACCAGACGCTAAAGCTATAGGGTTTGCTTGCAGCACGGGAGTGGCACAATATCCTAAAGAGGTGTCATACGTTAAACTCCCATGTAACAGTGTAGGCTGATCTGTGACTTCTGGTAGCAACGGGTTCCACTCGAAAGGGCCGCTGTGCCGCCAGGCCGTCTATGGACTTATCTAATTTTTCATCACGATTCTAGATAGCTTCTGCCAGCCGTCTCAAGTCGGGCCAGATACAGGTTATCCCATACCTATTATGCGGTATAGTGTGGTGCGATGTGGTTCAAGGAGAAGAGGCGAAGAACGCCAGATAAGATTTCCAAGCCCTACCGCCCTACGGTACGCCGCCGTGAACTATTATCGGGGAGAGTGGCACGGGTACCAAGTTTAGGAGACGAAATCACATCCGGCCACAATTCTGGGGCAGATCAAGGAAATTGCAAATAACCTTCTGACAGCATCGGCCGAGTAGCTTCAGGGATCTTTCAGTAGCAATATACATAGGCTCCATCCACAATCGGCCCTGATATTGGTACCGAATTACGGGATTTATGTTCCATTTTTAAACAGAGCTTGGTTGCCCCAAGCGGGTTTTTCCCGCAACACCCTTCGTAGTCCGGAGGTACTTCCTGTACCTCGAGTTTGGACCAATCTGAAAAAAGACCGTTGAGTCTAGAGCAGATCCTGTGCAGGTATGGCCACTACTGTGGATCGATCTTAGTAAGGGAAATCAATGTTTGAACGCCTGGGGTGAGCCAAAGATGTAGATTGGCCTTTGCCCAGAAGGACTTGCAGTCAACAAGGAGGAGCAGGTCGCGTATTCGACCAGGATAAGTTTGTGGAAGGCTGCGTGACTGGCGGGGCTCCTGGAGAAGCCAATGAAGCAGTACAACAACATAATGTCTTTGTCTCCATAATTACCTACTTGTTGGCATTGGCAAGCTTCTAATAGCAAGCGGTACGATGATGGCTTTTATCAAAGCAATCACAGCTTATTGAATAATAATCTCTTGGAGAATAGAGGCTCATGGGGAATGATTAGTTTAATATACTTCAACTACTGCATTCTGAGATTAGGTCAGATATGAGATAGAAAATAATAACACTCTTGTTATGAAATGTTTTCTTTTATGTAGTTAAACTTCCTTGTAACAACATGTAAAAGAATTTCCTCAGGCAATATCACGTAGAGTAAAGGCAAATATACAGAAGCTTTCTGGTTACTATCTACATTATGTGTTCTGTATCCAAACCTCGTAACTATTCACCCATATAGTTTAAATACCATTCGCAAAATATGTACATAGGTCAAAGGGCTTCACTCTTGCACCAAAGGGGAATGCCTATAAAGGTACCTAGGTAGGTTTTCAGACTGAAGGTATCCCAGGGAAACTTACTCACCCCTGAAGCCTTGACTCTACAAATATTAGGTAGCGATGATAGATATCTTGACTCTCATCGGAACTTTGACGAAGCGGGATCAAAAAGCCTGGAACCAGCTTGGTTGTTCCTCGAGGAACTCCCACCACCTATTCTACTTAAGACAGCTCTACTAAAGAGAGCCTCCGAATATACATCAGATGCTACACGTGTCCATTATTCTCGCCTCTTAGATGTAAGAAACCTCAACCGAATGATGCCACATCTCATTAATCATTAGTGAAAGGTACTTGTGATAAGTCTTGCTGCCGAAAAACGATCAGCCTCTAGCATCTAAAGACCCATAGACATATAAAGACTTTCTCATAAGTCTAATTTCGATTCTAATTTAGGAAAGTTACCTCAGGTTTAACAGTAAATAAAAACACTTAGTACATTCACATCAGGTATTATAGTGTCACTCTCTGGGATACCCTCGGGGATGCCCTCAGGGACCGATATTCCCATTTCCAATGTTTCTGTGATACTTGTGGGGAAATGCTTGAAAGACTGCTAGGTACCTACTAAGGAAGAAAAAAGGGGGAGAATGGGCTCCTTGATCTACGTGTACAATTAATAAATTTAGTGTTATCCCGCCGAAACATCATTACAAAGGCTTTTATTTAATGGACGACCAAGACTTAGCATGTTTATGTGCTATCAGAAGATATAGCGTAAAGGCAAACGCATTTCTTTGTTTTTTAGTGAACCCCAATGGGTCACATCAAAGAACTAATTACATTATCATGCGCATCTTCAGATGCTTAAGTGAAAAGCGAAAATCATCGCGAAGCATGGTGCGAACCAGTGATCCTATAGAATCCTGTAGATGAGAATTGAAGAAACGCATTACGGCCATAATGTCAGTCGGTCTGACGTGTTCTCTCCTGCTCCATAACCCCTTTCTTTTGGACTTTCGCCACCAACAAATCAATCCGCATGAACTCAACGCCAGATTCCTAATTTTTGTGTTTTCTTGGGGATTTCCATGCCTTAAACAACCATGAGATTTGCTTTAGTCGTAACTTCGTGATGTGGAAGGGACTCATCAACAGCAATGAAAACCCTCGTCCCTGTCACAGCTTCTCCGTAACGCCTATACATTATTCGGGTAGAATGCGTCGTCATCTTCCTGAGAGAAGCTCTTCGCCTGCTCATCAAGAATTCTCTGGCGAGCATGTCTGTCAGGGTGCGGCTGGGGCTTCTGGGAAGCCATGGTATAAGCAGGATTGCCTATCTGCGCCTTACCCGTCTGCAACTGACCCATCTGCTGTTGGCCCATCTGCGCCTGTCCTATCTGTTGTTGCTCCACTTGATGTTGCTGGCCCTGGTACGGGTACTGGCGGTTTCGAGACTGCATGGGAAGGTAGTATTTGTTGAATGTCGGACTACTAACCACGTTCTGGCGCGGATCGGTGATTATCTGGCGATTGCTGGGGACCATTCCGGGAGGGGGAGGAATGTCAATACCTTGTCCTCTGCCTCCTCCGCGGGGGCGGGTAGGCGTCTGGGAGTTGAAACCAATTTGCCCATGTGAAGGCGGCAAGACAACTCGAGGGGCGATGGGGCTTGTAGTACTATCAGAGGCCGCATGGGTATGGTGAAAAGGGGCGGCGCGATCGCCGTAAGGCATCTGACGCCAATGGTTGTTGTGGTTTCCATGAATCGGGAAGTGTGAGAGCTGGGAACCCTGGGAACCCTGAGGCACGAAGTCGGGAGGCAGAGCTAAATAATTCTTATTAGTTTTATTCGACAGAATCGATCGTAAAATAGCTGAAATGTGATTACCATGCTGTCCGAATTTCAAGTTGGGAAGTCCCATCGGAGGGCCAGGAGGCTGATGTGCCGATACATATCCTGTAGGCTGGTTGATAGGTCCTGCGCTTTGAGACGCTCCGGCTTGGTGATTTGAGTAGCTATTGGGTTTAAAGGTACCTCCTATGAAGGGTTGAGCAGAACCAGAAAGTACAGTTTGCTTCTTCCCATCATCAGTGGTATTAGGGTTGGTATTGGGATTTATGTTAGGGTGATCGTGATAAGACATCTTGCCCTGTGCTTCGATGGCGATATTATAAAGCTGCTATGGCAAGATAAATCGGAAGAATCGACAAAAACGAATGAACTAAACGACTTAGGGATAGGAATGAGTGTAGATACTGAGAAGGAAACACTAATACTATCAGTGCAAGCCGGCAACAAGAAGGTTTGCTGTCGGCGACAAGTGTGGAAGAAGTTTGTTGAGAGAGAAAAGGAACTGCATGCAGCTCTCTGCAAGAATTTAATTTAATTCTTTTTTTTTAGATGCCTAGATTGGGTGGTAAGTTAAAGTGTTGGAAGGAACGCTGACTGGCAACCTGGAAGGAAATACAAAAGGAAAGAACGTTGCTATGATAAGGTAAAATGCTGTCCCATCGTTCTTGCCTCAAGTTAGGTAGGCACAAGGCCGGGTGCTGCTGCTAGGTGGTAGTCACCTTAGGTATATACGGCAGTGACGTCTAGGGAGGTAGGCACGAAGTACCAAAGGTATGTACAAGGTATGTACCTCCTAACCTGAAGTCTTGAGAATGAAATTGATTCCTACCTACCTTACGGTACAATACATAACTTTTGTCTCTATCTACTCACGCCTAAGTTAAGTATCGTACAGTAAATCGGGAGGCATTTGCAAGATATATGATGCAATGTATCACTTTTGTCGACGTAACAGCCCTCAGAATATAAGCAGGACAACGGCATTGTTTCGATATAAAACTTTTAATCCTAGTAGCTGTCACATCTTGAAGATGTTCACAAAGTCACGCCTTCTTTGTCCAGTGTGGTTTATGTCAAAGTCTCCTAGTCTGTCCTGTCCTTGACCATGTCATCCATTGCAAATAACTAAGCCCTTTATCACAGGTTACTAGGGTATTCTGTATATCCATGTAAAGAAACCCAGGATAAGCTGACCTAGATAGGATCGGATATCTAATCCACGAAGCAGATATCCACAAAGCTTTATTCGACTGTGTTTGTTCATCGTAGGATAATACATATAGGTGTACTAACATGGGTAGACGCCAAGCAAATAGATCAAATAGGAGCTGTATTACTATTAAGGTCTCATATTTGCTTGAGAGTCGTATTGTCGCCTGCAGCCTTTGGCTACTACCTATCTGTGAAGAGGTACTACTACACGGTAGAAGTCTATTAGCACTGCGGCCAGTGTCTTTTGCCCTGAGTTTTTTTCCCCAGAGGATATGGGAGTTTCAGACATCGTTGGCGTTTTCGTGTTCTTATAGAGCGAGGTTGATGTCTGCCCTATGGCCATCAATCGCTGTTGTATCCTCATTTAAAGGTCGGAGGAGGTGGCTCGATTCGAGTGTCGAAGACTCTTCTATCAACAGCCTTGAAATCGAATATCTTCTCCAGCTCCGCTTTCACGGCTAAGAGCTCCCCATTCGCTTTCTTCACCTTCTCCGGCTGGCTGTCCTCCATGACGTTCAATTTCACGTTCAATACCCATTTCTGTGCTGGATCTACCGGTCGAAGGTCGGCCCAGGGAGGGAGAGCGGCACGTGGACGTCCTTCCGGCTTGTTTCCCAATTCCTCATCTGATAATGGGAGGCGATAGTATCTACTGAAAACGAACTCGACGTTCTCCCTGACAAAGGAGTAGCTCTCCTGTATCATCTCATTCTTGTATCTACCAATTCATCAGTGCTAGTCTCATCGCCTATTTGGCTAATGTTTAAGTAGAACATACTGGATGCCATTGTCGGTGAGGGCCGTAGGTAGGTTACCCTGGTCCGGGATCTCAATTTTCTTTCTTTGTGTTACGGGCGTGTCTCGAAGCGGGTCTGGCAGATCCGTCCACCGCAAAGTGCCGGGAAGAGAATTAAAATCTGTATTTGTTTCTTTCCCGAAGTCCCTATCTGGTAAAACTTCGTAGGCCAGCTGAATAACATATGAACACCGGCTTAACTGGATGCTCAGATCTTTCCAGAGCTGTATAAAGCGCGATTGCTGGAAAGCACGCGTGACTTTGAGGGGCCTCGGTTGTGGCTGACCATGAAAGAATAGAATGCGATGGACGGCGTGACGAGCCTTCATCCACGTTAAGCCTTGCAAGACCGCACAAGCCATTGCGAAATCCGAATCCTTGACGGATGCGGTAAGGAAAAGTTCCTTCATGCTGCCTGGCGCTGGTACTATCCTTCGCGACTGGATTTCTCAAAAATGAATTCGAAGGCTGGGGGAACGCGCGCGTAATGAGTTTACTTCTAAAAACGAGTATACTTCTAAGAGTTAGAAGTGGAATATAATCCCGCCAGTAAAAAGAGGACACCGCCAAATAAAACTAGTAAATTTTGGAATGGACATATGTGGTTTGTGTAAATACCTTAGGTACCTAGGTAGCTTTTGGAGTGACGTTGAAGTTGAAGTTCAATTTGAAGCTTAGAGCTGGTGACGGCCCCGCAGACACCTGTAAAAGGGCTGGCATAAAGACACGGTTAGGAGGTACCTGCGTAGGTACATTCCACTACCTACCTGAATTTCTTAAGGTTAGGTACTTATGAACCCCACTCATAACCGGTGTTACACAAGACGTTGAGCCTCTAAGCCACTTATTATTGGTCAACGATCAGCCGTCTGGTTCTGTATAATAGGTATCTAAGTATCTAGGTGATGAACTTTTCATTGAACATTAATCAGTTGAAATTAAGCGTGATTCGGTGAATCAAGCAGGTATCCCATATCTATATCGCCTCGTCATCTTACACGTCGAACTTCATCCGCTCATACTCAATACACCACGGCCCATACCGTTGCCCAAATTCTCTCACCAAACCATGTTTCATACCCCATTTTTACTACTAGCAAAGCGAATGCCTCGGGAATCACATATACATTTAAATTACACGACCCTTGACCTGCTTGAAGTCACTGACTTTGATGTCTCGCCAGACAGCAACGGATACAAGACCCAGCACAGTGACCGCCGTAGCAGCCACGAACATCCATCTTAAGCCATCACCGTAGGCTAGGATAATGGCATCCCTGGTCGGTGATCCTACGGGGTACGAGAGCTGAACCGGAAGCTGGCTGTAGATAGCCGTAAGGTTTGCTTGAGATTCTGCAGGCAAATACTTGGCTAATGCCGTAGGGAAAACGCCCGTCCAGATGGCTGCGGAAACGGTACCTCCAATAGCACCACCGACGCTACTAAACATACCCTCCATAGCAAGGACGACGGCGACGTGTTGATGGGCCGCCGCGGCCATAACAGCCATTTGCTCACCGATGACGCAGGCACCACCAGCGAAGGCGTAGAGGATTTCACACATGATAATCCAGCCAAGGTGAGTGCCAGGTTGTCGGAAGTGAATGAGCAGGCCAATGCTGAGGATCGTGACTGGTACACCAAAGTATAGAGTGATCCACTTGAAGCGACCGGTCCAGCGGATCAAGAAACCTACGACGAAGGAAAAGAAGCAAGACCCAAGACTGTAGATATTGCCGATGTAACCAGTCTGGGTCACGTCGAGGTTGAGGACAACCTGGAGGAAGGAACTGAAATAGGCGGTCCAGATATAATATTCGACGAACAGAACAGCAGAGAGGATACAAGCTCCGAGAACGGTTCGGTCTTTGAGGAGTTCCCAGGGCATGAATTTGACCGGTGCAAAGAATCTCTCCCAAACCACAGATCCGATGAGAAGTAACCCACCGAAGATAATCAAGCAAATGACCAAGGGGTCCTTCCAGCCATAGTACTGGTAGGAGTAAATGTTGAAAGGAAGTAAGAAGAGCGCAAAGCCACCGGTGACAAGGATAAGGCAGATGACATCAAACTGCCAGAAATAGTATTTGATCGATTCCCATGTCGTGCGACCGCTTGGAGTGTTAACAATAAGCCCTTCCTTCTTTGCCTTCTGGTAGTTCCAGGTAAACAAGAAGAACAGAGGAAGGCACATGATAGGGGTAATGATGGAGAAAATGCCGAATCCCCATCTCCAGCCAATGCCAGATACAGATAGGATACTATCAGTCATGGGAGCGGAGATCCAAACGGTAATAATATAAGGAGACGAGATGAAGGCCAACATCAGGGCTCGGTTTTTCAGGTGCGAAGTATCGGCGATGAAAACAGAGAGGGAGTAACTAACTCCATTGTATCTGGAAGAGTTAGTACAAGTATTCTTAACGACGTGATTAAGGTATGTGACTTACCCAACCCAGTAGAAGACCTGCGCAGCCGCATAAGTCTCGACGTTGTTGCATGCTGCCATCATGACGAGACCAACGGTCATTAAAAGGACCACGATCAAGAAACCCTGAGGTCGACCCCAAATATCCAAAATTTTCGCCAAAGTCAGCTTTGAAACACCGCCGATGATACCAGACATGACGCCTGTGGTGGCAGTTAACGAATGCAGAGCGAATGCGCTAGTAACGTATGGGTTCAAAAGAGTCCCCATGCCCTGTTGCATAGAATCGACAAAGTAGATAATCCAGATGCTATCGAGATTATTAGTTTACCCATGCGGCGCCATACGGCGTGGAAGAGGGCGAAACGGTAGAGTAGTGACTTACAAGACATAAGCTAAGATAAGGTGAGACATCGACCAGACCTTAGTCGTCGCCTCAATTTTCTGAACACCAGCCTGGGCATCGCTATCGATCGCGTCGATATCGTTGGAGGCTTCGCTACTCTGAGGTTGATTATCGACGACGCCACCTTCCTTGTCGTTAGGCGTGTGTGTTTTCTCCTCTACTGGCACCTCGGTAGGGTGGGCGAACCGAGCGAGCGGACCTCTCATCGTGACTGTTGAATTCGAGAGATCCTAACCAACCAAGTGGTGTTTCTGACTTGGTGCAAATACCGTGTAGCAACTCCCGCGGACTGGTATTGGTAACAAATACCAGCCGTTATTGTGGCGTGGGTGGGTGACCAGCAATTTAAATAATTGCAATGCACGCCAAGGGATGAGTTATTATCAAGGTACTCTTATATATATGCAAGGAGATATACATAGAGAGAGACAAATCTATTCTCGGCCGATAAGTGCAATAATTTCTGGCTTAATAGATGAAAAGGGGAGGTTTCCGGGTGGTTAGTCTACCTTTTTATTTATCAGATGGACCGTTTTTTGATCAAGTAGGTGCTCCTACCTTACCGGAGATTGATAAGTGGAAAGAGCCCTGGTTAACCTTGATCTCTGGGTCTGGCCGTGCCGCCATGAGAGGAACTAAGTAACTAAAAGAGTGGGATGCTGTACTAGTATCACGTTAGGTAAGAAGTAGAGTGGAGGGTGGCAGTTTTGGCAACGCCGGAAGTAGAGACTTACGTAGTACCTAGGTTAGGTACATATAATTATATGGACTTACCTATTTTGCAGTATGCGGTTCATGGTTCGAAAATACCTAATAATCTCATGTTTAGAAAAGGTATACTTTGCCTAACCTCTAGGTATCTAGGCTAAGGCACAAGCCGTGCCTTGAAAATCTGAAAATCGATAAATATAGATTACGTAAAATCGTCCCATGAATCATTCGTATTTATGCTCAAGCTGAGAAAGAAAGTCTTGACGAGGATAAGTTCCAATGTGACTTGTGGCTAGTCGTGAAAAAAAAATTCAGCTCCGAAGAGGGAAGGTTGATCGGGCATTCCAGGCGAACCAAAGACACGCTAGCATTCAAGGGACCCGGTTCAACCAAGCTCGATTGGGTGTGCTAGCCGATCCAAATGGTGCCAGTGCAGAAAAAGACGGGGACGCTAGCAGAAGTTATCTTATCAATCAGTTACCATCAGCCGAGGATCGAAAGCAAGGCATGAACCAACACGAGCTAACAAAGGCTAAGTAAGACAGACACACCGAAGAAAAAAAAAAAAAAAAAAAAAAAAAAAGAATCATATCCCTCGATCTTGTTAGGGGAATTACAAGAGCTCTATTAAAACATTACGTCGAGACCGCGTTGGGTGCATACGTACGAACATTTTTTGACGTTGAAAGATCTCCAGCTTTGAGCGACTTTCCTTACGACCGTAAGGCGGATAGAACTAGTGTTACTTGGGATTCCGCCTCCAGATGACATCAAGAAACCGAAAGTAGAAGTTGATAACAAAATGCCGTTCGGTGATCAACGTTTATTTTAAGTATAGAGCGTCTGTTATAGACGATATAACTGCATCAAAACTCGCAGCAGATAGTCCTATCAGACTGCTTAACTGACGGCAAGCTTCTCCAGCTTGACTTGGCACTGGTTCTTGGGATCTATTAAATGGAATATTGTAATGCCTCATTTGGTCCTATTCGATATCCCTTGAGCGACTTAGATGATGTGTACCTAAGTAGTAACGCTGTAACATGTACTTAACTACGTAAGCCTGCCTCCAAGCTGTCCAAGTTCCCGACAGCTCGTTACCGTTTATCCTTGGTGAAATCTAACAAGGGCCAACTCACTAATGAAATGAGACAAAAGAAAAAGGTGCCGATATCGCGGCCAGAACTCGGAGTAAATCGATTTCAATGTCGTGCAAGCATGGAAGCTATCAACGTTACCTCCCTGTCTCTGATGCGCGCTATCACGAAAACCCACCACTGAGGATTACGTGTACCGCTTCGTATGTATGTATGTTAATTAAATTGTCACATCTCATGCTCATGTGCAAGCAGCAAGTCTTATTAGTGTGGGAACGGGTATGCAATGCACGTGCAAATGTCCGATTCCCATTACGTCTCTACCAGCATATGTAGGTACCTAACCTAGGTAGTAGTGTGGACTAAAGTAAATTATTAGTATGCTTCATCTATACAACTATACATCTATTTACTATAAATGAGTATCTTGGGTTGTCGAGCGAGCTGAGGTTAGAACCATATTTGAGTAAGTGGTAGGTACCTCTTGAATAAGTTTAATGTTCGTTAAAGAGTTATGTACCTAGGTACCTAACCTAACGTACAGTGGTGAGTTACGTAAGCAATGGGTATTACTGGGAGGAGCTTATCTCAGTAAACTCAGACCATAATTCAGACAACGGGCTTCGCCCGTGGGCGCCTCCCAAACGTATGGTCCGTGTGTTTGTATCTGTGGGGCTTTTTGAATTTTTGTCTGAATTGTGGTCTGAGGCACGAATGTAGAAAAGTGGGCATGTTTAGCACATCCTCTATATAAAAATATCAATACTAAAATTACATTACGTCAAATATTCAATAACAACATCAGAAAATATTAATAATTTTAATATTTGGGGTTAGATAAATGGCTTCTAATCTTCCTTATATTTTTTTATATTTTAATACGATATTGCGTTATTGTGTTGTAAGCTTTAACGTAAGAAGGTTAAAATTGGCACAAACCTACTAAACACCAAATAACTACCCACCACAACCATCAACACAACTAACAACATAACAACGTGCAAAATCCATCAATCTTTTATCGCCTTTAGCTAATATAATATATTCTTATCATCCCTAGCCTTTTTCGCATACCCGTACGGCTTTGCGCTGTTGAGAAATAGGCTTCAACGTTGTTTAACGTGTTGTTGTATGCGTTGTTTATCGAAGCGCGACCGGCGCCGCGTTAAAATCAAAGAAGTAACTTGAGTATAAGGCTTATTAGCGGCTATTTTAGATAAATAATTACTTACTTTGATAAATACGTCAATCAATTCAATCAATTCAATCAAGTTGACTTAGAGTATGAAAATAAGAAAGGTGTGCCTAAAAACGCCACTTTTTACATTCGTGCCTCAGACCACAATCCAGTGTTTGATTTTTCCCTATTTTGAGCTATCTGATTGGTTGAAATTTGGTGTGGCTAGAAGGGTACAAAGAGAAGAACACTGGATCTGTGGTCTGAGCTCGCTGAGATAAGGAGGAGCCCACTCATTAGAGAATATTCCCAATACGTTCCACGTGACCAAACATTTTCTTGTTAGATCTAACTTTGGCTAATTTTTTTTCTCCTACGAATCATTTCGGACTTCGCGATTTTCGATTGACGGCAAGTCACCAAACGACCGGGCAAGGAAATACCGGATACCGGATCCGAACATTGCGGATCGATATCCTTCAAAAATGTCGGCGTCACAGAAACCAATCCGTCTCCCTCCGTTGAAAACTCTCCGAGTTCGCAACCCGAACGGTCAGAGGGAACGTCCATGCATGAGTATCATGTCATCCGTTCTAGGTATGCGCATATAGAGATTCCCCTACAAGATGGTAATGTCGCCATGCCTGATATTATTATCCTGCATGCGCAAAAACTAATTCGATTCGCGACAATAGCATGCTGGGCCTCCGCGGGATATAGCACCGTCGGATGTGCGCAGGTCGAGCAGGCCTTACGGAATTGCATGGATGGTCCACAACCGTCGAAGCCCAAGAGCAGCGAGGTCAACTACCACCTTGCGCGATTCAAGGACAGACTTACGTATCCGCAGAAGAAGAAGAGGTGATCGCTCTATAGCGGGGAGAAAGTGACGACTGCTAGCCGTGGTCAAAAAAGCGGCTATGTCTTCTTGGACCCTGGCACACAGTTCAAACAAAGATACGATAGAAAAAACCTTCTTCGCTCTTCTATACGATATCGTGGAAAATACAGAATATTAAACAACTCTCAGTGTTTAATCATAAGCCGGCGTTCCAGGTTGATTTGGAAAGGAAGGGAGAGGGGGCGCACCGAGCACGATGATTATTACCTACCTAGGTAGTTGATACTAGCAACTCACAATTAGGTTAGAGAGGCCACTCTAAAGAGAATTAGGTATGCATATACAAACCAAATGCGAGCCGAGTCCACGATTGAATATAACATCATCTATCGGTAGGCTACATCTCTGGAGGTCACTAAATATTAAACCAAGCGTACCTACATATATACAACCCTTATATACAATCAAGAAGAACGTTAGCCGGACGGAAGCCATCGGTACCTTCAGGCTTTGTTTACAATCCTTTTGGCTAGTCTGCGAATATAACCAACGCCGTTAGAAAGCCGAACAACTTTTCCCCTATCCCCTAGTTATACTATATATCCTTAAGCCAGATTTCCCGCACCCTCTGATCCACTCTGTCTCTCCGAGATGGGGTTTAGCATAGGCAGGGAAGATGCAAGCTCTGATAATTGCTGCAAGTTCTGCCCGCGGGCGTCTCGCTTCCCATCTGCAGGTAAACCTGCCAGTAGTCGCCGGTCAGCTTGCAGACCAGGAAGTTGAGCTGGCGGCCGTAGTTGCTACCCCTGCTCGTGATGATCGTGTCTCCCTACACACGATACAGTTAGTAACCGGTGTATATAACCTGACCTGAGCTACCTAAGCGTACCTCGAGCCCCCACGCGTCAGTGACGGTCGCCTCCGCGAACGTCAGCGTCTTGTACGAGGTCTTGTCGTTGCCGATGTTGAGGAACAGCGACGTGTTCACGCTCTGCATCCACCCTCCGATGTTGAAGTACTCGCTGCTGTGCTCCGGTCCCATCACCGGTATGGTAGCTGCTCGAACAAGACGCCGGCGGTTAGTTTTCCGCACAAAGACACATCCTGGGGTAAATGTAATAATATATAGGAGAGAAGAAAGGGGAGGAGGGGAGGGGAATCTTGGGAAGAAAAAAAAAGAACAGAAAGAGGAGGGACTTGAGAAAAAAAGGGGAACGCCAACGTACGGTCCTCCGGATACGCTTGCAGATAGTAGTGGAAGATAGGCGACTGCACGGCGCGGATCTGCTCCGGCTTCGCGAGCACCGCGGGGAGCGCCGCGGCTACGAGGAGAAGGAGGCTGCGGGCAAGCATTTTTGTCCTCTGAACTGGGTAGAGATTTCGGATCGGGTAATAGATAGCTAGACGTAGCTGGCTAAGGTAGCTTCAGCTGGTTATTAACAATGATAAAATTATTTTAACTAAGATGGAGCAAGCGGCAGGAGTACATATGAGGTAGGTATAATAAAACGGCGTAAAACCTGGGATGATGACGGCGAGTGATCTTCACAGCGACTTTATAGGTGGAATATATATATATACCTAGGTATATATCTATATATAAGGTACCTTCTATCTACATATCCACGTTCTACAACGCCACCTGTTAATATATACGGCTCAACTCTATTCCATCCCCCCAAGAATGGAACGCTGCATACCTATAAATAATCCAGAGCAGGGTAAGAAGGAGGAGAGAGCGCAGTATAGTAATTTTGGCTGAGAAGGGAGGAGGAATATTACAGAGCCAATCGGACGAATTAGGTAAAATGCGGAAGACTATGTCCGTTAATACTCAACCTTGTAGGACCGGCCAAGCAAAAGGCGCCGTAGGGCTAAGGCTAGTAAGTTCAAGACCAAGATAAATGGATAGATCACACGTTAGAACCTTGAAGACGCTACTTGGACGAGTATCTAGATCAAGAAAGCTCCGAATATGCATATAAATATAAACGCGGAAAGGCTTGGAAATCCTCGCATCATTCCACCTATATATAAAGTAGCTGGCTGTCAAACTCTTACTCCTTTAAACACTCTGGGCGGAACCCGCTAGTGCGTTTGCCATGCCCCGAGGGCATCATGGCCATCAACTACGTCATGTCGGATCTGCATTACACCTTGACTTTGAAGTTCTAGAGGTTTACTCCCGACAATGCTATAACGATCATCTTTCTCTTTCATATTTGCGAAGTGAAACGCGCGCAAAATAGCAGAACCGCCATCCATTCTTAACTAGCGCCGACCCGTGCAAGGTTATCAAAAGTGGCCAAAGTTCGAAATACCTGATTATCCTTCTTATGGCTCTCTCTATGGGCTAGTAGCCATGCTACCCAACCCGGTAAAAGCCCCTGAATGTCGTTGAATGCTTTCCCGTTTCGCAGGGTAATGATAGTCGGATGTGGTATAAAATATGATTCGGATTTGACTGAAAGTGGTTGCTCGTGAACCTCTCCTCCCCAAATGGCTTTCTAACGGAGGTTGTATCCATAATGATCGACAATTTTTTGTAGCACAAAACCGTGCGAACGAGTGTAAAGCCCCTATTTCATCAGGCAAGGGCTCAAAGCCAATCCACATGTGACCAAAAAAACCGGTCTGGTATCTAAAATATGTGCAAGAATCGTAAAGTCATAAAATGAGCGTCTGATGGCAGATCTGGAGGGTAGAAGGTGGTATCGAGATTGGTCCGTCTGCTATTAAAGTGATGGCATATAACAATATCAATGCAACCCAATGTCGAGATTATGTCTAGGTTGTCCGTGGAATGAAATCATTACCGTATTAGTAAAACTGTCGTGTCGAAAGTCTCCTTTCGCGTTTTATTGCTAAGCCTCCTGGAAAAGGCTCAACTTGTGTCTCCGACGCAGAAAAGCTCTATTTCTCCGACGCCGCCAGGATAATTACGCGCGCCTTCACCCCACTCCGAGAATGCAATTTGGATATCGTCGTCACTTTCGATTGTCACGGAGTCCCCGTCTTCGTCACGATATCGCAGTTTCAAAGTGCCCTTAGCAATCGAACTGGTAGTGAATCGCGCAAGCTTTACGTCAATGCGATCACTGAGAGATTGAAACCCGATATTAAATGGAACAACCAGTGTGAAATAATTCCCACTATCGCAGTTCACCTTGACTTTCAGTTGTGCGGGGATCGACGAATCCGGGCTCGAGAGTGGATTGCCTTGGGTAGCAGTGCCCAGCGGCGGGGATACAGGCTGTCGGTTATCTGGACCTAACGGCGGAGGTACTGTCCCTGATGTCCCGGAAGCTGGGGTTGGCTGTCGATAGACAGGTTGAGCGGGGAATTGAGACATGGTCCCTCCGTCACGCTGTACACTTGGGCTCTGCGTGCTTGTACGGACGGGAACATCTTGTCGGGGCGAACCGGTTTGAGACCGTGGGATGCTTGGGTCATGCGCAGGGTGAAGGTGAGGTGGAATTCCAGGCACAGCAGGAACCGGGGTGGTGCTGTTAGTTCTACGTCCATTTTGCGGCGCATTATTGATGTCTGGTGTGCTATAAGATCGGCTACGTTGTTGCTGAAACGAGGCAGCTCTGGCAGAATTCCTTCCATTCATAGGCGATGGGCCGTCTCTCGAAGGAGCTCGCGGTAAGGCTGGTGCAGTATAGCGATTATTATCTTCCCAGCCGCTTTGTGGAGTCCCAGTCCTTGGAAACGGGTACTGTTGTCCATTCGCAGACGCAAACAAGGTGCTTGCTGTACTTGTGCGCGATGACGCAGGAGAATCTACGGTGGGAGAGAAGTACGAATCCATAAGGCGATGACCAGGCGACTGTGTGCCACCCTGCGTCTGAAGACTCAGCTGCCCCGGAGGTACTGGGAGAGGGAAGCGCGGCGGTGGTGCGCGTGCGATACCTGCTAATGATAAGCTACTCTCTCCAGTACCAGAGCGCTGCCTGAGACTCGTGCTTGAGGCGTTACGATTGATAAGTCCACCAGTCGGGCCATTGCCGAAGCCATCGGTCGGTTGCGTAACCTGTATGGGCACTGTGTCTTCCTCCTCATCGTCATCCTCTTCCTGCTGAGCATAAGGATTCTCAAGATTGTTCTGATTGCGCATCCATGCAAAGTCAGGTGTAGATTGGTCGGGGCTTGTGGTTGACGGTGCTTGTTCTTTCTTCTGCGAAACCAACCCGTTCTCCCACTTTTTCATCGTTTCCTCATTAGAAAACTTGATGATAAAATTTTCTACGCCAGGATCACCTTTCCACCATATCTGCACCGTATATGAACCTGCACATGTTAGATTAGATTTTACAGATTAAGTTGCCACGTTCCTTACCTGGCTTTGCGAACGAGAGGACTTCGGTCACATTTGTCATAAATATCCGCCCCTTAAGCTGCAGTTTATTGTTTTTGTTGGGGATCTTCGGCCCAGATTTGCTCTTGTCTTTTTTTTCCTTGGTTTTGTTCGGCTGTACCTCTTTGCAACAGAGAAGAATACATTCGAACAGGTAAATTTCATACTACATCATTATCAGCGTCCGTCAATAGAGTGGGGGAATCACATGTGTAACTTACATCTTTCTCTTGTTCACTGCGTCCAGTGATGACAGTATACACACCGTGTAATAACAGCCGCCCGAAAGATTTGACATTATGACTCTTCCAGTCGTCCACTCTATTCGTAAGTTCTTCTAGAGCTTCATCTAGAAGATCACGGTTGACTGCCTCGTTTGCCTTGGTAAGAACTCGTTCCGCTGCCCCGATACCTGCAGCCAGGTCGGCTTTGACTTCTTCATCGTCACACTTTTTCAAGAGAGACTGAATGATAGGTTAGCATCGATACATCCAAGTATGAAGAGTAGACTACAAACCCCTAGTAGTAAAGGATATTTGACCAATCTCTGCATCGGCTTCAGGAGGAAACTGTCCAACGTATTAAAATCAAATGACACAGGATGCTCGGCTAATTGAATCTTATCAAAGATTTTATTCGCTAGTTGGCCTGCTTTCCGCTGATTCGCGATGAAGGGTTGATAGATATCGAAAGCATCTTCGTATGTGACAAACGGCGCGCCCCATCGTTGCATATCCTGCGACATCGAGTTTGTAGTTTCGACACGAATCAAAAATCGCCTCTGAAAATCCAATATGGAATTTATGTTCAGGAATATCTGATGGATGACATCACCGGTGATCACGCCCTTCTGTTCTAAAGTTTTCTTCAGGTCGTGTAGGTTCTCGAGATCTTGGACGTATTTCCGCTCTGTGTCGACGAGTTCTTGAATGATGTGATCGCGATATGTCATCTGAGATCCGGGTGCCGTGGGACCGCTCTCCTCCGGATACGTTTGGACCTGTAAGAGTAGGCCACGCTTTTCGGCAAGGTCCAAAACATGGTTGACAACTTGGGTAACCTGATGGAACACAGGTTAGCTAGGTCGTTTATACAATTGATATTTGAGCAACACGAATGCGACGTACCTTCACAAAACCAGTAGTATCGTTGCCCATCAAATCAGTGATCATGAAAGATTCGGAAGAGGGGATCTCAGGATGTTTCATAATAGCCTCGAGAAACTTAAATACGGCCTTTTTGGCTTTGTTCTTGCCGACTGCGCCATCAATCTCCAACGGGACTTCCGGTCGCAGGCAGTTATATATGGTCAGGAGCGGTACACCAGTTCGGAGCAGATTCCATAAGGATTCGACAGGGCCATCTTCGTTTTGTGTTGGTGGTAGGTCATCGAGATGAACCTCGAAACCAGGGACGCGGGTTAGTCGCTGCTTCAGCGCGATACAGATCTGATAGAGCGACCTAGAGGCGTCGGCCCTCTGGTTGATGATATTGGTGGTAGGCACCACATTGCCGTTGCTCGGTATAGGAACAATGGTAGAAGTCGACATAGATGAAAGCGAAGAGTTTGAGGAGTTGATGGCAGTTGAGCCGGACAACTGGCTTGTGCGGAGGCTGCTCATAGTAGACGCCGACATAGGTCCGTAGTTGTTGTTGACTGGAAAAACGGGGGCCGTGTTCGTCCGTAAAAATGCCGGAGCATGTGCCATACTATTCAACCCATGCGAGGTTTGCCGTAGTTGGACGCGCTTTGGTCGGTAACCGTACCAAAACGTCTAGGCGGGACGTGTGGTCTCGATCCGAGAGACTTGGTTGGTTGGGAGTGGTCAGAATTTCCGGGTGCAAAGGGGTCAATAGCGACGCGGTGGAGGGGCCAGACAGGTTGCGGTGAGATCGCCACGAGATGCTGCTGATGATGTGGGACGTAGTCCTTGGGTTTTATTCCAAGTGGACTCGTTCCAGGTCGAGTTTATACAGCGAACGCGCAAAGGGGCCAGTGAAGTTGGATAAGTAACCTGCTTTATTCCTTCACTTCTTCTTATCTTCTTCTCCCCTGAAACTGTTTTCGTCACGAAAACTAGATCGAATGACTCTGCACTCTCTGTTTTCCTTCGTATAAGATGAGATCAGGCGAAATTAACAGTTGGGTATCTTTAGAATTTAATAAATCGAGCTGAATCGCAAATGCGGCTTTGTAGCGATATAGAAATTTGAAACATCGACAGTCAGGACGACCGCAACTCGGCGGTTACGGGCAACGAGGGTTGGAGAGAAGCGGGTGGACAGGCACCTTTTTTTTTCCCCTTGTACTGATCCGAATGTAGGTCAGGTGGGTGGGTTATTGTGTCTGTACCTACATAGGGCTTATGTACAATGAAATTATTTAACAGGTCGTTGGTCTTGGATTGTGGGTTTATGGATTTATGAATTTGTCGATTTGTCGTCGGTGTGGATTGCGGATGGATAGTGGATGGTCAAGTAGATTAGACTGGACGGTAGTGGATTGCGACGAGAACTTTGGGACTAAAATGGAGTTTGGTTTTGGTCTGGTTTAGTTTAGGTCCGCTTGTCAGAATAAGCAACTTGTAAAGTCAAGTGTTACAGAATACCGTCAGGAATCAGGATAGATGCCCTAACACGGGAATTTACAGTATGATTTTATTTCGAATAACAAGATAAATTATGAAAAAAAAAAGAACAACACTATAAGATAATAAACAATTCCGATTTTATTTCGGTATTTTTTGTCAAGTCAAAACCAACAATAAAGCGAAGTTATGTAAATAAGAAGCTGATCTCTCTGTTAAGTCAATGGGGCATCTTTTTTGACGCGATTCTGTGTCAGCAGTGGTTCAATGACCGATTATCCAGAATGGGTTAGTTTTCGTTACATAGCCGGCCCTTCTTTTTTTTTTCACTACGCCGATGTATCCTTCTAACTTGTGGTCTTATTGCTAATGTTATGGGTACTTGATATTCACTAGGCTATCACTAACAAACTCGTGTACAGTACCAACTGTACTAACTGACAATCTATTATTACAGTACATTCCCTATAGCCTTAGGTGCAACACCCCTAACCTCTAAGGGCAAAGGCTGTACCAAGATCAGACGTCAAAAATATGCTATCGTCCAAAGGTAGGTATTCAAATGTTGTTCAGCAACTTTATAAACCTTTGATATCCAAAGTCTTAGAGTTGCGTCAGGGAGCTAAATGGGCACTATAAGCTTATATTTACCTAACTCGCTGAACCTTAAAGCCACTTATGCTGCACACTTGATGGAGGACAGGTACCGAAGTGTAGAAATGGTAAAATACCTTAGGCACCTGTACAATTTGACGAATTGCCCTATTATACCTATTCCGTAGCGTATTCCTATAAACTCCTAGGGTTCTAATGGACCTTACTACCTACAGGCTATTACCCCTAGGATTTAAAATACATTTCACAGTGCATCTCGCACATTCCTCAGTCCTACGAGGTAGCATCTATCCTCTTACAAATGCCTTCAATAGACAAAGCCAAGTTCCCTTAGGTAGGTACCTAAATATTAGCATTACTATCAGTACAGTGACATCTGCTAGTTCAAATCCAAATCCATTACATTCGCCATCTTCTACATTCGCCATCTTCTACATTCGCCATCTTCATATACATTTGCTGCGTTGGGAGGCTCAACTCCTAGCACAGAGATCATGTCTAGTGCTCATTTGGTTGATCTCCTAGTGTTCTCCATTGGCTCCTCTTTCCTCTTCTTGTGATCTCGTTTATTTCTATGGGTTCTTCCCGTTAATTATGCCTAAGCCCTTGATGAGTGTTATTGGAATTTGTTGGTGTCCATGCGATATTCGTTGACTATCAACACCTGCTAAATCACTGACAGGATGTTTATAATACCTACCTTCGGCACTTTCACATGATAACATGTACTTATACTTATACTGTCAGTGGACCATGTACAGTAACCTTACATTTATATGACAGGCACACTGCCGCTGCTAGGTAAAGGTTAATTCTACCTACCTGTACCTACCTAGAGTTTGGAAGTTGGCATTTCAGATCACGATCGGATAGAAAATATTTGTTTATCTGTAACGGACGATTAATAATTTTTCATAATACTCCGCCGCACCTTATTTTCTGTCAAGACTCATAGTTTTGTTTAGGACAGGTAGTTTAGATGAATAGCCGACTGGAGATTGGGTACCTAACCTCTTTACACAGTATATCTTGCACCTTTCCATCAAGTAGCGTCTATCTGCGGAGTCTTTATCTCTGGCTGTTTCAAATTAGCGAGTCTCCGAGCCCATGTCTAAAGGGGCTAAATCCCGTTGCACTAGACGAGAAGGCGTCTTTTAAAAATGAGCATGATCGACAGGCCTCAGCCGCTTTCGCCCACCAACTCCCTCTAGGGGATTCTATCCCAATAATGTGTGCCGACTAATTCTAAAAAGCCCTCTCTACCAATGATAACATCGTTATATTATTTTCAATAGTACTTCAGATATTACCATAGATGGCCCATGGAAATATTCTTCAAGAGTAACTACCTTCTTTACGAATTTCTATAATAAGAAACTTACCTCGCAAATAAGTAATAAGCTAGTGAAAAACTACTGGTGAAAACTACCCTCGGTAGGTACTGGTGGACCGGTAGGCCGGAAGCTTTTAGGTACGAAGCCTTGCTGCAAGCCATTCTTAAAATATCCCCAGATTACATCAACTTGCCTAAATACGACACGGGAGTGGGAAAGGGGGGGCTAATGCTATCGACCCTGCTGCAGCTGACTCTAGCACTTGCATTTCCTTGGCTGCTGCTGCCTGTGTGAAGCCATCAGGCGTCGTAGTGCACCTCACGGATCTGGTCCTTTCTCTTACTTAAAACTTAATCTACTGGTTAGGTAGTGAGGGCTTCGGATACTAAAAGATAGATCGAAATATCAACACTGTAATGTAACCATTTTCTGATATACAGTCGATCAAACTTCAAACAGCCGGCCCAGCATACCAAGGACCCTTATCAGTACGAAAAGGGGCAGAGATCCTTCACTAAGCGGGGTCACTCGAATCCCTACAGGCGTCTGGTATATACGTAGGGTCATCGTGATGGCAATACTGTATAGGATAAGCGCAAGGGAACACCGATGTAGGAATTAGTGGGAGATCGTCCCGGTGTACTAGCGTTCGACAATGCTTCTATGCATGCTTCTTTGGATATTTCCCTTATGTGTCAGCTTATTAGATATCATTTATTAGATATCATATGCGGGTACAGATTCTTCAAAGCCCGTACTAATGCAATCTTATTCATCTAGTTAACCAACATTCTAGCAAGCTCTGGGAATGGAGCGAAGCGTCTCTATATTCTCAGCAATTGTACGTAATAAGTAAGATATACCTGACCACTTGTGCGCGTACTAGTGTACTATTAGAGGGCATAGGTATTGGTAGAAGGTTGGTTACCTTAGTAGATGGCAATATTCAACTTCAAATACTTATGATGTATAAGTTGGGTATTTATCTGATTCCCACCGAATCGGTGTTAATAAAATGGCATAGTTTTTTGAAGTAGCCACTCAACTGTACAATAGTCTCATATATGACCTTATTGTTCTCACCTGCTGCATTAAGACGATTTCTTGAATGGTAGAGGTAGTAGCGATAAGTTGTTTTCCTCTTGATGCATCTATCCTATAGGCCCAGCGCAGCAGAGCCACGGGCGCTCTACATGAATCATAAAGCTCAGAGCGCTTAAAACCCCGATGCTATTCGTATAGGAGGATCGTGATAGAAGAGCCGATTGGAGAGATATCCCTTTACCTTGAAGATGCTGTACGTAAAATTGGTGCAATCATGAAGTTTGGAGGAGAAAATAAACTAGCGGGGATCTTAGGTGCTAACTTAGCATCCTAGCGTAACCGAAGGTACCTCTGAATAAGGGTTAGGTTCTGTAGGTAGCCCTTCCCCCTCACCTGCTTACATAACTACCGTAGGAGGTAATGTCTGTGGGGTTTATGATTAGGTAGTTCTAGGTACCTAGGTAGGTGATTCAGTGATAAAGTTACTGGGTGACCCATATATTCCGTTCAATCCGTCCAATAAAATGGAATAGGTACCAGGTACCTACCTAATATACCTAGTACCTAAGGCAGCTTAAAAATACATGCCCGGATCCGATAAACTCATCCCCACAACGATTGTCGCATCAACTACCGGTACAAACGTTGATCTTGGTTTCTTGAGGCAGATCATCCCACTTACCTTTACAGCTGCAGTCCGATTCTATGTGATATCTTGGGGCAACTTTCCTATTATCGTCTCATTGTCGCACAATATAAATTACATGGCTATTTCAGCTGGGAGTGCATCTTGTACGCGTCCGTCGCCTCTTTCGCGATCCACGTGGTGATACATTGAAATCCATCACAACAACAACGGTCAGCATTAGAACCAACACTGGACCAAGTTTGGTGCTGCCTTACTAAGTTTCTGCTCATCACTTGTTTTCCTATCTTTGCGCCTCTTAAAATCCCTTCTATTTTATGTACCTGGGTCGTATATGGAATTGTTCAAAGACATAAGATACAGAAGATATAGAAGATACACAGGATACACAGGATATTACAAAAACCATCATCAATAAACGCGAGGCTACCACAGACTCGCAGAGCCACCCGCGATGGATCCTTTCTTACCAAACCAAGAACCCGACGAGGGTTATTCCGAGCATCCCCTTAATCCCTCCGATTCAGGTAGCCACGCCAACAATGCGTCGCTGACGGCAATACGACCAGCTGCCGACATACCGGCATGGCTGTCGGCTCAATTACCCACACTGTCCGTACAGCAGAAGACTCGTAAGTCTACGAATTTGATCCCAACCATTTATTTTTCCATCATTGAAAATAGCATTGATTCTCCCATTTCAGCTTGCCCTTAGCTATATCCTATAATTTATTGCTCTGACGTGATCTCTTCAATTTGTAGGTCTCGCGATGCTAATACTAAACGAATTGCCTACTACCGTGATCGCCGATATCGTCATGAACGGACTAAATCCTCGCCTCTACATTAACTTCGTCGAACGTCTACCACCGGAGATATGTCTCAAGATTCTAGGCTATCTAGACCCCGTTTCCCTGATCCATGTTGCGATGTGTTGCCGAGGATGGTATAATTTGGCTTTAGACCGCAAACTTTGGGAGCGACTATTCTATTTGGAAGGGTGGAAGGCCATACCATCCGAGATTACGGCTGCGGAGCAGAGGATGAACGAAACTCAAGTCCCATCTCAGAAGATAGAATCGTTCGAAGACGGCCATGCGAATAAAAAGCGAGCTGTCTCGGAACCGACGACCCAGGACGAAGATTATGATATGGTCGACGCCGATGCGGCCGTGGCGCAAGAGTCCATGACTGAACAGTACAATGTAAGCATATTTTACACATCCAAAGCCTGACTGGGCATATGCACTTTTGAAGGGGAATCGTGTCTAATCCGTCTCATAAGAATCTATCCCATGTTCCTCGGCCTGGGGAGAGTGGCTCTTCTGTTCAGAGTAACACGAGCGTTATCCAGCATATGGGTAACCTGATGATGAAGTCGCCCAGCCCTATGCAAGACCAAAGAGGGCAATCCGCTGCCCGAATATCCAAAGGCAAAGGCAAAGCAACCATCGAGTCGCTTATCGAACCTACTACGAGCTTACCAAGCTTACCAAAATCTGCACTTTGGATATATGATTCAATCGATCGCAGATACAAGATTAATTGGAAGTACTTATATACGGTGAGACGAAGGCTAGAACGCAATTGGGACCGTGGTCGGTACACGAACTTCCAGTTACCTCATCCGGACCATCTAGACGAAGGACACAACGAATGCATTTACAGCATCCAATATAACCCGGACTATCTTGTCAGTGGTAGCCGAGACCGTACACTGCGAATATGGAACTTACGTACCCGACGTCTTGTACGACCGCCTCTTAGGGGTCATCAAGGATCGGTTCTCTGTTTACAATTCGACTCAGATCCCGAGGAGGACCTTATTGTCTCTGGCAGCAGTGACTCGGACGTAATTTTGTGGAAATTTTCCACTGGTGAGATTATCCAGCGACTGAAGAAGGCTCATAGGGAGTCTGTTCTCAATGTCAAGTTTGACAAGCGGATCCTTGTGACATGCTCTAAGGACAAGACAATCAAGATTTTCAATCGAGTTCCTTTACGACCCGGCGACTTGGGATATGGCGGATCGCAAGGTGTTAGTCCCGTACCGATAAACCTGAGGAACTTTGGTTTCGATGACTCGCCTATGAATCAGGCTGCTATCAAACCACCGTACACGATGATCGGATGCCTTGAGGGACACGGTGCAGCCGTAAACGCTGTCCAGATTTGTGACCGCGAGATTGTCTCAGCAAGTGGCGACAGACACATTAAAGTATGGGACTGGCCGAATCAGACATGTCAGAGGACCTTCCTTGGCCATAATAAGGGTATTGCCTGTGTCCAGTATGACGGTCGACGCATCGTGAGCGGAAGTAGCGATAATGAAGTAAAGGTTTTTGACCGAGAAACGGGCCTCGAAGTTGCTAGTCTCCGGGCACATGGTAACCTCGTCCGTACGGTGCAAGCTGGGTTTGGTGATCTTCCTTATAGCATTGAGCAGGACCGGTTGGAAGCGAAGGCTGTCGATCAGGCATATTTTAAGGCTTTAAACGCTGGTAACCTCGATCAGGAGGCCCAGTCGTTGAGGCGTCGACCACATAACGCGGGTAGTCGCCGGCCTGAGGATATCACTGCATACGGAGCCACACTTCCTCCCGGCGGTGGTGGCGGTCCTTACGGGAGAATTGTTTCCGGTTCTTATGACCAAAGCATTATAATCTGGCGGAGAGATAGAGAGGGTGTCTGGAAGAGTGCACACACACTTCGCCAGGAAGAAGGCGCGGCAGCAGCCCTAAGACAGACATCTTCTCATTCTGCTTCTCGAGCAGTACCTACATCATCCAACCAGCCTTCTACTCTTAATGCAGCGGCGCTTCCTTCAAGCGCGCCCCCCACAACACAAGCACATCCTAACTTTACTCACGTCGAACACCCTATCCTTGCTACTATTACCCCGCAAACGACATCATCCTACACGCAAATGATCGATGCTTGCGTCCCGCAGGGACCAGCTGCCCTTCAGCAAGCGTTGGCTTCCTACCCGACCATGTTAACATACCAATTTCACATACAATCGGCCATTAGTCGTGAACCTAATGCTATAGTTCGCTCCCAGCTGAGGCAAGTCGTGCACAATGCTGTAAACAGAGCACAGCTTGCCCAAAATCGCATCAGAGAATCCGTGCAACAAGCCCTCTCGGCAACTACGACTCCCGGAGAGACGTCAACTCAATCATCCAACCAGCATAATCCAGCCAGCACTTCCATAACGGGACATGTTGCAACTAGCAGTGGTAGTGGCGGTGGTCCTCCTAATATTACGCCTCACACCCAGCATCAGGTTCAACAAGCGCTGCCTCAAGCACAGATTACCGCACCTCAATTGGCGGCCCAAATACAGGGTCAACAACAACACCCCCATATTTCACAGGCGGATACAAGCCCTGCTAGAATATTCAAATTGCAGTTCGACGCCCGACGGATTATTTGCTGTAGTCAGACAAGTACCATCGTGGGTTGGGATTTTTGCAACGGGGATCCAGAGCTCGAGGAGGCATCCGCATTTTTCGGAACTGTGGAGTAAAAAGGGTGAAAAGGCTGTATTGTTTACGGGATAAATGTGTACATGACGGAATGAGTATGCAGAGCTCGCGTTCAAGTAGCATCGATATAGGAACGTCGGACTAAATAGAGTAATAATGATAAAAGAAGGAAAAAACAAAAACAGAGAGACCTTCCAAACACCGCTTAACTCGATCGGGTAAACGTAAAACTCCAGTAACTCCCCTTTTCTCCATTCACCTGGAAATTATAATAGGTAGGTAGGTACCTAAAGCTTGGCCATCTCTCGTGGTAATCACCTCGCTGCTTCTTGTACCTTGTTACTCGTCTCGGGAGGCTCGTCAATAAACTCGGGCACTTCGTCCCTCATGAAATCGGGCACGCCGCCGGCGTCCATGGCGGCGCCTTCCATCTCCATCTCGGCGCCGAGCAACTCCAGCTCGGCGTCGAGCTCGGCCTCGTCGACGTCGTCAGGGACCTCGTAGCCGCGGCTGAGGGTCTCGTTGATCTCGTTGCCGACGTCCATGAGGTCGGCCATCTCGTCCTGCATGCGCTCGATCTTGTCGAGGTCGACCTTGCCGTACTGCTTGCGCAACTCCTTCTGGGTGGTCTTCATGGCGTCGACGGTGGTCATGACCCCGGCCAGGTTGTCCCGCATCGTCTGCGCCTGCTCCATGTTCCACACCTGCGCCTGCAGCTGGTCCCGCTGCGCCTCGTACTGCTTGCGCCGCTGGAGCACCTTCAGCGCCTTCGCCTTGAGCGCCGACTTCCCGGGGCCCTCGCGCATCTTCGCCATCTTGCTCTGGTACGCGCCCAGCTCGGCGTTGAGCGAGGCGATTTTCACGTCGAACGAGGATATCCGGCCGTCGAGGTTGGAGATGGCGCTCGTGAGGGTGGGTTTGGGCGCTTTGGGCGCGCTGCCGAAGAGGCGGTTCATGGTGGCGGTGGTAGCGGTAGTGGTGGTGGCGGCGGTGGTGGTGTGTTTAAATCGTGCTTTGGTTTGGCGGTTTTTGAAGAGGGAGGGGGGGATATGGAGGTGGAGGTGTTTTTCTTTCTTCGGCTTGAAAGTAAACTCGCTGTAGGATTTGTTTATAGGGTCGGTAGGCGGTATAATTGGGATCAACCCCGTATATTTTGAGATGCGAAGTTCTATCAGTGGCAGGCAGCTGGATAATGATCAATCAGGTGGGATAGCTTCAATGTTGATTTGGGGAACAAACAACCTGACGTGAAGCCTGGTGGGGCCAAAAAAAGGAATGACGTCCTGAATGCGTGCCAGCTGGTAGCCAGGTGGGGTATATTTGCCCTCAGTTGGCAAACTTAATCAGCACTTAACTTTATGTTGACTTTATCACGACACAACTTGAACATATTTGGTAACAAATAGTCTAAACTAGATCCTAAGGTTAAACTTGGGAATTTTATATAACAATATCTTCTCGTTTAGATGTTGCTCATATTTTTTTTGTTAATTATCTTCACCCTGAACGGCCAACTCTGCTCAGCTCCCTTACCGCATTACATAATCAACAGAGCGTGTATAAGACAATCCCTAGTTGTCACGATTTTGTTCATCTATAATGCTGAACACATAATTCAACTATTCCTATGTTGGCATATATCAGATATACTATGCCGTTCGACTAAGCCGTCTATATCTTCTTTTTTCACTACTCTGAAAACACCCAAAGTATTCCCAGCGAGAATGTGAGAATGTTAATCACCTGATGCTCTCGTGTTTTGGGGGACAAACGGCACCGTACATATACGTACTCGGCGTATACCCTTCGAATCTCCAATTCTAGCAGTTTCCACGCAGTACTACCTAGGGATGTTTTTCTAGCCGTGGTAAGCTAAATGAGAAGCCACTCAAACTTAGAAGGTCATGGGGTTGTGGAGTGGCTTGAGTCTACCAGCTATCGTGACCTGATGGAAAAGCTGGAGTTTACTGTAAGTATACTAATTCCCTCTACGGCCATATAGGGTGGAAGAGGGAAAAGTATAGAATCTTAACATGTTTATGAATTATATTGTACGACACAACGTGTTGTTTTGAAGTTGGACTTTACTTTAGTATACCACAATCGAGCCGTGTTGCTGAATACCTGCAGCGAACATCGGAGAGTTGAGACAGTCCCTTTCGGACTGTGTTAATGTCGTATCTGCACATCCATGACAAGTTGTAAATTTAAACGGCGTTACGTATATTATTTGCATAAGTCCGAATTGGACTAATCCGCGTAATTGCAGCGGTCAGTTAGGTATCACTTCTCATAATTTTACTATAAATCTTCAAGTCTTGGCTTAATGTTGTAATATCTGTTAAAATTGCAACATCATCGCTTGTTGTAGAGAACTGCTTATAGATTGTCATTATAGTAGTGATCAACAAAACCTATTTCAAGTTGTAGGGATTGATATTTAACGTCTTACTCTGTAACGAGGTCTTACATCGAATCGTCTCTTCGGAGAAAATTCATGGTCTAGACTGATCCTGCAGTGCACTTACGCCCCTCTTTGATTCAGAAAAAAGCCTGGTAATGTGGCGCTCGTGTTGTAATTTGCTTTTGATGACTTATGTATATCTCGCGCTTATTAAGTCCTACCGGCCATGCAGATTATCGAGCGCTTACATTTACAAGCTTCATCTATGTATTTTCGATTCACCGGTAGGATGCAGGTCCAACTCAGCTCTCTTCCAATAAATGACTAGTTTACGTCCTCGTGTCATATCAACGTGGCGGACTGTGTCCGGGTGTCGGAAGACCGTGGCCGTAGATGGACCACCCAGCTGATCGAGTAACGTGTTCAAGTAAGGTCCCGACGGTAGATGGTGCCACTCAGCTCTGCACGTTTCCCTCGAGTCTATTGTTGGCTGCTCGGCGCCTTTCGCCCAGAAAACTGCATCTTCATCTCACGTTAGCTCCTTGCCGGCTACCTCGATCGATCCGCATCTCACCCGTTCCGCTAATCTTGGCAATTGCCCTCTACGTGATTGAAAATACCTTGGAGTGTGTGTTCCCCCTCCATTATTGATTAGACTCAGCTGAATCAAGGTTGTAGGCACAACAGTATCAAACAGTGTATTCCCGTAATACTGCTTTTGCAAGGTGGGCCAAAAGTCGAATAGGCACTCTTCAAAATTATACTACCAAGACGGTGTAAGAGGACATGATCTATCATAAACAATCGCAAACAAACATTTCTTCCCGACCAGATAGGGTACTTTTACTCCATGCTTAAACACGGCATCTTTCCCTAGTGCCTACAATAGTGCCCACCTTCATGAGGTTTTCAGATTGGAACCGATCTACGCTAAGAAGTTAGGGCCGGCGGTATGGGAAGCCGCATGGATGGCAAGAACAGGTTTTGGATGAAAATATCAGACTTGTCCTATGCCCCAATCCTAAGCATACGTTACTTGCCTTCAGCTAGCCCTCGACGTGGTTATGTTTACCTTGGAATGGTAGTATCAAGCGAGTTACGCAGATGGGGAGGTAATTTAATCAACCACTCTGATATAAGAGAAGTAATCAGGGCTTGGCACTAGTTACATTATTGGATGAATCTCCTTTAAAACTTGGTTTGTAAACAACAAACTTAACTCCAAATACGACTCTGTTATGTAAGATCTCGATGAAAACATCTGTCATTTGCATGACACTAATCTTCGGCTTCTGTCTATGTAGTCTCCAACAACCCGGACCTGGAGAAGCCAGATGCCAGGACTTGATCTAATTTAGTAAGGGGGAAAAAAGGGACTAGAACAAGACTAAAGATCTGAGGCGCGGATGGATAGGAAACCGCGAGATCTAAGAGGCTATAAAAGTTACCCAGCTCTCCCCTACGAGGCTTACATGGGTTCGAAGGCTAACCTCCTCCTATCCACCAGTGTTCACCAATCATTGGGGATGGGAATAAGGCTAGCTGCTTACTTCTCAAAATGCCTAATGCAATGGAAGCAAGTCCCGAAGAGTAATCATGACGTTGTCAAAAATATACGGTGTAACCGCACGTACAGCTGTACAAGCCTTCATCCCTATTCCGTGCAGGCCCAAGTATTTGACCACCTATCGCGTAAAGTTAAAGAGGAAAAAATAAAGCTGTAATAAAGACACTCGTCACCATGCATGTCTCATAGAAAGTAGCTGCAGAATCTTCTTATTCAACCAATTTCGTCGACCGTAACGGTTTTCTTGTGAAAGGGAAGATCACTACCAACTGCAACCGAATGTTGGGTACCGAACGGCTATTCCCGTCCAAGATCATCTCTCTTCTGCAGCCCTGGAACCTGGAGTTAGCTCGTGGGGACACTTTCTGGGGTGTTGTTGGAGCTGCAGCCCCTAAGCTGCGTGGCTGAAGTCAAGAGCAGGGTTACACAACACCTAAGCTAAGGGCTGAAGAATGAGATTGTGTTGATTGGATAGGCTACACTGACCTGTCTGTGCTATAGTGGCTTGCATCATTGATAGGAATCTGGGTTATTTCTTCGACTAAACATACGATTCACGGTCACACGGTGAAATGAAGATGCCTTGTCAAGGGGGTTGCTGCCGCTAGTGGGCCGCCCTCGCGGAGCATTTCCGACTTAACTTTCATCCAGATCGAATAGATCAGAGAGTAATCCTGGCCGCTGCAGAGCGCCATCTTGAAAAGAAGGAATTAGTGTGTGACATTGGGGTTAACCTAGACGCCGCTATGGACATGACATCCGACTGCATAGGAACTTCAAAGTATCGCCAAGATAGATCTTGACGGAACGAGCATCGTAAATGTGTATATAAACTCCCTGGGTTCCCTCGAAACTCGAGTATATTTTCTCTACCATCACAGATCATCCAGCCTCAGTCTTCAGTCTCTAGTCTTCAGTCTTTCCAACTCTCTTCGACTCGTTACAGTTTCTACACCTATTCAGGTTTAACTACTCCTTTACATCCAAAATGCAGTTCACCACCATCACCATCTTGGCCTTGGCCGCTGTTGCCACCGCTGCTCCCACCGAAGCTGTTGAGGCTCGTACTGGTGGCACTGGTGGTACCGGCAGCTGCAGCAACAGCCAGCCCAACGAGGTCTGCTGCTCTGGCCTGCTTCTGGACTGTGTTCTTAGCCTAGGAAACCCCTGCGGTGGACAGGCCTACTGCTGCAACAACAACGTTCTCAATGGGGTAAGTGAAACTTAATCTGGTTTCGATCCTTATTATAATGATTTTACTAACCGCCTCCTTCATTAACAGTCCGGTGGTCTCATCAACCTCAACCTTAACCTTCTCAACTGTGTCGACATCCTCTAAGCGGCATTCAGCGAATAAATTAGGAGTTGGTGAGGTCGAAAGCAATATCAGACTTAGATTGGGGGAGGACGATCGATGTGAGAGACTCTGTTATGGGTGTTTGATTCTGTTTTAACTTGTCATGGCCTGACTACATTCGTTTAACTTTGGAAATACTACAATTGTGTGACACATTACCTATAACCTTTCTCTATTTGTGAACATGGCAGTTTTTGCTTGATTCCCCAAACCGTAGAGATGCTCAGGACAAGTCGATTATTACCACTCTCTGAGGCCGTGACAGGGGAGTAGATGAACCCTATCGGACTCAGCAATCAAGAAAAGGATAAAGACTATCTAGTGTCACAGAGTTACACTTGTAAGGGAGGTGTTCTAAGGAAACATAATACTATACACAACAAAAATGGACTAGAACCATTAAAATTTTAAAGTCGCCCCAAGAATGCTGGCGCTCTAGTAACTAGTTACAACCTACTTTCTTTGAGTAAGCACGCCCGCTAGGCGTAAACAAGCTCTACTACCGACTTCTTGTGAGAGCGACCAGCGCCTATTATATACCTGTACATCTACCCCTAACCCGCTTATACCCTAACAGATTTCATCAGATTCGGTATATAACAACAACCTCATTGCGCCAGTCTCACATCCCACGAACCGAACGGCAAGTCTCTCTTTCGCCAACAACGCACGGAACTTTATCAGCGCCCCGGCACTCGCACCTCGCCATCTTCTCAAGACAGCATCCGAGCTTCTCATAAAACACGATATCCGGTTCCTTCGGACGATAGTTGGGGAGATAGTCTGCTCTCTCGCAAACGTGCCCGCCGAAATCCACGTAGCAGCAGGTATGGCTGCAGCGCAGCATGTCGAAGACGGCCAGCCGCAGAAAGCCTTCTACTCGAGTCTGGCGCAGCTCTAGCGGGACGTGGGTCTTCGCCCAGAGCGTTCTCAGGAGCTCGGCGTCATCTTCCACGTTCGCTTCGCGGATTGGGGACGCCCAGGATTAGAACAGCATCGAGACTAGCTAGCAGCCGTTCGGAGAACACGCGCAAGAACAGCAATCCCGAATTGCGTCCGGGTTATGCCAGAACTGGCGGGTGAGTTCTCTGCTGGGACTGGGAACCGAGTGGTGGTCGTTGTGGAAGAATTCACCCGGGTTGGATAGTCTGTATGCGTATAAGTGAAGTCCGCACATCGGGACATCTCGGTGCTGCGAAAGGAGCGGCGCCCTTTTACCCAAGAGCCACGATACCATATCAAAATTCGCCGCATACCAGCTGTGCAGCATTGGATTGAGACCGTCTTTATCGAAGCCAGTTACGTTACGAAATCCCCCGTCCCAAAGCTTGTCAGCGACGTAGGTAGGCACTCTGATGCTTGCGCCGAAATCTGATGAGTCGAAAAGACTCACGCCATCCAAGCGCAAGGCCGTCGGTACTTGTATCCCATGTGAGAGTGGTTCCTAAAGAAGGGAGGGCGCGAGGGTCTCGTCTAATCCACTCTCGCTTATTTGTTGAAGAAGCGAGCTATTTGGAATCATGGTAGTGCAAAGACGGAAGAGTTGCACATGCCGGCCGATGATCCCTTTTGCTACGGCTTCGACGATGCCCTCGTGGACCGGAGCTCTAGTACTCACGGCGAGAGGGTGTAGTAAAGCTGACTGGAGCAAAGTCCGTAAGGAAGGTGACGACCACAGAGCACAGCCGTAGAGTCCGTGGCATATTGCGGAAACTCAAACGAGAACCCGATGATAGCGATAAGGGGATGGAGTGTGCCGCCGCCTTGGTTGCCGGAATCATCTTGCATGGTTGCGTTCAAGTCCGTGACGCTGAGGCCGTGTGTGGTGCTGTTGTGTTTGTTAACTAGTTCCAGCGATTTGATTTATGGCTTCATAAGTCTTGAAGATGACTTGAATGGCTGAATGATCTCGGGAGTCAGTCACACAAGCCAAAATTATGACGATAAATCCGGTGGTAGTCTGTAGTTACATCGTTGAGAACCTGACATTCCGGCGTAACTGACCTGTGAGGACAAGTGATATTATGACACTAATGCAGGCATTTCCAAATACCTACGGAGATTATACTCGTCTAGTCCGACCAGAATCTGAGCAGAGATGGGATGGTCATTACAATACGACTATAGCAGTACTTGTGCAAGACTTCGAAGTATACACAGAAGTGTGACACCCCTGGTTTTGCATCTGATGGCAGTGTTTTTAAGAGGGATGCGATTGTTAGAATTAAGCGGAATAAGACCGTAGGATTGTGCCTTTGAGTGTTCCACAGGGCAACCCGTACTGCTGTAGAAGACTACGAGTACGGAGTGCGAATGTGAGATCAACTGTGTATTGTAAAAGGTAGATAGGCTAGCTGGGGGTAAGAGGTAACAACCAGTATAGCTTAGGTAGGTACATACACACAATTTGGGTGAGGAATGTACCCTTAGATACCTTGCATGTGTTGGTAATAATTTTAACAGATTGAATACCTTTAAATTAATTTTTGCTTATCAGGTTTTACTAGGCTAGTCAATACGTCCTGATACCATCTCTCCTTTTCAATTGGATAATGAATCAAGCATTTCTCCAATCGCAATCGCTGCCGATTCAGCTTCGACAGTATCTGTTGGAACCGCATGTCCCGCGTTATGTTGGAAGTCGGTCCGTTTATCTGCGGCGCACATTTGCATGACAGCCTTACTTTCCTCTCTCCCGAGCTCTTGGTCCTTGGGACTCCACAGATGGATCGTAGGGATGTCAATGTGAGCCCATCGCCCAAGAGGACCAACATCCCGAGGCGAGACCTTGGCTATCTCCCCACGCATCAGCTCTGCCATGCTCAGAGGCTAAGCACTACACATGAATACAGCGCTGCGAATCATTGCCCTGGCCCCGGTCCAGTCCTGCTTATCACAGGGACGGGTAACCCATCAAGTTAATAGCGCTACGTACTTGGTGGAAGTTGAGGCTATCTAAGTAGATTGAATGCACATATAATATAAGAATTCCGCCAATATATTGATTACAGTCTGTCAAAAGCTCTTTATACGCCATTTCTTCCGCTGTAACTGCCGAGCGTTTAAGCTTAAATCATTTCGTTAACAGTGTTAGCAATAGCCTAAATAATACTAAAATGTAGGCAATAGCCCGATTCGACGGAAGTAGTTTTTATTTTACGGTTAGCTTTCTCCAAAGTTTTAACCATTAACTCTTGTTCGGGTATTAAGATGTTAATGTTTAGTTGCGTATAAATGTAATAACTCTTTATTTTTTGCCAAGCCTTATTCTTAAGGGGTTGGAATATGCCCTTATTATTTTAACAACAAAAAATCTCACAATACGTAGCTACTTCATCTTCGAAAATTCTTTAACTTAAATTCTCGAGGTTAAATAATATATTTGGGCTTTTAATTAATATTATGCCATTTTTGACTATATTAAATACCAGGGACGTATTAATAATATTTCTAAACTCTAAGAATTTGTTAAAAGTTAATTTTCTTTTATTAAGAATATAATCTACTATATAAATCAATTTTGAAACACTGTTAGCAAGATCCTTTTGCGAGCAAGTCTTAGTACCAAAACCGCAAAGCGCATTAGAGACTACTTGGCTGCTATAAAAATAGTTAATTGTAATTACAATACATCTAGTACGAACTAAGTTCTTTAAGTAACTTCTAATAAGTTAGGTATTATTAGTAAGGTTTATATTTAGTGGATATGTTTTGTTGTAAGTTGGAAGCTAGGGGATATGAATTTTATAATTGTATAATTTAAGTGCGTTAGTGAGTTTTTAATAATTTTGTAGTGTATGGAAGGCACTGACCACTAGGACGATAGTAGGCTTGACGTTAGGAGCCATAGTAGGTAGTGACGGAGTTAGGAGAACAAGAAAGAACTAGAAAAAACAAGAACGGAGTTGGGGCAGTCTGTAGTCTGTAGAGAATAGGGCGCCTGTGGTCTCTTACTAAGATGGTATAGGGGAGAAGACGAGAGCTTCTTTGTATATGCGATTATACGAAGGTAGGGAGAAAGGAAATAAGGGGGCGCTCGGGCGCTCTGGCGAGCCTCTCCCTGCTTAGCGCTTGGGACGTAGTAGCATTGTAGCCTGATTCCGGAGCTGATGGAAGTGGGGTAGGTAATACCGTTGTTAGCAATATAAAGACACACACACTTGCATATAACACTCTGCAGTAAAATGTGGTGTATGTTGGGTGCTGAATAAATCTTTCAAGGTCCATATGAGGTTACTTAACTGTGAAGAGCTATCTTCGAATCTTGCTTGAAGTAGCTCTCGGCGGGTATTCTCGACTGCTCGAAAGGATAGCGAGACCTCACGGGGAACGATTCTCTGTACGCCCACCACGATTGGAGATATCTTGAAACTTCTGCCGACTCGCCAATTGTGGACAATCGTGCTCAGATTTATCGTATATCCAAGTAACCATGTAGGTGGAATTATTCTCATCAGGCACTCCAAACTTTGATCTGAGTCCTTCGACTTCGGACATTATCGATGGTGATGGTGTTGAAACACGCGTTTGAAATGAAGAACTGGTAAAGGCGTCCACCATACCGTGTCCTGGAAGATGTGATTGTGCCTCAATACTCCTTGAATATCTCTCAGCTTATACGTGTTAGGGATTTATTAGCCTTGTTAGGTCTCAAAGAACATTAACTTGCAGCCGAACCCAAGGTTTGCCACTCATTACGGAGTCCCTGAATTTGAACTTTGGCCTGTCCTATTTCATCAAGGATCCGTTGGCCTTGTAGCTGGCTGTTTTTGACTCGGAAGCAGTACTTGAAGTTTCAATACTATTAATATGTTAGATTAATAGAAGCATATGATCTACGTTCTTCGCCACTCCCTCCGTAAGCAAACGCGTTTCCGAAGAGGTTCTCAGGGTTTCTCCAACGGTCTCAAAAGACTCGCGAGATGTCTAGAGTCTCTGTGGAGCATATGCTATACATTTGTTAGTAATATCTTGAACCCTACCCACCCCTTAGATCTCGCATACTCACAGGTTCTCATTGCTGAGCCATAACATGACAAGGTCTCGTTGCTCTTCTATTTGCTTGCAAAGATGAAGAATGTCATTCTTCTTGTGAAGAGTGAGAATCACATTCCACCCCTTGCGAAGAAAATTCTTATCGGTATGGTCTATGGGAGGCTGAAGGAGCTCAAGTACGTTTTGCATAAGATCTTGGTAGTGTACTAGGATTGCGGTTATTGCAACTACGTTACCGACTAACGTTCCCTGTTGGTGTAGTTGGCTTCGCGATATATTCTTGACTAGTCCTATTTGCTGATCGAGGCTTATTCTTAGGTCGTCGAGTATTTTTGGTGCCCCGCGGACCTCAGAGCATACCCAACTAATCTTCATAGATAACCGGATGGCCATATCAAGAAACTGAGCAACAGCAGCCACGATGCTGAGGATCTCAGCCATCACTGGCATCTTAGACAGATAACTATTATACTACGTTTATAATTCAAAATAACGTCGTTCGATCGAGATATGGGGTTTGGAATTGCTAGAGTTTACACTCAACCTCCTACCTAGATAATCATTAATATAAATTACCTGAGGTTGTCCTTTTACCAATGGTCGGCTTTTCTTGGATTAAATCGGCCTGTATGTAAGCCGCCTCTGCACACCCTCTGTAAAATTATGCAAGAATACGCGTCATTTCGTGAAACATCTTGCCTAACATAGAACCGAAATTGTCTTTCTGAGCAGCTTGCTCTTACGGCGACTGATAACCCTAGTAGGAAGTCATGCTGTTCATAGGTACCTGGCACTTATTTAGGGATAGCATAAGATCACTCCAGTAGATAATTACTGTTTGAATTCTTATTTTTCCACTTTGACCCATGCTTATGCAGCATAGGTAGCCCTTACTCGAAATGTCTTCCCCTTTTCGTGGCATCCTATATGTAACCCCTTATCTTATGTCACTCGGTACAACATCACACCTTGCATTTAACGCAATCCCCAAGTTGTGATGTGTAGGACTAACTCTAGGACTTCTCACAAATTCTAGAAGTTTCTTGGGCTGGCCTCTTCTTTAAGGTTATTCGCTCATCCCCTATCTAAGCGAATGGCTACTAGGTAGGATAGTCTTGAATATCAACGAGGTTCGCCTAAGTCTTTTTACGCTGGTCGGAACAGTTTTGTATACAAGGTTTCTAAACGAATGTCTTGTAGATAAATTCCTTTCCCGCTCCCATCGTTTAGTATAGAAGTTTCGATCTGAAATCATTGCCATACTGTTGGTCCATTACTGTATTGCGTTAAGTAGGGCAAGAGGTATAGGTCTAGCACGTGGTATGATGTATTGCTGACATCTTGAACTCTATTGCTAGTGATAGGGAGAGGGACACCTTATATAAACCCGGTGAAGGTATTTAACTATTATCTTAAGAGGTAGACAGCCTTACTATCTCTCAGCGTTTGAAGCTATAAAATAGGATAGATTTACTAGAGTAGTAGTATATAAGGAGCACGTAGGTCCGTTGAAGCACCTTTGAGGGGCAAGCGCTAATATATCACTACTTTATGTACAACATACATCACGGGATCTCTCTGGCAAGATAATAGGCATGGAATTACTGTGATATGTCACATTTATGAACACTCTGGGCTATTTTAATAGAGAGTGAAGCGTAAGTTTTGTTGATTGAATATTCTCCATATCCAGGAAATCATGCCTGAGCTTTTTTGGATTATTGTCCAAGTCCATGTGCTATGCCTTCGTTTAAATGCCCCGACCCCTGCCATGTCCATTCTATTAACAATGTCTTTGAAAAGGGGGGCTGGGTATATCCGATCCCGCGGTAAATGGGTGTCTAATAATCCGGTTTCGACAGACCCAGTCCACATATTATAAAATCCTGGAATATGCTCTAGTAGGCTACCTGTCATAAGCCTCTATAACTTTAGTTAGGTATGCGTACTGATGTTTACCATCAGCAGATATACTCATAGACACCACTTTCCTTCTGGAGCAAACGTGCATTGTCACGATGCTCTCCCCGAAACTTTCTGGCCAAGCCAAATATTCACCAAGTGGTATGTGCCAGCTGAAACAACGTCTCCATCTGTTGGAAACTAGAAGCTGAATCTGGTACCGTTTCAAATCCCATGGATGCTGAAGTGGGTCAAGCCAAGTAACATCGCGTATGATATTGCGTAAGTAGGCCACGACGCCCAGCGTCTGGCTCTCTCACTTGATCATTGCAATGGGATTCTCGCGCTCAAAGAAGAATATAGTTGGCGCGGCTTATTTTTTTTTATCTTCTGAAGCAGTTGGACGATCGGCGGATTTTCCTCGGGCCATTCATGCGTATTCCTTCTTTTGCCAGCTCCCTGGCACCAGTGGAAGGTCTGGCTGGGACATTCCCGGCTGGGACACATCTTGGTATCCCTCCTCAAGTGTAGGAGACAACCACTGTTCCCGCCTGCGAACTCGAGTGCACATTCGCGGGGCGCATTGTGATGCGAGGCAGATGATGATTAGGAACACGACGGTGCAAACTGCTGCCACTGCGATGGCGATGATCAAGTCTTTTAGAAAGTTGCCATTAACTTTTACCGAACCCACTGCTTGGGACATCTTAGTTGCGTATTTGGTATCGTTGGGTTATGAGAAAGTGGAAAGCTCTGAGTAATATCTGTCGTTGAGAAGTAGGGAGGAAAGTGAGAGACGTGGTAGATAAATGCGGATGTCTATTGTTGGTTGAGGCTCTTTGTATAACTGTATAATGAAAACCGAGAGAAAGCAACAACGTAGGGGTACCTTCAAAGACTTTATTTTGTTTCAACAAAGAGGATATCGATTATTAGGTAGGAAGTCTACCAGCGTTTAACTTAGAATTCAACAACACCTACCTTCACCTTTACAGCTCACAGCCACCGGAGGGCAAGTCTCGTATATAACAAGATTAGCAAAAGGTCCTACATGAATCCGAGACGGTAGCAGGATCCATCTCTGCCTAGATATAAGCGCTAGGAAATGATAATTGGTTCTGAGTGGTTTTGTTGTGAGACACAGCCCCATTACTATGATAGGTATTCGATTGGGATAAAGTGTACTATGTACTACCTACCTACCTACCTTAAACACGGAACCGTAGGGCTATGCGCGGGCCTGGCCGGGGATCACCTGGTCCTATTAATAGACGCCTAAGAAGCGCCGACGAATGAGAAACATGAAATCGTTAGTGTAGGTACTTGGGTTGTTGAAAATGATCTGGTAGCGGGTAAGGTAAGAGGTACCTTACTACCTAAGGTATTAGATTAGGTACCTAGGTAGGTACCTAATTTTAAGGACTTGTACCAGGTAATCAACCCTCTATCATTTCCAATAGCAACAACAACATCAATAAAGATAACCATCAACAAAAACAAGTACTCTCCAGCCCCATGATATGTTGGTCAATCGTTTCGTAGCCTATCTTGTCATCTAATTATTCTTCGGATTTTAATTGCACGAAACAAGTGTTAGCCCAGGGGGTTATTGGCAAAACCACGTCAATAACGAACGAGACATGCTATGCATCGTGTTAGTGCCAGGCTGAGGCGGTTGAAGAGTTTCGTTTTCCTCACCGGACCCGCTATAAATCTGGAAATCTCTTAGATCTTATCCTGCTTATCGCTTATATAATACATAATGTACGCAAGCCGAGTGACGTCATCAAGAGGACAAGGAACGTATTGTGCGACGTCAAGTAATTCCATGGAGCTTTTATTTTATTTAGTCTACCGGCTTTTTAGAGTTGGACGAGTCAAGACAGAAAAAAAAAAAGGAAGAATACTCCCATATGTCTATCTTAGGGTAGTTATACGTCAATTGTACGTAGAAAATAGAGCGCGATGAACTATGCGTTTAGAGCGTCTTCGCAGTTGACAGCCTCGAGCATACGGCAGTTCGTTAGACGACCTCTTGCTAATACACATCTTACTTCGACGATAATTCCAATACCGAGGACGAACCCGGTGCTATCTTGGCATTCTCGGCAATTTATAACTACACCGCACCCTGGGAAAGAGAACCTTAATCACGAGACGCCAAGAGAAACAAACGAGAGAGACCAAGCCGCGCACGAACAAGAAGTTACCGCCGGAATCGAATATGCCACGAAGCAGCAGATCAAGCGTCCCTGGCAGAGGGAGGGCGCCGACCAACCTCCCGTTAGCGAGGCTAGGCGGACTATGAACAAGGCCATGACCAAGGGTATATATACCTGACTACCCTACCTACCTACCTCACATGCTCGCCCCATCGGCCCTGAAACGATCGAATAGACAGACGGAGAGATAGACTAATAACAATCGATCAACTAGGAAAACTCCTAACCACTCCAACCCGGCTCCTAAAACTAATCCTCCCTCTCCCCGTCGACGCGACCCACGACGAGCACGGCAACAAAGGGGAATTCCGATCCCTCGCCCAGAACGAAGACATCCAACCCTTAGCCCTCCTCGTCCACCCGCAACAACCCCTCTCCTACCTCGAGCGCCTGATCCAAGCCGAGCTGCCCCCCGTCCACGACCGCGACGGCCGCGAGAAGATGCCCAACGTGTACTTCCTCGCCGAGGGCTCCGAGCGCGACGAGACGGGCCAGAAGACCGGCATCGGCAAGGAGAAGCCCAACATCGCGTCGTACTCGGGGCTCGGCCGCGAGGGCGCCGACACCCCGCCCGAACACAAGGACTGGGTGCGCTGGAGCAGCTCCACCGAGATCGGAGACTTCATTCGGGACGCCGCGCGCGGGAGGGAGTTCGCCATCGAGATCGCCGGGCTCGATAACGGCAACGGCAACGGCCGCGGCAGCGACGGCGCCGAGGTGCGCGTCGACGTGCCCAGCTTCAACGACCGCACGCATTACATGCGCGAGCGCCTGCGCCGCATGTCCCGGCGGATCGAGGCGCTGTCCAAGATCAAGCACGAGTGCGACATGCTGGCGCACCGGGGCGCGCACCGGATCGCCAAGGCGGGTTTCGTCGCGCTGACGGGCTGGTGGGGCGCCGTGTACTTCCTGACCTTCCACACGGACCTCGGCTGGGACCTGATGGAGCCCATCACGTACCTGGCGGGCGTGGGCACCATCATGGGCGGCTACCTGTGGTTCCTGTTCATCAGCCGCGACCTGAGCTACCAGGCCGCGCTGAAGATCACGGTGTCGCGGCGCCAGAACATCCTGTACCAGGAGCGCGGGTTTGACCTGCGGAAGTGGGAGAGCCTGGTCCACGACGCGAACGCGCTGAGGAGCGAGATCAGGGCTGTGGCGGAGGAGTATGACGTCGACTGGGACGAGACCAAGGATCTCGGCGGGGAGGATGTGAGGGAGGTCCTCGAGCACGAAGAGAGGAAAGGGGAAAGCGATCGTGAACGGGAGGAGAGGGATCGCAAGGAGAACGGAAGACATAAGCCGGATAAAGATGATGATGAGTCATGATACCTGCGTAATACACATAGAACATACCAACCTGTAGAATAGCCTGTAGTTCATTCCGATCGAGATCGAGTTTATAAATCGTGCTATGTAATGTAATACACGCAGAGAGGCAAAAGTTAGATGAGCAAGGCCAATTTTTGTCTATACCTACCTAACCTAGGTACCTAATTTTTCTTTTCCTATTTTTATCATCTCCTTAGAAAACCTCTCGGATATTGGCCCTCGCCTTTCCGAGTTCACCAAATAGAAACCGCTCGACCGCTCTCGAGATTTTTTTTACTAAATTAAGCATTAAGACTTTGTCGCAGCACCTTGATCTGCTCTAGAACGCTCTCCTTGCTGGTGCCGCCCTTGGCAGACCGCATCTCCACGCTGCGCTCGTAATCGAAGTACTCGGCAATATCCTTCTCGAAACGTTCGTCTATCGACTTGAGCTGGTCGTATGTGAGCTCGTTCATGGGAGTATCTGTCTTCTCGGATAGAGCCACCACGCGGCCCGAGATGTGGTGCGTCTCGCGGAATGGCACGCCCTTGCGGACGAGGTAGTCGGCAATGTCAGTAGCGAGCATAAAGGGGTCGAGAGCGGCGCGCATCTTCTCGGGCTTGATGTCGAGCGTAGCCAGCACGCCCGTCGCGATCTGCACGCTGTCGCTGACCGTCTTGACCGTGTCCAGCATGGCCTCCCAGCTCTCCTGCAGATCCTTGTTGTACGTGCTAGGCAGGCCCTTCAGGGTCGTCATGAACCCGGCCATCTGGCCGAACACGCGGCCGCTCTTGCCCCGTAGCAGCTCCAGGCTGTCCGGGTTCTTCTTCTGCGGCATGAGCGAACTGCCGGTCGAGTACGCGTCGGCCAGCCGCACGAAGCCGAATTCGGCGGTCGAATATATGATCAGGTCCTCGGCCCACCGCGAGACGTGTTGCATGAGCATCGAGGCCCACTGCAGGGTCTCTGCGACGAAGTCTCTATCCGCCACCCCGCCCATCGAGTTCCACAGCAGCCCCTCGAAACCCAGTTCCGCGGCCATCATGTCGCGGTCGATGTTGAAGGGGTTACCGGCGAGGGCACCGCATCCTAGGGGGCTCTTGTTGACACGCTTCACGACCTCGCGTAGTCGCTCCAGGTCGCTGGCGAAGGCCAAGCTGTACGACATAATCCAGTGGCTCCAGCGGATGGGTTGGGCGCGCTGCAGGTGCGTGTAGCCAGGCATGACGTGGTCCACCTCTTTCTCGGCACGCTCAGCGGCGACCTGGAGGAAGGTCACGATGTGGCCTTCGATTTTACGTAGCTCATCTCGCAGCCACATACGCATGTCGCATGCGACCTGCTCATTGCGGCTGCGTCCAGTGTGGAGCTTGCCGGCCACCTCTTTGCCGATGATCTCACCTAACCGACGCTCATTTGCAGTGTGTATATCCTTTTATGAGAAATTAGTTACCTTGGCTCCCTTAAGCTGGCTTGGGGGAGTTATAAGTGCATAATATGCATGAATACAAACATAAGCACAAGCACAAGCACACACACCTCGTCTACACCGGGGACAATGACAAATGAACCATTATCCCATTCCTGCATGACAGCTTGCAGGCCCTTCTCGATCTTGTTGAATTCATCTTCTGTTATAATGCCCCCCTTCTTGTTAGCCCGGGCGAAGGCGATGCTGCCCAAGATGTCTTGCTTGTAGAGCTTCTTATCAAAGTGGATACTCTCGTTGTAAGCCACCATGAGAGGGTCGAGGCCGCCTAGGACAAGAATTAGCATATCAATTTATCAGTAGGCTGTTCTCCCCTTAGCACAGCATTGGCGTATGAGCTTGTGATGATTTTGTTGGCATCTGTACACGATGTTGCATAACACACGTACCAGTGAAGCGGCCTCCCCATAACATGTTCTCGCCGGGTTTAGAATTCGACGCCATGATTTATGTTATTCGCCTTAAAGGGAGAAGTGAAAATGACGGGATTAAGGGGGGTATCAACCAATTCGCGATGGGTTAGGTATATAAAAGTTGGTTGGGTGACTCATAAGAGAGGTGTGCTTCGATGTCGGGGTCCTTATCAGAAAATAAGACGATGGAAAATTGATTGACCCCTCTATAATCTGCCCCTCACATAACAATTTCAATTGTTGCATATCTTTTAGGTAGCTCCCCTCATTTTAGCGCGTATTATAGTATGTAGGTAGATAATGTAGCGGGGTTATTAGCGGAGGTGATATCACAATAGGGCTGTTAAGCTGAAGGGTTCATCCCGGTTCCTTCCTTACCTTATTTGAATTCTTCCGTTGCGAACGGTCACTTTTACGCTTAATAATAGTTACTTTCTCATTGGGTACCTACAGCTTGGTCCCTAGGTATGACACGCCACTGTTTTTCATGGCTTGAAGATTTAAACATATCAGGTTCGGAAGGAAGAATCTGGGGAAATTTCTAAGATCAAGTTGACCCCAAGACCAACTCCAAAAACCCTGAATGGCCCTAAATTCCCAAATGTAACATTCAACTAACACCACAATCCCCTGATTTCCCCTCTCTCATGACTTGCAAGACAAGTTTTTACACGGTGTCTCCGTAACCACAAAACTGGAAAACCCCCGCTAATATTTATTTATTGCCATTTTTTCCCGCGCGCCAAGTCAAGTGGTATGACGTTTCCCGAAGTCAACGAAACGGAATCGCCGTTTGTATTTGCTGGGTAGATAAAAGATACCTAACCTAGGTATTCAAAATTTAAATCATACCTTAGGTATTTTTCTCTTCTTTTGGCTTCCACGGCCTCTCACGATGAGATCTTACTGAGTTTGTTCTCGGACTCATCCATCACACATCACACATCACATGAGCACGACGTTTGTTGTCTATTAAGCTATCTACCTACCTAACTACTACTACCATTGCTATTACTACTATTGCTACCCATTTCAATATTTAACTGTTATATAACAGTATATCTAGTACATCGAAAATGAGTGATAACCCCCACCACTTCATATAGATTTCACATCCTACCTACATAAAATCACGATAAAATTGACCTCAACCTATAGTTTCGCACATTCAAATCTCTCTCAAAACCAATGGCACCGTCTTTTGTCCACTTGCCAGATGGCCAGAGTTTCACAGTTCAGCCTGTGTTTGCCGGTCTATTCTTCAAGTCCAATGAACACAATCACCACCGCGGCGCGTTTCCTGTGGGTTGGACCGTCGTTATACATAGTGAAGATAATCCTGAAAATCATCTTCACGATTTTATCATAAATGATAAAATCGATACCAATGAGCCCCGCTCCAGGCGTAGCCATATTCTCAAATACGGCGAGCCGACCTTGCAAAATGACACCATATTCATCTCATCCATCTCGGATCCCCCAAGCAGCGAATATAGGCCTCATGCCAGCCAGTCCCGACAGATAGCCATGTTTCTGTGGGTGACGTTGTACTGGTACTTCCAACAGCCTGAGCCATCACCCTACGTTTTGACGGAACAATCTAAGCATGTTCCTCCAGAAGCAAGACCTAGGGGCGAATGGCGCGTCAGAATCAAACGCGATGGCGTCCTACGCACTCGGAACATGATACCAAAATTAGAGAGAATGGGTTTGATATCAAGCCTAGACTCAACCGTTGGAGAGAGCTCCGACGAAAATAGTCATGCATGGGATATGATGTTCATGACTAGACGAGCATTCTGGCAGATCCCTAGTGGCCTATTTCTTTTTACTCTGCAGCCGTTGAAGCACAGCTCATCGTATCCCGGATCGCCTAATACCAGCCGCCCTACTTCCCCAGTTAGAAGCGATGCAGGCCAGCTAGCGACGTTGTCCAACCAACAAACTGCTGAGCCGCCATCTTCCCCCATCGGGCCTTATTACTCACCCTCTCACCTCCCAACCTACTATCCTCCTGCGCCATTGCAGTACATAATAACGAATAATGTCCGGCATCCTCTGAGACAGAAGCCACCACACATGGGTGAGATCTTCTATACCCGCTTCGTGCCTAGTGTAGGAAAGTATCTGTCATTTCGCGTGGCATCCCTCTCGCCAAAGCCCGTCATATACCTTGGACCTATGGGACCTGGCGAGAGGGAGAATACGTACTTAAATACCGTATCCGACACCACCCTCCTTCAGATGTGGTTTTCCAAACCCAGAGTCCAGAAGTTTTGGGGAGATTACCAAGACAATTTCCTCTCAAGTGCCCTCCAGTCGCGTCACTCATTTCCGGCCATCGGGATGTGGGACGGCGTACCCTTTGGATATTTTGAGATCTATTGGGTCAAGGAAGATACTCTAGGACGTTATATGGGCAACCACGCGCAGGACTTTGATAGAGGCATTCACGTGTTGATTGGCGAGGAATGGGCGAGAGGAAAAGTTCAGCAGTGGCTCTCAAGCATCGTTCACTGGTGCTTCCAGGCAGACTATCGTACAATGAATGTCTGCCTGGAACCGAGGGTTGACAACACGAGGTGAGTCTTACCACCACCACCACTACCATACGCGGAAGTCCGCCGGTTTATTAACGCGTGCATATAGATTTATTCAGCACCTCCAGGCCGGAGGTTTCGCGAAAGAAAGGGAAATATCTTTCCCGCATAAACGAGCGTGGCTCTGCCGACTCGGTAGAGACGCGTGGGATGGTCCCTCCATGTGAGGAGGATATTTGCAGAAATATGATTAATGATACCAGTTTTCATTGTTCTTGCATCCAGTGGCGCAATGATAACGACGACCTTAGATACGGAGCGGGCGCTGCATGCATTTATTACGAGAGGCGAGGCACTGACGCATATGCATGGCTGAGGGAGCAAAAGGCTTAGATTTATGAATTTCAACCGGATTCCGACTTGGCTATTACTTATCACGCGATATTCTATGAGACAGGGCAGGCATAGGATTTGTCCAAAATACAATATCCATTATACATCACGTATCATACATTATACGTATAACTGTACTCTAAAGGTTTCCGTTAAGACGACAGACGAAAAAAAGAAAAAAAAAGTCGTTGACGACACCGACAGAATAAATATTCCGCGACGCGATTTCGAGCAAACTTTTCTTTGATCTGTTACCGCCGCCTATGATACACGCTAAAGCTCCATAAGAGGTACCTATGTGAGCATCTGATTTATCCAACCCGATTTCGGGACCGAAATCGAAAAAATTAAACTAAATAGGTGGCGTTACTGGTTTTGAATCATTGACCTCATCGATAGGTTGGTTCATGTTGTGTCCCTTGTTTCACGCTGCGCCTCCCCGTAACACATCATCCCATATAAGCTATCACATATAACTTACCTTGAAGGCTCGGTCCAGTTTTGCCCGGTCGGTGTCACTTACGCCCGGGCTCACTGATTGTATCGTACCTTTTAGCAGCAGCAGCAGCAGCAGAACCAGCAGAACCAGCAGGATCTTAATAACCAGTAAAAGGGAACTCTAAAGTACCTATTCGATCGCATTCGCTGGGCTTTTTCTGACTCACCGTCTGGGCAAGTAGTTCTAGGGACATACGGACTGGCCAGAACTTTATTAATATCCATTTCCTCAAGTCGTTTGCGTCTGTGTTTCCGGAAAGCAACTTAACTCCTGCACACAACATCGACTAATCTCCTATTCTCACTATCCATATCCTATCACTTTCTTTAGCTCTCTCCATCGTTTCGGGTAGCAGCAGCAGCAGCAGCAACAGCGCCATGTCTACCATTACCATCCTCGTCGTCGGCGCAACAGGCCAACAAGGGGGCTCCGTGCTCACCGAGCTCTCTCGCCAACTCTCCTCTATCACCACCACCACCACAGCAACACCCGAACCCGAGGCGAAGATCAAGCCCAAGGTCAAGGTCCTCGCGCTAACCCGCTCGGCCTCCTCGGCCAAAGCCCAGGCCCTGCCGTCCAAGTACCCGTCGCTGGACCTGCGCGTCGTCGAGGGCGACGCGCGGGACCCGGAGCCCATCTTCCAGCAGCACCCGGACATCCGCGCGGTGTTCAGCTACACGACGCCGCCGGACGAGGAGCCGCAGGCCACTCGGCTGGTCGACGCCGCGCGCGCGCACGCCTCGTCGCCAGAGGAACCCACCCATTTCGTCTTCTCGAGCGTCGACCGCGGCGGCGAACTCAAGTCCTGGGATTCCCCGACCAACGTCCCGCATTTCGCCCAGAAGCACAATGTCGAGGTGCATCTGCGCCGCGTCGCGGGGGCGTCAGGCGGGATGTTGACGTACACGATATTGAGGCCGGTTGCGTTTATGGATAATTGTAAGTCGGTCGTCAGCTCACCTGAGAAGCCAAACTGGCCGACCTACATAACTTCAATCTATTCCTCATCCCTCCCCCCATCCCCCCCTTTTTTCCCTTATGGTAGAATCTTACCGTAACATCTAACATTCTTCGCTCCCACCCCATCTTCTTCTTCCACGTGGTACAATATACCACAACCCCCCCTTACCACTACAACTCTCATGTAACCGCCGTTCTAACCACACCGCCACAGTGAACCCCGGCGGCGCCTTCGGCATGGTATTCGCCAGCCTGTGGAACACGATACCCCCCACGCGCAAGCTGCAGCTCGTCAGCGTGCGGGACATCGGGGCCTTCGCGGCGGCGGCGCTGCTGCGTCCGACGTCGGCGCGCTTCCGCAACCGCGCGGTCGGGCTCGCGGGCGACGAGCTGACCCTCGCGGAGGCGCGCGAGATCTACGCGGGGCTGTCCGGCGGCGCGGCGCTGCCGCAGGCGTGGAACGTGGTCGGGTGGGCGGTGCGCGGGCTCGTGGCGCGCGACGTGGGCGCCATGTTTCGATGGTTCGAGACGGACGGGTATGGGGTGGATATACGCGCGCTAAGAGATGGACAGGATGAGGGGGAGGGGGAGCCGAAGGTGCAGGATTTGGAGACGTGGTTGAGGGAGAGTAGCAAGTTTGAGTTTGAGGGGAAGGAGTAGTAGAATGGGCGGGGATCGATTGGATGGGCTGGGGTTTGAGAAGTGGGTGTGTCCTGTTGTGCTGTGCTGTGTTGTGAATTGATGGGGAGGGAGGGAGGTGGTAGTTTAGGTTAGATAGACAGAGAGAGAGAGAGCCTTACCTACCTGTGTAGAGACTACTTACTAGACAAATAGACCATTATGAATTACACAGTACCGCATGTTTAGCGGACATGCCTGTCTTGATAACGTAAATGTGTCATTACTCTATGGACGTGAGAAATCTAAACTTCCGCACGAAGATAGTTGGTGTCATAACTGAATTGACGACGACCTCATTAGAACGAAACGGAATAGTGATCTTCTTTTTCCAGGACTTTCCATTCAGAGCACGTAATAATTTACCGACCGGTAGGCAACATCTCGTGACGATTTAATAAAGCATTTCTTTGTCACGTTACCGTCTGTGAGGTATTCCTTATAGGTGGAGATAGCAACGTCAAGCCCTCGAGTTGACATCGTTCTACATTTTGGTAGTGTAGCGGTTTGATAGCTATCTTCCGAACTCTTACAATCTTTCTGCTCTTTTGAGTGAAGCCCCCGTTATCTATATTGATCTCTTCTAAATAAGTGACGAAGAGATGACGCGGCCTTGCCGATAGCTAGGGTCTTTACGCTATGCCTACTTCAGGACCTATTTTCGATAAATAATACACCAATTCTTTCCCTATATCGTTGAGAAAATTCATTATCAGGTATGGTTAAACAGATGAGAATATGCTGTCTCACTATAGTATGCTTTGCGCCTTATATAGGTACCTAACCTTATATGAGAATCTATAGGTGTTCAGCTTGAGTCAACAAAGTTCTAAGTGAATCAATAACTCTATATGCTAAGGTCTTTTGAATTCGATTTGCTACCTGATTCTCATAATGTGACTTGGTAAACGTCCTCACATTAAGATCCGATGCATCTTTCCCATGCCAGAAATATTACTACAGTATACTAATACGGCAGCAGTACTAGATATATAAAGCAATGATTATAAATGTTTAGGTAACAAAAGATAGTGGCCTTCGTTTATAACTCATGCTGGGTATGAACGTATATATTTATATTGTAGGTAACTATATTGGATGGAGTACTAATAATACCCAGTCCTAACACAATTAGCTAGAACAACCAGTGTCGTGTTAGTAAGGTTATTTGGCTAGGGTTGACCTCTTACGAAGTTTTATCCCAAGGGACCAAGGGACCCTAAGCCATACGGATTTAACCTTAGAAATTTAATATCCCTGGCGCCTAAGGCCCAGGAGGAACACGGGCAATACTTATGAAGGATGAGAAACACTGGTAGCGCCGCGTGCGAATGGCTTCGTGATTGGAAGTCATCAATTATGAACTTCTCCGCCCATAAGGCTCGAAGGGGAAGATTGCACTAATAATTGCCATGGCGAGAAAGAGGGCTGCGCAGAGGTAAATCGGGACGACAGTCCCGGTGTCAGCGGTACTGGCGACAATTGCGGAGATAATGCCCATTATACGATTGCATCCGACTGCAATGCCGTTCCCCGTCGCACGATGAGCACTTGGTAGCACCTCAGGGGTATACTAAGCCAATTAATTAGTATTCAAGCATTGAAAGACATTAGAGATCTGGTATCAAAGGGTGTGTCTTGTTCCAGAAGTGTAGCTCCATTTTCCGGCATCTTTCCATCTACGGGGCTCGTAATACATACTGCATATAAAGTTCCGTAGTAGATGTTGAGGCAAAACGCAATAGCGCAGCTGAACCCAACGTTTTGCGCCGGAGTGGACACTGCTGTGTAGGCGAAGAAAAAAGCCATGGTCACTAGCGCCCCTATCGCCATGGTATATCTTCGACCAAGAATTTTAAGGTTGCACATATATGCTGCTAAGGCTGGCCCAAAGATGCCGGATATATTTGTGAGCGTATAATTGCGCCACGTTTCGAAGGTTCCCACGCCATCTAACGCTCCACGGCTGGCAAGGTACGTGCTATACTCTCGAGTTAAATAGGGGTCTTACTTGGCAGATACTAAAACATACTTTAAAAAGACGTAGAAAAGAGGGTAACTAATAATGATTAGCGCTTCAACCAGATATACAGGTTCTCTAACTTGAACCTACGCAAGCCCGATAAGTGTCCATGATAGCCAAATGAGTACGGTCGAAATGCCCATTTTCATCGTAACGAAAAGCCCGGAAAGATGAATGAAGGTCTCCTGAAGCGAATAGCGTTTCTCGCTGTGCGCAGTTTTTACCGTCCCGCAAGCCTCCAACTTCTCCAAGGTTAGCGTACAGCGTCGGTTATATCTTTTGGCGATCGAATGTAGCGTCTCGACCAACTCGGCATCTTCTCCGGTCCCTAGGCGGTACTTTGGAGTCTCCTGTAGACGAACCACCGTAACACGTGCAATGGACATGGCGAAAACGAGCGCTCCCGATGTGTACATGACATACCGCCACCCCTGATTGGAATCCCTTGGGCAGTTATCGGCGGATTCGCAGTTCCAGCGAGGCGGAACTGTATCCATATCAGAACCCTAACGACTCAAGATTTTGACGAGGAGCTCACCTAAGAAACCCCAACAAATGAAGCCGGTGACTGCCTGACCAATACCCCACCAGCAGGCTAGAAATGTCAGCGCCCACTGCTTGTTACCTGGGAGGTACTCGAGGAAAACAGTTGTGTCTAATATGAGATTGCCGCCAGCTCCAAATCCGACCATGGCGGTAAAGAAGCCTAGTGAGGCCCAATTAGGAGCGGCACCCGACACAATGGTTGCTACGGCGGAGATAAAGAGAGATATGTTGAACGCCCAGCGCCGTCCTATAATATCGGCGCTCATGCCCCAGAAGAGCGCCCCAACCAGCATCCCAACATATGTAGCAATCGTCTGGGCATTGTCATATCCGACCTGACCAAACTCCTTGAACGCGGGAATGGCTATGTTGCTTTGGAGTAAGAGGACTAAAGAATCGACGGCATATCTATGAGATCGCGTGAGTCTTCAATGGTGACCTTTTTCGGTTTCGAGCGATAGTAGCATTCTTACCCAAACCCGTTTAAAACGAACAATTTCCAATGATAATTAGTCCACCCAATCTCGTCAATGGCCTGAAGTGCGTTAGCGATCTGTCCGTCGGCTATCGACGAACTCATTGGACAAGTCCCACGTTATTGACAAGGTGCATCTTCGCGTTCAGAGCAGGATCCAAGTCTTGAAGCGCTAGAACCTCCACGGCATCGTCCGTGGCGGAATCCTCAGCATTTCCAACATCTCTTTCAAAGAGACCCGGGTCTTCTTCGATCCTCTTTTCCTCCGTTGACATTTTCAAAACAGGCACCTCTACGTGCTAACCCGACCTAAATTAAAATATTCTGGACAAATGGGACATGGGTGGAAAAAGCAATTCGGACAAAGGCCAAGACGTAGGTATCGTATATATTCGTGGTATTAGGGTATGCTAGGAATACTGACTATGGTATTCGGCAGCAAACAGGAAAAGATGCAAAGAGATGCGAAAGCAGCAAACCGAGAGTTTTCACATAAGCTTCCAGATGGAAATTGAGAGCCCCCCCGATAAGCGACTGACCAACTACGTAATGGCCATATCCGTCCATTTGCGTACAAGGGCTCGGTAGGTACTTCTTACCGAGAGATAAGATGAGGGATTCCTAACTACATAAGGTAGGTACCTAGAGGTAAGCAAAGATTTGCCGGGACGAATAAACAAAGGTCTGGGGGTATTGCCTGTAAAGGCGACGTAAGTAGTATAGCATGAGAGTAAGAGGCGTTCTCAGCATACGAGACGAGCTAAGTCTAAGTTAAAGCTGCACAGCTTTACTAGCACGTACCTATATTCAAGGCACGGAACCCTCGTGCTAACCCTCGTGCTACCCAAATCCGACGTTGATAGGTTCTTCCGTGGGGGAGACCGTCGTTGTGCCCCACGCCACACTTTAGCGTCCGCTGGAGAGATCATGATCCGCGGGATACCTGTAACACTATGGTATAAAGGCAGTATGGGTTAGGTACCTCTTAGGTAGGTTAGGTACCTGAGATATAGTTGCTGTAAATCAAGGGCTTTTTCCATCTCCATCCTGATTCCTGCCCCTTGACCGACAGTCTTCTTTTCCTTGCTAACAGAAATGGTTAACGGCCATTTGGAGTGATTCCACGACTCCATGAGGCGACCGAATGCATATTCGTCTAGTTTTGATCCTAGGCTCTTTTCAATCGGATTTGTAAGGGATATCGCTGGACACCCTTTCGACACCAAAGACCACAATGGAAAGATCAAGTAATAAAGTCGATGATATAATAGCTTTATCGGTTGTGGAATTATCAAAAAGATGAGAACAAACAAAGAAAAGAAAATGCAAGAGCTCGCCTGCCATTTTATCAAGCAGTTGTCCCGGACCAATTCGGACTGTGCATTTACGTAATAACGTCATTTGATATACTGTACGGAAGGAATATACCATACTATGAGGTACCTAGGCAGGTGGGGGGAAGGTAAGGGAGCTTGGATCAAGGGAAGTGCCAAGGTTAAATAAACTTTCCTTTTATCTTATATCTATCCGAATGCCAAATCGAAATCTTCTATTCTTCCACGCGTTACAACCGACGTATGACTTAATCTAGCTTGGGTCTAAGCATCACATCACAATGTACGACCGTCCAATAGGAATAGCGAGATTCCCCACGTTGGGAGGCTCTCTCACGAGTCAACGAAGTAACCACACAGGTTGGACCGGTCATATAAGATACCTCGTACGAAAGTCCCATGTAAGTGCATACATATTTCGGTAAGTTTATCGGAAGATTTGCCTACCTACCTCCTAGGTAGATAGCTCTCAGTTGTGTAGTAACCGATTCAATAAAAGAAAAATCCAATTAAGCTTATGGAAGCTCTATCCAATGAGATTGTTTTGATTAGGTATTCTCAGCTTTTCCTTCCTCGGTATTCAATCCGCAAGCATTAGGTAGAGATATAGGTTATTTATAAATAAAGTGATGTCAAAACTCGCCGACAAGTAGATCTAATCCTGACTTAAATATGACGAGCAACAGTTCTTAAAAGGAAGAGCTCCCTCGTCTTCCGTTCAAGTGAATGGTAAGGAGCACTGCAGGCCATCCCTCAGATATCCATCATGGTTTATAGTATTCCTTATGTGTTCCTCGTTGGTGCTGCTTCGGCCGCATTCACAGGCAATATCAACTACTTTTCTCCTTCGAGGCACCACCCATCGCTAGGTATTTCGATTAGCAAAGTAGCTAAACGAACAGCCGTGAACTCGCAATGGGATCCAACTCAGTTAAACTTCACTCATGGTGTTGCTTCTGGTGACCCATACGACGATAGCGTCATTCTCTGGACAAGGGCCGCACCGTCTAGTGATAATGATAAGAGTAACGTAACTGTGACAGGTTACGTTTCTCTTTACGATCACTCAACCGAGAAGTTCGTGGCAAAGAGCAGCTCGCCAGTATGTGTGGATTGGAAGATAAGTAGTTCCGAATCTTTAGAAGATATCGCGGACTCTGGTAGAGCATATACTAGTTCCGATATCGACTACACAGTTAAGGTAGGGTTAGTCCCAAGAACACGCTTATAGATGTGCTAATAGCATTTATAGGTCGAAGCAAAGAGATTGAAGCCTTTTACAACTTATTGTAAGTATAGCGCGTGATACAAAGTTGGAACTTTGCTGACATGGCTATTGTTAGATTATCAATTCAACGTGTGCAATTCCAACAATACCTCTCCTGTTGGTCGTACCAAAACAATACCTTCTGCGCGTGACGAGGTATCAGAGCCAGTGAGACTTGCCATATACTCATGCAGTAATTATCGTAAGTTTCGGCTTACTCAGTTTCTATCGCCTTCCTGGTTGTTAACGTCAGGTATTGTGTAGCATTTGGTTTCTTCAACGCATATGGCAATCCAGTTAGAAAGGATTCTGTCGATTATGTGATCCACCTTGGCGACTATATATACGAATACGCAAACGGCGAATATGGCTGGGGTGATGCCTACGATCGAATCCCGCTCCCAAATCGAGAGATATTCACGTGTGTAACACCAGAGAAACTTCATACTTACCATATCCAATCTGACTGACGTATGGGTAGCCTCTACGACTATCGGAAACGCATCGCTACCTATAGGACCGATCTTGACCTACTTGCGAGCCACCAGAACTTCCCCTGGATACCGGTCTGGGATGACCATGGTATGCTTTCTAATTTGTGACCTGCAAACTCCAGTGCTAACCATAGTTCCGAACAGAGGTAGCCGACAATTCTTGGAGGAGCGGTTCCGCTCATCTAAATAATTCCGAGGAATCCTTCATAATGGACGGTGGTGTATCGGTCGATCAACGAAAGATGAATGCTGTCCGTGCTTACTTTGAATGGAGTGAGTCTTCGAAGGTCGCGTGATGAATGTTTAATGCTGACCCTATCGTTTACAGTGCCTATTCGACAGGTTGATATGGACGACAACTTGCGAATCTGGAGAAACTTTAAGTTCGGAAACCTATTCGATCTTGTTATGCTTGACACCCGGCAGTACGATCGCTCCATTACTGATTTGTATTGGAACACTGAGTACCTTGGCGACATATATAACGATGCCAGCCGAACTCTCATGGGTCCTCGTCAAGAAGCCTGGTTTTACCGCACTTTACGTGAAAGCTCTACTCGGGGTGCTACATGGCGCATCATTGGCAACCAGATAATTTTCAGTCGAATGAACCAAAGTTTGGCTACTGGTGGGAAGCTGCCCTTCAACTATGATCAATGGGATGGGTATCAAGCCAACAGAAACCGCACTTTCCAAACTCTATACGAAAACAACATAGGAAACAATGTTTTCCTAGCCGGCGATTCTCACGCGTCGTGGGTTTCGGATTTAGTTTGGCTCGACGAACATTCGTACGACCCCGCCACCGGATCTGGATCCGTGGGTGTAGAGTTCGCTGGTTCAGCTGTTAGCTCTCCATCCCCGGCCGGACAGAATACGACAATAGACTCTGGTCTTGCCATTTCAGAGTGGTTTACAACAGCAAATGAAGAGCTGCAATGGCAGGACTTTTACTACCGTGGTTATTACGAGCTATCGGTTAGCCACGAGAAGATAGATGCCGCCTTCTTCGGTGTCCCAACGACCACTCTCCGAAACGGGTACGAAATCCCTCTGGCAAATTTCACAGTTCTCGCCGGAGAGAACAGGCTGCATCGAACTAACGGATCGCCTGCTGTTGGAAACGCACAGGCCGGTAGTTTGAAGGGTGGGATAGTTACTAGATCAAACTTGACACATGACACAGAAACTGGGAAATGGTTCACATACACTGGCCCCTGATCTGGCAATAAAGGCAAAACACAGCAGGTAAGGTACCTAACCGGCTTTGCCCCCCTTATGGCACGCATCCATCTTGAATCGCGTTTTTGCACCAAAAACACTCCCTCTGCAGCTTGGAATAGGATTACCCATATCAATGCTATAAAGTTGAAAATGTCCCTATTTAATACGTTATAGGATTCTCCTCTCTACCTAGGCGGAAAGACGAAACACTTTCCGACATATGAATATATATATAATTACCTACCTAAGGTTTAGGAGGTAGGTACGGTAGGATTGTAATTCGATGTTGTATTGAGAAGCGTTTTCTAGTTCTCCCTCCTTACCTACGAAAAGAATGTCCATTACGAGTATATGGTATCCACGACTCCCTCACAAATAGCACTAAGCGCACTTACTTATGAAACCGGACTTCTGAGATGACGTAGCTACCATCCACTGTACACGCTGCTTAGTGGCGTACAATATATATAGATGCCCATCAGTTCTTGTTGTCATACAGACGCAACCATAACACATCTTCACCCGGACCTTCATAAACCCCGGTTCAACAAACAGAGCCACCAATGTCGTCGTCTGAATCTCTTCCTACACCGCCACCTGATGAGGTGCTACGTGGGATACATCTCGCTTGAACTTTAGACACGGTTGATTGTTACTATACTTTGGTAAAAGGTGTCTTTTCCGCGCAACAGCGTACATGCGACTCTAGATATAGATACTATGAGGGTCCAGAATGCTCCCGGCTAACGTGAGAGCTGTGTACCCGGGTATAGCCTGAAGTATCGCCTGAATTGGACATCCTCTTCGATTCCAGTGTTACTCTGGCCAGGCAGCAGCAGGTCTGACAGTCGATCTACAAGAGACTTCCAGACAATGCCGTTACCAACCCTTACCGGTTCCAACATATTAAACCTCATAAATATTTGTCTGCATGAGTACGTGCGCGAAATCCTGGCACTGGGCGGGTTCGATTACAAGAAACCACAGGATGTGTTTGATGAAGAGATACGCGTTGACTCTCGAGGGTTCCCCAGATACGGTTCACGCGTGGCCTCGGCGCCTGAGGGCTGGTTCTGCGGTAACAAAGTAGATAATGATTTTGACTTTCCGCCGAGTAACAACGGACAGGACAGGGTCGCTATGAGGAGTTTGAGAGAGGACTGGGGGCGGGTGAAGCCCGAGTTAAAAGCGGAGCGGCTACGGAGTTTCCACCCGGATCCGGACCAGCGGTACGAAATCCCCAAGATCGCCAGGCCCATCTTCAACTTCGTTACCGCGCGCGTAGTGGAAGCTGGACTGGAGCCGAGTAACTCGCACCTTTCAGGATTGGGATTCCGCGAGATCTCATTATTCTAGGTACGTACCACTTGAATTCCTGAACAACAAGGCCTAAAACCCCATGAACGCCCGCTAGAATAACCACCTACTTTCAAGAATTTATAAGAATTTGAGTTTCGAAGGAAAATGAAAAAAAAAATAAGAATCAAATAATCGATGGCTTTGAGATACCAGTATTTGATATATTAGCCCTAGATAAGAGTGATTAAGTAGTTGTAGTTGTGATATTTAGTTAGATATTTTATAGGAATTAGGGAATGAACTAGGAAATGGAAACAGTATGAAAGGATAGGAGGATTATCTAGGTACCAGGTAGGTAGGTACATTTTAATATCAGGTAACACATCTTATACATTTGTACCTTCTCTTCGAATGAAGAACATGTGCTACGTAAAATGGCAAGAGGCCCTGAGCTTGTGATACCCCGGGCATACTCTTTAGAAGGTGCCAAGCCGAGTGCGTTAGGCTTATTTTAAACATTGTGGAGAGAAGTCCCTGAATTGGTCCAGGTTGGCCAACCCAACCCCCTGGCGATCATCTACCCCTCCACCCACCAGCACCAACTATTCCCCCCTAACAGGAACCTTTTACCTCCCTCCGCTCTCCACTCTCCACCAATATAAAAAAAGAAAAAAGAAAAACATACTTTCAGACCGTCTCTTTTCGATCATTCAGCAGAAACCCCCGTGCGAAAAACTTTATCTACATCATCATGACGGATACAATCTACAAGGCTAGCACCACCGCTCCGGTGAACATAGCCGTAGTCAAATACTGGGGAAAGCGGGATCCCAAATTGAACCTCCCAACCAATTCCTCCCTTTCCGTTACCCTGTCACAAGCTGATCTCCGAACTCTCACGACCGCCACGTGTTCCGCGAGCTACCAAGGCCAGGAAGATTCCCTCATTCTTAATGGCGAACCGTCCGATATTAAGGGTGCTCGGACGCAGGCCTGTCTGAAGGAGCTACGCGCCCGGAGAGCTGCTCTCGAGGCCGAGAACCCGTCTCTGCCCAAGCTGTCCACGCTGCCCCTCCGCATAGTCTCCGAAAACAACTTCCCGACCGCCGCCGGTCTGGCTTCGTCCGCTGCTGGTTTCGCGGCTTTGGTTCGCGCCATTGCGGATCTGTACGAACTACCGAGCTCGCCTACCGAGCTGTCTCTAATTGCCCGCCAGGGTAGCGGTTCGGCTTGTCGCAGTCTTTTCGGTGGATACGTGGCTTGGAGAGCGGGTGAGCAGGATGATGGTTTGGATTCGAAGGCGGTCGAGGTGGCACCTGCGTCGCACTGGCCGAGCATGAAAGCTCTGATTCTTGTCGTTTCCGCCGCTAAAAAGGGGGTTAGCTCGACGTCGGGAATGCAGCAAACCGTTGCTACATCTGACCTGTTCAAGGGACGTGTTGCAAATGTAGTCCCAGCCCATATGGAGGCTATGGAAACCGCTATCAGGGACAGGGACTTTGCTAAGTTCGCGGAGGTGACTATGAAGGACTCCAACTCCTTCCACGCCTGCTGTGCGGACACCTACCCGCCCATCTACTACATGAACGACGTGTCTAGGGCTGCGGTCAGAGCTGTGCAGGCGATCAACGAGGCTGCAGGCAAGACCGTGGCAGCTTATACGTTCGACGCCGGCCCGAATGCCGTGATATACTATCTTGAGGAAGATAGCGCCCCCGTGGTAGGAACATTCTACAACCTACTACAAAGCACGGATGGCTGGAAGGATGAAGCCAAATCGTACGCCTCGACGGCTACGCAGCTAGATGAGACTACATCCGCTTTGCTTAAAGAAGGAGTAAGCAAGATCATAATGACCGGAGTGGGCGAAGGACCAATCAAGACCGACCAGCATTTGGTATAATAGTAAACTACCTCCTATTAATATTCAACAATACCCCCAGTTACGATATATCCAAGTCGCATACCCAATCCCTCGGAATTCGTGGTGAGCATTTGTTATTAGCTTTGAATGATGGCATGAGTTGGCTATATGCTACATGAACGTATAGAGAGAGCAGTGGCAATAGATACAAGATGACGAAAGCGATGCGAGATTTCAAGCATAGACTTATTTAATACTTCTAAAAGATATATTGGGTATCCCTTATATGATGTATCAAATTGTTAACTTTAGGTACACACCACCTACATAAGGTCAGTAACCCCCGGTACCTGAAATACGACATTAGGAGGTAGGTACCTAAGGTAAGAGGGAGGTTCTGGATTCGACAACCCGGTTTTCTTGTCGGTACCTAGGTACCTCCTAAGGTAGATTCCGATTTAGCAGGTGAAAGGCTCCACAAAAAAGTTTCTATGCGAACAGCGATCGCAATCCAACAAGAATTTCTTAGTCAAGCCTATAACCTCCATAAATTCTCAAGTTATACTACTATACTACTTTCCCTAGCTTTTCTAACCCAATTTCCTCTAAATTTTACGAATGATTTAAACGAATATACTATACGATCGAAGCGAAACTCCGAAATACCGTCACAATGTCAGACCAGTCGCAATCCGCATGTCCAGTCGATCACAAGAGCAGAGAGGCATGGCTGCAACAAGCCCGAGCAGCCGGCGCCGCGGGGGCAGAACCCTCTATACCGTCGCAATCCTTACCGCCAGACCATCCTCAGATCCCGACTTCTTCGAATGATAACATCGAAAGCTGTCCTGTAGATCATAAAGCGCGCGCAGCGTGGCTACAACAAGCTGCCCGAGATGCCCCTCCACCTCCCGTGCCGTCTTCTTCCCAACAGCAACAACAACCAACATCCACCTCCTCGTCATCATGGACGTCCTACCTCCCACGCATACCCTTCTTCTCCTCCTCTTCCTCCCAACCATCAACTCTCCCACCATCCCACCCCTCCCTCGACACATCCCGGGAAATCTCCACGATCCCGCGATCCTCCAAGCCGCTCTCCTCCGCTCCCGAACCAGCCTGCCGCCCCGCCAACACGGAGCAGGAAACCGGCGCGGACCCAACCTCGGGCAACTGGGTGTACCCGTCCGAGCGCATGTTCTTCGAGGCCATGAAGCGCAAGGGCCACGACCCCCGCGCCGCCGACATGCGCGCCGTCGTGCCCATCCATAACGCCGTCAACGAGCGCGCGTGGGCCGAGATCAAGGCCTGGGAGGAGCCGTATGTTAAGGGGACTAGGTACGTTACGTTACGTCGCGTCTTTTTTTCCCGCCCCCTGTCTAACAAGAAGGAGGAGGAAGAAGAAGAAGAAGAAGAGAAGGCAAATATTTGTATGAACCAGTCATTGCTAACAACTAATTGTTTTTTTCTTTTTGATTGCAGTTGCGACGGCCCCCGGTTACATTCCTTTTCTGGCCTGAGCACCCAGATGTCCCCCCGCGCCCGCATAAATACCCTGCTGGGCTACCAGCCCCCCTTCGACCGGCACGACTGGGTGGTGGATCGCTGCGGCAAGGAGATTGAGTACATAATCGACTTCTACGCCGGGCGCGGCGGCAAGACTAGCGACGGGAAGCTATCTTTCTATCTGGACGTGCGGCCGAAGCTGAACTCCTGGGAGGGCGTGAAGATGCGCGCTATGCGAGCTGCCGGTCTGGTATAGAAGAAGAAAAGGTCTATAGAAAGATGACTCGTGAGTGCTGGTTGTATAGACTACTAATGTATTATATGATACGGGTGATTGTGCATATATGGTAGCAGGGCGTCCGGCTTGGTTATAGAGGGGATCCCCATTCATCTACAACATTCACATGCACTATATCATATTACTTGAAAAAGCTGTATATGTACCTCTTTTCCTATCCATTACGAGAACCTGTGCCTGAAAGCCAACGCACTTGATGGGGGTATCAACCTAGTTTACATCCGACCAACCGACCTTCCGTGAACTCCAAAAACCCCTTAATCAACTAAACACAAATCCGAAACGAAATCAGCCTTCCATAACGCTGAGACTAAGCCAATTTGTTCTCATCGTCCATAACGATACGAACAGAAGGACCTATCTCCATGGCGTTGGTTTGGAGATCCCAGCCGGCAGCCTTGAGGGCCTTCCAGAAATTGCTATCCACCGGCCAATGCAATCCAGTGAAGGCTTCGGCCCAAGCCTGTAGAGCGGCTATGGTAGGAGCACCCTGTTTCAAGAAGATCTTGTAGCTATCCTGTTGCTGAACAATGACGTAGCTACAATCTCGATACTTCTGGTTTTTGAAATGGCTAATCTCTCGAAGCCGGGGGAAGGTAGTGCCGAAAGAGACAGATGGGCTAATCCAAGTGAGAATGTGCTCCTTTTTCGCGACTTGATCGGGACGAAGAATGGCGCCGCGTGGGCCGGTTGCTTCCTCCAGGATGATAGTGAGCCGCTGTCTGTTCAGAGTACGCATTTGTACGGAACGGACAGCCTGGTAATTGGTCCAGAGATGGACAATTACGAGAACAACCATGGAGATCCCTACAGCTATCTTGCCATGGACAACTTGAACAAACATGCTGCCAGCTAGCATGCCTAAGAGCGAGATGACAGTCTCCTGGCTTCCATCTTTGGCATTGAGCTCCGCGAGGTTCCCATTCTTGGCAAAGTGAGCGCTAAGAGAAGCTTTAGCAGCTCCGCCTGAGACGCCACAAAGTGCGCGAAGGGCACCGGCCGCGCAGAGGGCAAAGGTCTTGGGATATGGAGGGAGAACAGGAGAGAGGATACTCAGGAACAAGGCTGAGTCATTGACAATGTCGGCCAGGAAGCGGTAGTACTTGCATTCCGGCTCAATAGCTCGGCCATGGCGGTGGGCGAACAGGATGGTAGCGATTCTGCCAGTTGACTCCTGCAGCACGGTGAGAAGTACGGCAGCAGTTGCCGAGGAAGCAGAATCTCCAACACCGAAACCTTGAAGAACGGCCCGGGATGAAAGGAGGCCAGCAATAGTGCTGGAGAAAGCCTGAAGAGAATCCTAGCGCGAACATTAGTAAACAGAACATGTGAAGGAAACGTGCATGAATTATCTAATTGCGAGGTAACGTACGTAAATCTGGTACGGCGTGTAATCAGGCGTTACGGTGTGGGGGTAACCAGCCGGGAGAAAGACGTCCAACACATCTTTAGCATAGCCTTTCAGGGTCTTCTTTGGGACAATGGGGTTGCTAGCCTCATCGTAGGTACAGATGACCTCCGATTCATTGTACGCTTTGATGATCTTGGGAGGCGCCATTGTGTTAGAGGTACGATGCGTTACAGCGTTACAGCGTCTTGCAGCAAAAAGAAAGCGGAAGGTTTTCGTTGATTTGTGCAAAAAAAAAAGAAGTTGTTTGAGTTTGGGAGAAAGATTAATTGAAGAACTCTGGTAGAAATAATTTGGGTTAAGTGCTTTGCACAATCACCTCCGTGGTTGCCCTCAGTTATCAATCAGCTGGGAAGGCGTCAGGGAGTTTGCGTCCGTACCTACGTTCTATGCTATGGTGGGGCTTGAGCCGCACAGGCTACAGCAGGAGGTACCTCTGTCCATGCCGTTAAGTAGGAGTTACTATGTATGTACCTGTATCATAGCACGGTTTTGGGGCTAAGAGGTACCCAAGTACTTACTCCAACCCAATTCCTGGATTACCTACCACAAATAGGTACGAAGTAATTCCTCAGTACCTTACCTACCTCCTATTCTTCTTTTCAATCCTAGTGATATAAATCATATCATGTGCTTATACAAGCCTACTGTCCTTACTCAAACTATTAAACCAGAGTGGATTTCTTATGATAAAAGTAGATTTTCGGGATAGAATCATAATTACAGAATGACGAGCCGAACTGTCTTGTACACTTTTAGCATATATAGAAGGCCATCGCGGCATCATACTAAAAATAAATGTCAAACCAAACAGCTCAAGAAGCTCTCAACATCGCCAATTCCAGAAAGTACTTCGCAACAACTAAATAATTCCCAATGGCAAGTTCCACTCCCCAGTCTAGTCTGCTTCTCAGCCTACCCACTGAACTCAGGTTCATCATTTACGAATTGTCCTCAGGCAGCATGGGCCCATCATGCTTTGCAGGGAAAACGACAGGAGGTATACAGTCCCCCATGATGTGGATCGTCGACTATTTGGCTTTAGTCCGGAAGCTTCCAAGTATGGGCATGATGACATCACACGTAAACTCCGCACGGCAATGATAGAGTCGCCCATCCCGGGCACACCGGTGGACAGAGTCCGATACACTGCTCTGCTGGAGACGTGTCGTCAAGTCTACGAGTAGGCCACCCCGTTCCTTTTCTCCCAGAACATGATAGTTATCAGCAGCCCTTGTAGCCATGTGTTTTCCCACTGGCCCCTGAATGGGCTTGAATCCCCCTATTTTAAAAGATTGACAGTCTGGGTTAGCCCGCGCGTTGCGAATGACTTCTTGCTATGGTTATACGTCTTTGAGGTGTATGAAGCGGTAGGATCCGTTGAACGCATCACCGTACTCTTCCAGGAAGATATCTGCGGGATGAGCGAAGAATTTGTGGAAGATGTCTGCGAGGCTGCCGGGAGATATCTCATATATAACGAGGAGCACCCACGCTATACAGTAGATGTTGGATTCTTTCCATCATTACGGTATGCCTTTGATAACTTCTCAGGTTCTTATCCGTAAAGGTCAGATGCAAGAGGAGTTCACCTAGTAGATAATGCCAAACCACCATTAAAAAAGGAAGACAAAAAAAAGACCAGATACAATTAAATGAGGGAAAGTCGTATTCATAGATAATTTAAGGTTACTACTTAAATATGCTGCTTTGGTTGACGGGCGTGATAGCTATTGATTTTGAACAATGGCAACACAAACCGTTGTAGCAAAGGGCTATTATGTGTACCTAAGGTACCTATTTAGTATGTAATATAACAATACACAATCCTTCAATCCCACTCTTCATAGATGCTGTACAGTAAATGTGATTTGATTACTTAAATCGGAAAATATCTTAGTATGTAACTGGGAGTTAAGATGAGCTACCTACCTCATCTTTGCTGCTTTGTCACTCTACAATGTCTTTGGGAGAAAAACTTGAGAAATTGGGCGATGAGGTTTATTTCAAAAAGAATTGATTTACACTAACTCTATACATAGAAAATTTCTCTTCATAACTGATATTGGACAAGTTATTGTAGTTCAAATTTGACGTTAGTTGACTTTTAGAGGGGTGACCCATACAAGTCTGACATCTTCTGACATCAATTTTGAATTGAGATAGATGCTTCAGCCTTAGCTATGAAAAGAAATTTCCTATGTAAGGAATAAGAATTAACTGAAAATGCAGTTTTACAGCTGGTATTCGGAAAGATATCATAGAGTGATAAAATTGAAATTTGGTGTAAAATGGGGAGTGGACCAGAGAACCCAGAGTTAGCCCAATAACCCGATTTCCAACTGCAATGGTAAATTCTAACATCTGCCCATGATTTCAAGAGGGGCAACGTCCGGCACAGAGAATTGGTGTGATTCATCCAACCAAGGTACTTCCGACCTAGTTCCGTGGGTAGTCAAAAAAAAACCCTGGAGCACTTCAGGGGTAATGTCCTAGATACCTAACCATATATGCCATTAGCAATTCTGAGCTCCAAAATACGCCACAGTAAGAACGAAAGCCCCGAGCCCCTTGAAGTCGTTCGATCCACAACACAGAACAGCAGTACAACGACTAGTATACAAAGACAGAACTTTGAAATCAGTTTTCAAAGGCCCGCATAATCACACTAATACTACACAGTAAGAAGTAAAGTCCGACGACATTGAAGATCTGATGTATAAGCATGACCTAGGGGGTTTTAAGTTAATCCATAATTATATCATACCAAGAACTTGCCGAAACGGCCATATCTACCTATGCTTGAGGAAAATCCACTGCCCCGCAGAGAACTCAAGCGTCGTCCATCGATCGCGAAGGACAGCACGCCCAATAACCTAGTAGACACGGTGGGCGCCCCAAGTGATGAACCCATTGGACAGAGAGGAAGACGACGAAAGATAGAGGTACAATATCTCCTCATCCGACAGCATTCGACAAGGGGCACAGAAAGGGCCATAGCATCCCCTTAGTAGGCATGTTCGCTAGGTTCGGGGTCGATGTTAGCAGTCAGTAGGTAGTTGGCCAGGGGGCAGACTGCCACATATACACGATCCGACTACGAACATTGTAGAAGTCAGCAAATCATTTCAAATAATTTTAACCGGAAGTCTACGATTTCGAAGCTCAAATAATTAACGAAGAGAACGCGAATCGTATTAAAAGTATCGTAATTACAAAGAACTCATAAGCGAAAAGGGGTCACAGCCCTTTAAAAAAAATCGGCGTGTGCTAAACCAGATTACCACAACTGTCTGTTACCACGATCCTTGCTTCGTCGACTTTGTGACGCCTGAGACGGCTCAAGCAGCAAGATGTGCCATCGACGGTTGAAGTTTTTGCGGTCGGCGATTGAAGGTGTCCTTCGCCGGTGATCAGTGCTGCAAGAGTGTCAAGAGAAGTAGAATGTCAACATCATGTAGGTAGATGACGACCCAGCCAGTCCATGAATGTGAAATGCAAATGGAAATGTCAACTAGTGACTGTGAAAAACAAGATTAAAAGAAGAGAAGAAGAAAGCTTAGAAGCTTTTCCCGCAACAGATGACCAACCACTCATTACTCTTTTTCCGATCTCCACCCCCTTTTTCCTGGGCCTTTTTTTTTTTTTTTTTTTTTTGTTTGTTTGTTTGTTTGCTTTCCCCTGTTCCTCGTCGTGCACTACCATTAACTACCTCCTAATTCTCCGCATTGCTTCTGTTCCTTTTATGCCATTTGTCATTCCTTCTGCTAAAGAAGCAGATAATAATGGATCTTTCCAACCACTGCTAAATGTTGAGTGGTTACCATAATCCTCAGTGCCTAGTCACTAGACTTGACAAATCTCCAATGTTCGTTCTTCTCGAAACATGCTCCAAGGGAATACTATCCACGATGCCCTCTAATCAACCTTCACGATCACTTTGCAGCTTTCTTAGCTTTGACGCTCTTGGCTTTAGTGACCTTCGAAGCTTTCTTAGTTGGCTGCAGATTTCCCTTTTTCTTGGTTGAATCCTTGTTCGCAGCCTTTTTAGCTTTGGCAGCCTCTTCAGCCTCTCTAGCCTCTCTAGCCTTCGCAGCTTCTGCTTCTGCTTCTGCTGCCTCCTTTTTCTGCTTTCTCAACTCTCTCTCCAATCTGGCGGTGTTATTCTCCCACGCCTTGGTCCAGTAAGCCCATGCCCTGAACCTCTTCTTCGTCACCTCGCCGGTCCTCACGCGAGAAGTCGGGGCGTTCTTGTTGAGGAAATCGTCCACCCCACCAGCGTATTCGGCAATGACTGAAAGTGAAGGCATATATTTTATCTTTTGATAATAGCTTTCCAGGCGTGACGGGTCGGGTAGCACCTGCATAACCTTTCTGTAGAAAGCGAGCATCGTCTCCTCTTGTGCCCCGTTCATTTCAAGGGACGAGAAGGGTACCCAGGAGGTTTCAGGCACCCTGGCAGGCTGACACCAGCGTACTTCAAGCTCTATATCCTCAGAATCAGTCCAGCGGACCTCCTTTATCTCATTGAATGCCCAAGTCAACAGCCCTCCCCCATCGAACTGAGGTACCTTGCGATATACGACTCCAATCTCGTTTACAGCCTGGAATTTGCGTCTAGTGCGACATGAGACATTGTCGGACATGGCTCTCACATCCTGTGCAATACGTTTGTGACCTGGGAAGTCTATCGCTGCAGCTTTAATAGCCTCGTTGATTGCAGTTCCATCTGCCATGTTTCTTAGCCACTCAGGCCGGTAGTCCTTCTTGTCATTGATCCTGACTTCGGGCAAACCGTCAAAAACTATTTTACGAGCTTTCACTGTAGCACACAATAGTTAGCAAGATCCGCACAATTCGAGGTCAGAAAAGACTGGCACATCAAGCCAAGTCAAGGTCCATGAATTTAATTTCTAGACAACAGAAGAGGGTGTGGTCAACAACGAATCAAGGGAGAAAGTGGATAGAAGTCTACTTACTACCATGAACGATGGCAGTGAAGATCTCTTTAGTTTGCTTGGTTTGAATGAACTGTGAATGACCAAGAGCCTCTTCAAGAGGATACTCTGGGCCCCCAGGGCTATAGCGTAGGAATACCTTAAATACAGGCAGATTGATAAGAGCTGGTTGACTAAGAGAGTCCTTCACCAAGCCTTCCCAACCGACAAGGAAATAACTCAAGTCATTCCCGCCGTTCTGCTGAAGAATAAGAGAGAGATCTTCAAGATTGGTGCACTGACTCAAAAGTGCTAGAACATGCTTGAGGAAGTGATCACCCTTACCCCATACTCCAGTCGTAGTTGGGGCATTGCCATACGTGAGACGAATGGTGCGGATCATCACCAGGCGCTTAGGGTGAATAGCTGCAAAAAATTTGTGCATATCATAGGATGTGAAGAACTGAAACTTGTTCACACGGTAGAAAACTGGATAGTTTTCTAGCTCTTGGTAAATTTTGCGGCAGATTCGACCAAGACAAACAACTGTTGAGGGTGTGCCACTGAATCTGTCTGAGAAGAATTTATTGGATCGTTCAGCCTGCTGTACGGGCTCGACAGCGTCATCCATGGCTACGGCAAACTCGTAGATCATCAGGCGAACCTTAAAGGATAATTATAGTTAGTTACCTGTATTAGTCCATGTAAAGCTAAGTAATAATACGAACCTCAAGGGCAAGTCTTTTGAGGAATAAAGACTCATCTTCATTCCGTTTGGAAATATGAACCAAAGGGTGGTCCGGGTCATCAGGGTTGATGAAGGGGCTGTTGGACGAATCCATGGCGTCCGAGTTGCGTTGGCGGATGTTGTAAATATACTATCGCGGGATGTCACTGGACGCGTACACTCCACGGCAAGAAGAAAACAGGCAACAAAAGGGGACAACGATTTCCGATTGGCAAGGCGGGTCGGGCTATCGGCGACGCGATATTAGTAGTGAAAGGGATGGTTCAGATGAATTTAACTCGCGATGCCACCGGCGACGAAATAGATTATTTGAGGAAACACTGCTCATGGGTTGAGAACCTGACAACGCCGATGACTTGCAATGATGGATTGTTAAGAGGAAACAATTCAGAGTTGATGAGCAGTGGTGGGAGTGGTAGATGTTTAAGTAGTAAAAAAAAATGGTGGGATAAAAACGGCGAGGCAGCAACTGGGGCAGCAACCGGGGCAACTACAAAACACAAGACGGAAGGAAGTTGCTATGCAGGTAAGTGCGAAGGTAGATAAGAAAGCAAGTGCAATGTACCAGGCAGGTACACTACGGCATTACCAGGTGCATTGGGTGCCTACCTCCTATGTACTTCGGGTAGATTCCTCATGCGGCACCTTCCTTCACAAGCGTCGACACGGTACAATATACAATAGAGATTCGGGTGCAGTCACAAGTCCCAACCAAAATCGGCATAAGGCTATACAGAATTGTACTTAATTAATTTATTCACTACTCCATTCTGTGATTATGTTGGTTTTAGACAGTGAGTCAACATTTTATAAATACCAGAGATATACGGTATTGTATTAGAGGCTGTTCTTAATCTATGAAGAAGATGTGACACATTCATTTGCGCACCTAAGTTGAAGTATTTTAAATTCTATGTTATCAGCTTCAACTTCCCCTTTATATCATAGACGCCCGTCATAAATACTTGCCGACAGAAATAACCCACTTTGGGGCGTAATGTGCATGACAGATGATTCACTCCCTAATCACAAGAGTCTGTCATTTATCCCTCCACAAGCCAAACAAAGTAAATACATTATATTAGAAACGACAATAGTCGTTAGTCGTTGTATCTACCTTCCAGGCACTTACATCTAGAGTAGAAATCAAGCTAAGGTAGGCATGCTTCCTTGATTATGGCTTTCCAAGCACAATACCTCTCAAAACCCAACTTTTATATACTCCCCGTGGTTTATATGATGACTTACGCTCAGGTTTCTTCTCCTCTTTTGTGTGTTGATGAGATCGTGTGAGGCCTCTTACCTTACCGATGCAAATAGCCCGTCCTTCCCATACCCATTCACATAAGCATTCGGTACACATTCCTTTATAATACTTCTTCTCCATATCACTTCGAGATTTGACACGGCGCCGGTTCTGGCAGGTATGCCCACACTCGTAGACTTGGATGATGTCCTGGCTGTTCTTATCCTTGGCAGTAGCTACAATCTTTTGCGCCTCCAATGTTGCACAATCCTCAGCTGAGAGATGGGTACAGCTAAGTTGGTAATTGACATCACATTTACCACAATCTCGTGTAGATTCTTCTAAACTCTGCTCGTCTATCAGTTGGAAGTAGAGCCTCTCCCTTGGGCTTAGTTGATCAGATTCCATGTTGTTGAATCTTGTAGCGATGTTCAAGAATCTGCTCCCGTGATATGTACGTCATGAAATTCCAACTAAAGGAAGAAATATGAAGTCATGCATTGTCCCTGGACATGAACGGTTATTTTAAACCCATTGTTCATTGTTCTAGTGATGCTTTTGTGGAAAAGCAGTTGGGCATTCAATTTCTTCATGCACAAAGGTTATTATGATATAATAAAGAATGTACCTAGATATCTAAAGGAAAACAATACACATGAATCGTGAACCTATCAGGCTTTTCATCGGTATTACTCATGCTGCTAAAAAAAAAGATTGAAATCTCAGAGCTTGTTGGAATAGTTGCTCTTATTTTGGTAAACTGGCGGAATTGACGATGGGGTACATTGACATTAAGGTATCATAATACAAGGTAAATAATCTAGTTGAACGTTCTTTTCTCTGTTCCATGAAGCAATTGTCCGGTTATTTACTTTTTAAGGACGTGTGTTAGGTAGATAACCTCATTTGTCTGAGAAATAACGAATCAGAGTTGGTGCATCGTGGAAGTAAGCATTGGCAAATCATGAGCCTCAATCCGTGTCAGGGGTCGTAGATAAAAGGTTACACGCTCATGTCTATAGCTTGCTTATCTATAGGAGGTATTCAATGCTACATACCAGGTAAGAAAGCAGTACCGATCCTATCCGTCTGTTCAGCTATCCCTGGCTTCCCACAATAGGATTCGCCATAATGTCTTTGACACCTACAATTTCTCCGCTTCGCTAATCCACCCCGTTGTCTTTCTCATAAGACCAGTCTTCCAGAGCTGACACAAACCAGGAAACACAAGTAGAAACTGTAAGAGTCACACCAAAATGACCCGGCGCACAATCCCACCTCAGCCCGAACCGCTCCCAAAGCACGTCTTCTCCACCGGATTCGGCATCGCCATACGGACCCGGAGCGAAGAAGGCGACGACCACCACCACGCATCTCCATCCAGCCATGAAAAAAAGCCAGTTGCCACAATCATCGCCACGGGTCTCCTAATCCCCGGCGACGGCCCGCCCCTCAAAGACGCCGCCCTGGTAATCGAAAACAAACTCATCGCCTGGGTCGGCCCGCAATCGGACCTCCCGCCGGAATACACCGACGGCAGCAGCAGGCTATCCAAATCGTACTCGGTACCGTACCTGATGCCGGGCCTGTGGGACTGCCACGCGCACTTCTTCGGGATCGGCGCCGGCGCCGGCGGGTACCTAACCATCATCACGGACCACCCGGCGGCGTCGGGGGCGCGCCTGGCCAAGGGCTGCTGGGAGGCGCTGCAGCGCGGGTACACGTCGCTGCGGGACCTGGCGGGGTACGGGTGCGAAGTAGCGCGCGCGATCGACGAGGGCGCGATCGTGGGCCCCAACGTGTACAGCGCGGGCGCGTGCATCAGCCAGACGGGCGGGCACGGGGACGTGTTCGAGCTGCCGGCGGGGGACGCGCTCCTGAACCTCGGCGTGGCGCACGTGGCGGCGGGCCACTTCGGAACCGCGACGTCGATCTTGGCGGACGGGGTGGACGAGTGTCGGAAGGCGGTGAGGCTGCAGATCCGGCGCGGGGCGCGCGTCGTCAAGGTCATAGCGTCGGGGGGCGTCATGTCGCGGGACGACGACCCGCTGTGCGCGCAGTTCAGCGCGGAGGAGCTGCGGACTATCGTCGAGGAGGCGGGGCGGCAGAACCGCGTCGTGGCCGCGCACGTCCACGGGAAACCGGGGATCATGGCCGCCGTGCGCGCGGGTGTAGCGACCGTCGAGCACGTGTCGTTTGCGGATCAGGAGTGCATCGATCTGATCAAGGAGAAAGGCACCGTGTACGTTGCTACGCGAACCGTGGTCGAGTTGCTGCTGCTGTCGGGTGGGAAAGGTTTACCGCGCCAGCAATGGGAGAAGGCACAACTAATCGGCAACAATAACTTTGAAGCGTACAAGTTGGCCGTCAAGGCAGGTGTGCCGATTGCCTTGGGGACTGATACGGCGCCCGGGTTCAACATGGCTATGGAGTTAGAATATGCTGTACAAGCTGGATTAAGCAACCTAGAGGCGATCAAGGCTGCGACAGCCAACGGCCCATTGACGGTGAAGGGACAGGCACCTAAGACGGGCCAGTTGAAAGTTGGATATGAGGCTGACATCCTTGGCTTATTAAAAGACCCGGTCGAAGACGTAAAGGTATTGCAGGAGAAGGCGACCATCGGATGGGTATGGAAAGGTGGTAAGGTTTACAAAGGCCCAGGAGTAGGTCCTTGGGGGGAAGAATCATAGTCTTCAACCTAGCAATTGCCCGTCACGAATTTAGAAACTACAATTTTGCAATAATAATCTAAAAGAAAACAACTGCCTGCCTCTTATACGTCAATAGTCAGTTTCTCTTCCCCTCTAAATTCTCTCCATCTATTAGTTGACTCGATCAAAGTATGACACCCCTTCAGCAGAAACGACCACTTCTTTAAAAACCCCTCGGTAACTTCCCAGCCCGTCTCTGACCACGGCTTCCCCCACACTATTAGTCCTCTAGCTTCTACCTCGTCGAACCCTTCGTACAATCCACCGGCTATATCTACGCAGAGATCTTCTTCGTCGTAACTACCGTGGTTTAATATCAGATTGTCTCGCATGCCGCTCCACGGAATGATATCTATCCAGAAATCATGCGCTATACGCTGCTGGACGGGAGTCGAGTCTAGGTTAGGAGGTATTGTCTCGGGAGCGGGAGGCAGGTCTTTAATATTGAGAGCTGCGCCGCATTCGAGGGGCATCCGGTCGAGAACCGACAGGATAGACATGTTAGTGATGAACGCGCGGAGAACGTTATACTGGATCAGGACAAGCAGTCGATGGTCTGCCGAGATAGGAAAGGAGAAATTAGGGATGGTAGTGCCAGCTGGGTCATGGATATCGAGATATGGGATCATGGGTGGGATAGCTTGCCGTTTAGGGGTAGGCTGTTTATCCCTTGCGCCATGTGCATGTACGAGGTCTTGCCGTTGGTTGAGATTGTAACATGGACGATCTGGTATTCCATACACCGTATTGAGCGCATTCAGCTGTCCATGAAATTCCTCCCAGTATGTGAAAGGCTTGAGCCGAGTATATATGTGGGATGGCACGCGCGGGTTGACAGTTAAGAGATTCATGATCTCTTGTGCCAGATCTGACCTAGACGGTTTCATTCGCCCATGAATATCTTGTTTATGGGACTTGTGCTCGATCGTCTTACTAGATTGGTGTTGACCACCAACTGCTCGCTCAGCAGCTTTCTTCCGACCTAAGTACGCATCTGTATAAGCAATTTTGCTTAATACGGGGTATGTATGAAGTAGCGACACCTACGCCAGGCTCTTTGATGTAACCGATTCTGTCTCTTCCTCCTTTCGGCTGGACTAGTTAGTCCAGTCCAATTATCATCTTCCACTCGCGCCTAGGTAGGTACCTCCATCAGCATAATTTCCTATCTTCGGTAAACAATGGATTCTAGAAGGTCTTCATCATCGAAGACGGACTAACACTAACCTCGCGTAGCTGCACCATTGACGACACGTCGAATACCATTTTTTGCGATATTTGATAGCATTGTTTCGTGTATTCTACAGTTTAGGTGTTAGGGCAAGAAGTTGGGACTTTTTTTAAGTCGCGGCTAGGTTTCTAATGCAGTCTGCTTATGACCAAACCAACGGATGGTGTAATCTGTCCGAGAAACTTCAAACAGAGGCCTCGGTGCCAAGGGGTCGTCCGAATGGGAAGATGGCTGGTTCTCTTCTTTCTATTTCGGGCGTCTTGGCCTCGGAAACGTTACTTTAGCGTCGTAGGGCCGCAGTCTGACGAAGAGCATTTAAACTACAGTAGGAATAGTGCATCTGCCATCTGCTTATCCTGCATATACCCCTGTTGGTTTTACAACTGGGGATTTCACATTGCAAATCGAGATATGGATAGCTTCAGGCTTTCGTGTATGAGATGCATCGTACGGACAGCGGACAGACATGAAAGGCCGCCATCAATGGCGGCCTATTAGTTTTCCGCCCCAAATACTGTTCTCAGACATGAAGTCGAAATATATAAAAAATGCATTGCCGTTACAAGCTGATGTCCTTTTAGTTCCATTGTCCATACCTCAGCTATGTCATTACGAGCCCAATAATCTTGAAAAAGTATATCCAGATAAAAACAACTTACTACTTTATCGAAATACTAAAATATACTAGGTAGCTATATTCATAACTAAATATTTTTGAAGAACACCAAGTTCTAAGCATCATCAGTCAACATGCCGCGCGTTAACTTCGATCCGGATAAGGACATTCCGTTTCTACAGGACAAAGTCATCTTCATCACAGGCGGTACGTTATTACGATATCTTGGCATTCCCTAGAAATATGGTTATCTAACTATTTGAAGGCACTGCTGGTCTTGGGCGAGCTTCAGTTAGAGCTCTTGCGAAACATGACCCTGCCCATATCTACTTCGCAGGCCGTAACGCGCAAGCCGGTCAGGCGCTTATCGACGAGATCAAGAATACCAGCCCGTCGGTGGGCATGACGTTCCTTAAGATGGACATGACTTCGTTGTCCTCAGTTAAAAAAGCTTGTACTGGGTTTACTCATGACCGTCTCGATATTCTAGTGTTAGTCCTTTGCCTTTTCTACCTTAAATTCAGTCTGACGAAACGACATAAATTCAAACTAATACCAATACCTAGATGTAATGCTGGCATCATGGATTTACCACCGGCCGTTAGCGAGGACGGCTTCGAAATACACTTCGCAGTCAACCATCTTGCGCACGCCATGATTATCCAACAAGTCCTACCCGTCCTACAGAGAACCACAGAACTACCCGACTCCGACGTGCGAGTCGTCGCTCTGACTTCCGCCGGCTGGCGAGCACATCCGAAAAACGGAGTAGATTTTGCCACGATCCGCACGAAGCAGGAGGATTTTACCATGATGGGATTCAACCTTCGTTACGGGTAAGCGCTCTTCTCTCGTTTCACTGGGGGACACACGCGAAATACGTCGCTGTAAGCTGCAAATAAATATCTTGGTATATCAAAACATCGAACAGAGCTAACTGGGGGGAACTCCTCAATAGGCAAAACAAGATCGCTAATGTAATATACGCAGCCGAGATTGGACGGCGGTACCCCAAGATCAAGGCCGTGTCCATCCACCCGGGCGTCGTCACCACAGATCTCGTGAACAACTTACCGCCGATGAGAAAAGCGTTCGTGTATGGCACGAGCTGGTTACTAGGCAACGGTGTAGTGGACGAAAGCAAGGGTCGCCTGAACCAGCTCTGGGCGGCGGCAGGCGCGAAGAGAGATGAGCTGGTAAGCGGAGCGTATTATACACCTGTTGGTGTACGAGGTAAGCTGGATGAGATTGCGAAAAGTGAGGAGTTAGGTCGCGAACTGTGGTCGTGGACTGATGAAGTATTGGCAAAGATGGTATAAGGGATCAACATACCAAGTAGGTACCTAACGACACTGTATAATAGACTATACTGTTAATCAAAGGCTTCAAGATTATATTATTTATTTATCATTTATTGATTTATTCCTACTTTGCTTGGCTTTATCTAAATGCTATTGTTGCCCAGGCATTGTCGGTGCATCTGCTCAGTCAGAGTTCAGACAGAAACCATGCTTGTGTCAAAGAAAACCTGGTCTGCTACCACTGCTCTTCGTTTTCAATTCAAGCCTCTGAACGCCTCAATAGATTACTTTGGGATAGGGTATTGGTAAGCATATTCCTGTGTATGCCTCTTCTAGTCGTATGGTATCTTCGATTCGAATGCTTTCGTAGCGTACGGGTGTCGTCCTGGATACTTCGTTAGCCCAACGCCGTATCTCCATATCCTTCCCTTTTGTTGGGGTAATAAGCCTATGCATAAGGCAATGAGAGTATCACAAGACTAGTATCTACCGAGTACTACACCAAATCTCGGTTGGAACGTAAGGGAGTTTAACATCAAGCTCAAGAGAAATTGTAACATGTAAGGCGCTCATATTAGTTAATGCGGCATTTGAAGAACGTGTTCCTGGTTGCTGATATCACGTAGGCTTAGGTCGGCTCCCTCGGCCCCCATCCACGCTATGACTATCTGTCTTGCTACATTTTCGAGATCTTATTAGTTATATTCGATGACTTTCACTTTCGCTAACTACATGGATATCGGAACGTCGTACTACATTCAAATTGCGTACTCGTATCAATCGGAGTATTTTCTGCCAAAGCTAACCCGTTGTCAAAAGTCTCGGAGCCTCAGAGCCTCACTTGAGACTCCTTGGGAACAAAGGAGATATTTTTATATAGCCTTGGCTTCAGAGCTATCCCAGTTAGAGTTCCACCGCGGAACAATGAAGTTGTTTCCGTGACCATATGCTCTGCGACGTGACACCCGTACCCCTAACATTACTGAGGCAGCAGTTGTTCGTTTAAAGTCTGGACAATTCAGGGGAGGCTTATAAGTCAGGTGTAAACAATAATTCGCTTGAAACCCTCCGAAGGACCGGGTAGTTTAAAAAAAATTATTCCGTTCTTATCCCGTCCCGGGCTTGACGGAATAAAGACATTGAAGTAATCAAACATCTATGGATTACCGACTGAATATTTATCTACCTAGCGAGGTGCGTTAATAGGAGAATAGGAGTCTACCCCTTGCCCACTCAAACCTTACCCAGTAAGGAGGCCCCTTACCTAATTATGGTGAGCTATGGTAGCATTGTAACATTGTAACACCGGTCACACCGCATCGCATTGTTCACTTTTAATTCCAACGTCATAAAACTGAATTCCAACCTTACGTCATTCTTGAACGTAGGGGAAGAAAAGAGAGGAATCTCTGGTTGATGTTTCTTGGTGATAATACCACTTCAAACCTTGGTATGTTATTGTTTGATAATATGCACCTGGGGATCGAGTGTGAATGTTGCGCCCCTGTAGGATTAAATTTCTTGTCGAATAGTATGCATCCACGCAATTTCCATCACGTCTAGACAGCTTATTATTAGTATGAAAGATATCATATGAAGAACTAGGCTAGACGGGGCAAAGTTAGGTACGCAGATAATACTAGGTAATATGCCCATTGAAATTTGCAACTATTACGAGTAGAGTCCTGAGTAATAACTGAAGTCGGTGAGTGCCTAATGTCTCAATGTAGGTGAGTAAAATGGCGCCGGCATGAATTAAGGTAGTATCAAGATCGTCGACGGTAACATGACTGTGTCTCCGTGATATTTCAGTGTTGACATGTGTCAACCAATGTGAGCCTCCCGACGTTGCAGGGCTCTCTCGACGTCCCCGTTTTATCTGTCAGGAACCTTCTGGGATTGGCTCTCTAGGCAGTTTGATAGTCACCAGAATGCCTCTTTTCTCAGTAGCTGGTGTGGATTGGAGTGGGCATATCATTAAACTATTCAATTCGCACTAGCTCACAAAGAAGTTTTAGACGAATTGCGTTTTTAACATCGCGTACTCCGTTTGGTGTATTGTCTAGATTGTACATAAGTACCTAAAATAGTAAGGGTGATTAGTACCGGATTTTCCGGCATGGGGGTTGACAGGTAACATTGTGATCGTCTCTCCAACCATGTCGGCTGCCCATGCGGGGGGTAATATAACCCCTTGAATTAGTGCCCGCCCCGTTGGACCACGGCGCACGGTTGATAGATCCACTTCTCCTTGAAATGGGAAGCCATTAGACGATAATCCGGTACCAAGCTTTTCTCGTGGAAAACCGGTGGAAAAAACAGTATTATCCACAACCTAGCTGGATCCATCCGGCTGGTATCCGTTTCTACCATGTGTTAACCATGTTCGCCAAGGGTTAGGCTTGAATCTCCCTGGTGAGCAAAATGAGAAGAGAGCAAACGCTCATCGCTATTCTAGTCCCTGACTAGTGACGACATCGCAAGGTATGTTAGACTCAACCAGAGTGGTCGAAAGTAGAATCAACTATGGCAATGGCCCGGGTGAACGAGATGAAGGCAAAACTCAGGGGTGATGAACTTGTGCTTGGGAAGTCGGTGGCCTCGGGGGGTATATATCTACCCTCATCTGGCATCACCATCAAATGCTTTTTCCTTGCTTCCTCATCACATCGAAGATCATCAGCTTTCAGGTACTCCTATCAAGTCGCTCTCTACTTTCCAACTTATAGTCATTCTTTGATATCAAGCTCTTCAGCTTTCCCCACCAGCTTAATACTATAATCTTCCCGTCGATACCAATCGTCAGCCACAATGCGTTTCTCCAGCTTCGCCCTCGCCGCCGTCTCTTTCGGCTCTGCCTTCGCCGCCCCGGCTACTCACCAGCACGATGCTCGTGCTCTTGAGGTCCTCGTCACGGCCACTAACACCGTCGCCACTGTCCAGAAGACCGTCGAGGTTGAACTCAAGTCCATCAGTATGTTTCAGATACCGTGTATAAATTTATTAGGTTATTCTGACTAACAAATTCCAATAGCCGACCTGTTGGATGTCAACATCAGCATCAACGCTACTGTGCTCATTCCCCAGCTCGAGCAAATTCTCGTTACCCTTGCCGGCGATATTACCAAGATCGTCAACGACGTCGCGCCTCTTGTTACCCAGGACGTTCCCAAGTTGGTTGATGATGAGCTCAAGGCTGTTTCCGGGCTTCTAAGCGGTGTTCTTGCCATCGCCACCGGCGTCCAGACCACCGTCGACCAGATCACCAAGACTGTCCCTGCTGGTATGTTCTATCTTCTAAATGCAGCTAATTTCGCGACTTGAGACTAACCAAGTAAATAGATGTCCTGAAGGCTGTCAAGCCCGAGATCCAGCTCGTCCTCTCTACCGTTGAGCCCGTTGCCAAGCCCGTCGTCAGCTTCGCTCTTAAGGTCGTTGCCGGTGTTGTTGGCCCCCTTGCTAATGAGATCAACGGTCTTGTTGGCCAGCTCCAGGGTCTCATTGGTGGTATTCTTAAGCTCGTTGGTGGCATCCTTAACGGCCTCCTATAAATGCGTTGCGACATGGTACAGTGAGGAGTATGAAAGGTGATGGCTGCGGAGGACTAATTGAAAAAGTATTTACGGACATGATATTTGCATGCTCATGATTGGATGCTTGGATACTATTTGGCATTTGTAAATTTTCAGTACGCATGTTGATAGTCTTGAATTGACGATCTGCCGTTGTCCGTTACCAGTTGTCTTTTGTGATTGGAGAAGTTTTTGCTTATGCTTTGATAGTCCCTTGTCTCTTGGAAATAAGTGTATAATCCGAGTTTATGTGTGCGTCTGTTTTGAGTAGAGAATTTTCCAAGTCGGTTGGATTAATAATCTGCATCCCTGCTTGTCTAGATTATGTAGGTAGTATCCTAGGGCATATGATGATATCCTCGGTTGATTAGTTTTGGTTAAATAGTTCACAACTAGGCACCTGCTAGATCTACTTTTCATCCTCAACTTCTCAGTCGAAATCCTTTGAGATTAATTTCTTTTCACCGGTTCATCAGCAGAGGATATTCGCCCATAATGGCATCTCTATTCGGCTTCGTACACCGTAACTGGTTGATTTTTAATCCACCCGAAGCATCCAAGTCGGCCGCTCCACTTCGGTTCGGAATACTTGGCGCTGCTGATATTGGGCCGATGGCTCTTATTCTTCCGGCGAAATCCCATCCAGATGTTGTAGTTCAGACTGTAGCTGCTCGAGATCCCAAGAAGGCGAAGGCGTATGCTCAAAAGCATGGCATCCCAGAAGTATCTGCTAACTACCAAGGTACAGTATATGACTCGCTATCTTACTTGTTTAGGAGGTAGTTATGCTATTTTCAGATCGAGTGCTAATCATGTTTATGTGTCATCATTTACAGACCTACTGGATAATCCCAATATTGACTGCGTCTATATACCTTTGCCTAACGGATTGCATTTTGAGTGGGCACTTCGGGCCCTCAAAGCTGGAAAGCATGTTCTACTGGAGAAGCCGTCAGTGAACAACGTAACAGAAGCCGAGGCTCTCTTTAAGAATCCGATCATCAACGGCCCTAAAGCGCCAGTTCTACTTGAAGCTGCGCACTATGCTTTCCATCCAGCTTGGACTACCTTTATGTCCTACGTATCGCCCGCTAATGTTTCCAGTGCGAAGGCGGTGTTATGGGTCCCATCTTGGAAATTTTCTGCCGACGACATCAGATACCAGTATGACCTAGGAGGAGGCGCACTCCTGGACCTTGGAGCATACACAGCAAGCGCTCTTACTCGTGTGTTCGGCGTTGTGGCAGAGGAGTGCGAAGAATGTCTCACCCAGGGAGCTCAATTTGATTCAAGATGCGATCAGCTTTTCAAGGCGCGTTATCGGTTTCCAGGTGGCCGACGGGGAGAGATGGAGGGAGATTTGAAAGCGCCGTTTGATCACCTGTCACCTAACCTTCACGTGGAACACAGCCCCATAGTGGTATCCAGTGCCGACGCAGGAGTTAAGGTACCCGAGGATCAGGAAGTGGTTCGCATACGGAAGATCAAATTCACAAATTTCGTCATGCCCTCAGTTTTCCATTCTATCCGTATTGACGACGAGTTTCAAACGAGGAAGGCTGGTGACAAGTCCGGAAAGACCATCAAGAAGTGGACGAATAGCAAGACAATTAAAGCCTACACGTTCAAAGAAGTTGGCATCGACCAACCGGGCGAGCCATCCTGGACGACTTACCGATACCAGCTGGAGGAATTTGTTAATAAAGTCCACGGTAGTGAAGCAAGACAATGGGTGAGTGGCGAGGACTCGATGAATACGGCGAAGATGATCGATATGGCTTATACGGCCGCGAAGTTGCCATTAAGACCTACGAGCAAGCTAGTAGATGGTAACACATAGAGATTCGAGGGAAGGACTGTTGCTTCTAGGATGTGTTATTTAGGTACCTAATGTTAGGGAGTAGAGACATTCCTTTTGCTAAGTACTTGTTGATCAATGTTACTTGATGTACGGATTAAAGAATTATATGATTGTGACTTCACAAAAATAGGATGCGAGTTTCGATAAGCACTACCTGCCTAGGTAGTTACCTATCCCTTATATAGGTATATAGGTACACATTACAATCATGAGTGTATATGCATTTAAAGATGCTTTGCTGCATACCTAGGAGTTAACTTTCAGTGGGTCATCAAAATTTCCTAACTCTCTTTTGGTCCCTTTTGGCCCGTAAGCATAATGTAGAAAACTATAACCCCTATTCAACTATTCAACTAGGATTTTCAAGATGACGAACGAGACTTTACCGGAAAGCCTTCGATTTCTCACTGATGCTGCCCACCTTCTTGTGAAGACAGCGCCTGAAGCCTCAGCGTACCTTATGGCGCAAAGAAACTCTCTGTTATTCCACAATGACTTGGAGCAGTCGGATTTACAGAGACAACACGCGTGCGGTGCTTGTGGACATATCATGATCCCAGGCCAAGGGAGTGAACTGAAGATTGAGAGTAACATGGGTCTCAAAAGAAGAAAAGCGAAAAAGAAGAATAGCACTTCCAAGGGTGTAACTGAAAAAAGCATGTCGACCGTTCAACATCGAAAGAGGTTTACTTGCGGAATGTGTAGTAGATACACCGATTTCATACTTCCTCTCGCACCGCCTACATCTAGGCGTCGTCCACTAAAGTCGACGAAGTCCCTGAGTTTAGACGTCTCTCATCGGAATGCGCGAAATGCGCCTACACCTCCCGAACCAGTGAAAACCTCTGCAAACGCTAGTAGCAAGAAGAGGGCGAAGAGCAGAAAGCAAGGACTCCAGGCTTTACTTCAGCAAGCCCAATCTTCTGCATCGAAATCTCAGAGCGGCCTCGGCTTGAGTTTGAGTGACTTCATGTCGAAATAATTCTACGGATGGAATTCCATTGGGTACAAGTTACCGCCTGTTAATGGGGTTAGGTACCTAGGTACAATACATCACTATGTACCTAGGTACTATGTACCTTAGGTGCCCACCTAACATTGCTTACGAGAGGTATCAGGGGAGGGATAGTTCTCGACCTTTCTAACAGGGGCTAGCAATCACTAGCTCTCGGGCGATTGTGGTGCTGTATGCCACTGATGAGCCTTTTTGCTGGTAAAAGATATGTCATAACCCCGCGCTACCGCGACAAAATACCCCTCCAAATTTTTAATTTTGAGCCAAACAAGAATAAAAACCAGTCAATCAACACACATACATATTTAGGCGACGCGTACCTAAAACAATCAAATCTTCACCTTTTCCAAAAAATAACCTAAAGAATAAAATTTAAGAATAACAATTTTTCAAAATGCCCGCAGCCGACGAATCTGAACACTCGACGACCGTCACCTCGACCGATTTCTTCGAGGCCATTGGCCAAAAAGCTGGACACCTCGCCCCTACTACGAATGGAACGAACGGAACAACAAATGGGGAAGCGCAGAAAAACGGCGACGATGAGAAGATCGTCGAAGAAATTGAGTCACTATGCATGAACTGCCATGAAAATGTACGTAATTTTTCGGGGGAGGATGAATGCTCACCTACCTAAGGTATGTTCAATGTCGAGGAACCTCATACTAACATTGTACAGGGCATAACACGCATGCTTCTCACTTCGATCCCCTATTTTCGCGAAGTTATACTTATGTCCTTCTCTTGCGACAAATGCGGCTTCGCGAATTCCGAGATACAATCTGCCGGTACCATCCAGCCCAAGGGCTCAAGCTACATCTTGCGACTTACCGAAATGGCCGACTTCGAGAGGACGGTAATCAAATCCGACACTTCTATCGTCAAGTTCATTGAGCTCGACCTCGAAGTTCCTCCGGGTCGTGGGCAGCTTACGAACGTTGAGGGTCTTCTGACGAGAGTTGTGGATGACCTCGAACTTGGACAAGAAGCGCGAAAAGAGCAATCGCCCGAAGTGTTTGCCAAGGTCGACGAGATTATCAAAAAAGGCCGAGCGATGTTAGCGGGAGAGGCTTTCCCGTTCCGACTTTTAGTTGACGACCCAGCAGGAAACTCCTGGATCACTCCTAACATGCGTGATGGTGTTGGTAAATGGGAGAAGCGCGAATACTTACGCACTCCGGAACAGAATGAAGCCCTAGGTCTAGCCCCTACGAACCCGGCCCCTGGCGCTGGTCAAACTACCGACGACGACGACATCGTCCCAGACCAGGTCTACGAATTCCCTGCTACTTGCCCTGGATGCATGCATCCTTGCACAACTAATATGAAGATGGTGGACATTCCTCACTTCAAGGCTGTTGTCCTGATGTCAACCGTCTGTGCCGACTGCGGATATCGATCCAACGACGTCAAGACGGGAGGAGAAATACCAGAACTGGGCAAGAAGATCACGCTGAAAGTTGAGAACGCAGAAGACCTCGCCCGAGACATCCTCAAGAGCGAGAGCTGCGCGCTCGAATGCCCCGAACTCAACCTCCAAGTGAACCCCGGCACACTAGGCGGCCGATTCACCACCGTGGAGGGCTTGCTCACGCAGGTGCGCAACGACCTCCACAGCCAGATCTTCGAGACCGGCACCTCGGAGGGAGGCGATTCTCTACCCGAGGACGAGAGGTCGCAGTGGACCAAGTTCTTCGAGGACATCGACGCCGCCATCAAGGGCGACAAGAAATTCACCGTCATCCTCACCGACCCCCTCGCTAGCAGCTACGTCCAGAAAGCCGTCGACCCGGACCAGGACGACCCCCAGATCACGACGGAGGACTACCAGCGTACGGAGGAGGAGGAGGAGGATTTGGGTCTTCGGGATATGAAGACCGAGGGGTACGAGGCGGACGCGGCTACTACAACTACAACTACTACTACTACGAATGGCACTTCATAACGGGTTGTTGTAAAAATGGGGTTGAGAATGTTTGCGATTTTATGTAGCATGAAGATACCTGCTTGAAGTTTGGGGAAATGGATATAGGAGCTGCATTTACTACCGGGGATAGAAAAGTGTTTTTTATTTTGTTTTTCTTTTCTTTTTAAATACCGTAGCTATATCAAGACCTATCATGGTTTTAATCAAGATCGTGTCCTAAGGTTTTGGAGTATTCTATTCGCAGGTCGAGCACCTAATATGCATTGTGCTGAGTAAAACTGACATAGGCTATTCTTCCGCGATTCTTTAGCCTCCATAAAAGGGGTAGGGTACCTAAATTAGGATCAACATTATTTTTATTTTGCTTCTCGTCGAAAGTCATTTAACAATTCAACACCCGTCATTTTAATTTAGTATATTCAAATCGCTTCACTTGAGAAAGTGCTTCACATAAACATTCATCGTTGATGAAACGCCACGCTCCAGTACCTCTTGCAAAATTAACGTTCTGCATGTAGTGCTTCATCTAGGGACCTATTCCGTCGATGTTTAACTTATCCCACATAGAGTCCGCGAGATCTTCCACGGTTAGGTCCACCCACTCCTTACCCGCATCGACCCATTCGCTGTCGTCGGTAATTTGCGTCTCGATCTCGGCCCAGTTTACCCGGCTGCGTGGTACAGATCCTACTGGCCTCTGATTCCAGCCGGGGTGGGGCGGATTGGGTTTCGTTCCCGACATGGCAGCCGCTTCGACGGGACGGGAGCGGACCAGCATTGAAGTTGGTAGCGACTGAAAGGACTTTTTCAGCTTATCGCACAGGTTCCGGAAGTCCTTAGTCTTTCGGTAGCGTGGGGTATTGTCCTCCAGTAAAGTTGACCGTCGCACGAGACCGTAGTGGTTAATCGCATCGAAGAACTCGTGCACAATGCCGCCTGAGAACACGCGTAACATCCCGGGATCCGAGTAAGTTGCATAAGTTTCCCAGAACGCGCGTGGAGTAATACTATTGTTGCCATATACAAATGACACTGGTATATGCGTCGAGGAGAACATGTGAACTAGCTCTGAGTATCCGGATGCCTGCATCGTAAATTCACCAGCCCAGAAGAAGTTGTAAAACTAGATCATAAGAAGCAGAGTAGGTTAGCAACGTAGCCTAATACTTACACTTAGCTATCATGTAGGTACTGAAGAATGGATACTTGCAATGAAGAATTCGATCGACTCGTTATCGGCTCCCGAACAAAAGTAGCTGTGTTGCTTTTTCACGGAGGACCTAGTATCTGCCGGCGATATGACCCCAACCGGGACGACTCTCTGGTGTCTCTTGGCTGCTAGGAGGGTGAGATATTGTCTGACATCTCGCACTACTGCACGAACAAAAGGTTCAGTAGCTTCTTCCGTTTCAGATGTGATCAAGTCGGTTGATATGGCGAAGCCTAATAGATTGGGATAGTGCGCTAGCTTTTCCACAACTTGAAAGAGGCGTTGCATAAAGTTTGAAGTGTATGGTCTCAAAGCTCCTTGATTGCTAAGCGGGTAGCAAATCGATTCGATGGACTATGACCACCCACAATATGTAAGCACAACCAAGCACAACCGACAACTAGGTTTAGATACTTATGAGAGGCAATTGAATGATTGCCTTGTCGGATTCAACAGATGAAATCAGAAGGGTAAAAACTTACGGCTAGAACATATATTCCATGCCGGGCTAAGAGATTCATGCAAGCACTATGGCTTTTCGTTTCGTCAATATGGCCTGGTCACTATTGTGAGCCCCTTATTACCCCGATGAGATATGAAAACCAAATGCTCATTTGGAGTCAACCTACTAATGAACAAAGTATTAATCTTGAGGTCTTTTAATAATGGGAGAATTCGTTCGAGCTCATGTATCCGGTCGTCGACTAATGCATCCGAGCATGACACCGAATTGGTTTCATGGAAGTGGTACGCGACGCCGTTTATAAGAAACTGATCATGTGTTTTGCAGTTAGAATTTAACTGACGACAATTTATATATGTGATAAATCGTAATATCAACTTACCCGCTCGATACCTCTCCAAAAGTATCGACCTTGGATTGTTATTGGTATTGGGACTATGGAATGCGACATGGCTAAACTGTTTCCCCTTCCTCTTAGGTTAGGGTACCCCCTACAGTAATGGTATGGTATTCCCGTTGGCCGAGATTCAACGGCAGAATAAACCAAGTTATTGAAGTAATGCCAGGTATAGGTATATATTCGGGGAGTTTGTAGATGTGTGAATCTTATATCTTATAAGTAGCTACTTATTGAAACGAAAATAAGAAGGTGAAGTGAGGATGAGGACGAGGTTAAAGTTGAAGTTGAGGTTAAGATGGGCCGAGTTCTACGTTACATGATAAAGTTCAGTATCAAGATCCCAAGTCAGTTACCTAACGTCTTAAAGGTAAACGCGCCTTCCGTGCACTGTCTTGACATCGCTGTAGCCTATGAGATGTGTGGCAGTGACTACCTCATAATTCCATAGGTCGAGACCGAGCCCTGGAGGTCACCTGGTAGATGAGGTACCATGTAACCAATCAGCCAATGCACCTTAACGTAAGGAAGCCGATCATCCCACTACCTAGGTAGGTACCTCCTACAGCTAGGTACCTAGGTAGGAGGTACCTAAGTTAATTGACAGAGGTACCTAGAAGGTAACATGTAGGCGTAGGAGGTACATAGTACACATTATGTAATGTTGCACCAAGTACAAGCATTAATCGTCCCCACACGAGCTTAAAGCTTCTTTCTTAGCTGCGATACACATTTTTCTATCACGTTATTTGTAGAAGTTCCAACGCAACTTTAGCATAATGTAAGTTGGAAACGACGACAAGGAAGCCTTATAATACGCATTTATGTCAATAATAGTGAGCAGGTGCAACCCATGGCGCTCTGCGACAATTCCATTTTTAGTGTCGATTGGCGCTAGAGCACAGCATCGCTTTGGGCCTTTTCTTTACACAAAGCTACAACTTCGGTACAAGTCCCACTCAAAGACTCTTAAAAAGCAGGCCATGGAGGATAATCTGTACGAAGCCGACGGTGTGCGAATTGCTTATGAAGGCTGTGTAAGTTTACTCCGAATGACTAGGCGACTATATACCTATAACTCTAATTATTTTTGTTTTTAAACGCACAGGGTCATGGCACACTCGACGCAATATATGCTTCGGTAGCCACTTCATCTAAACAGAGAGGATGGGATGGTGTAGATCTCCTAATTATTGGCGGTGATTTCCAGGTAATACATAATCATATAATAAGCCTCATATAGTATAAATCCTAGTCAACAAGATCTAACAAGAGACGTAGGCTACTCGCAATGCAGCGGATCTCTCAGTTATGGCGGTACCGGCCAAGTACCGCCGGCTTGGGGACTTTCCGGCATACTATAGCGGCAAGAAGAAGGCCCCATACTTAACCATCTTCATCGCCGGAAACCATGAAGCTAGCTCATATCTGTGGGAGCTGTATTATGGCGGCTGGGTCGCACCTAAGATGTATTACATGGGCGCCGCCAACGTACTGCGCTTTGGCCCATTACGCATCGCAGCGATGAGCGGTATCTGGAAGGGCTACGATTACCGCAAGCCGCATCACGAACGTCTACCTTTCAACCAGGACGATATCAAGAGTTTTTATCACGTACGTGAGTTTGATGTGCGCAAACTCTTGCTGCTCCGCGAGCAAGTTGACGTTGGGTTGAGCCACGATTGGCCAAGGGAAATAGAGAAATATGGCGATTATTCTAAGCTGTGGAAGATGAAACCTGATTTCAAACAGGAGAGCGCCGATGGCACTCTGGGGAATCCGGCAGCTACATATGTTATGGATAGACTGAGGCCGGCATACTGGTTCTCTGCACACTTGCACTGCAAATATGCTGCTATCAAGACATACGAGCCTCCAAAAGACGAAGAGACGCCTTCCGATGAACCCGTAACAAAACAGGAAGAAATTGTACCGGCCACGTCGGAAGAGGCAACCGCAAACCCAGATGAGATTGACCTTGATATGGAAGATGATGAGGATGGCCACCAACTAGCCGAGCCAACTGAACCAGCTACTGCGGCCAACTCTACACAAGACACAAGCACAGGCGCTGCAGGCGGTGTATCTGACGAACTTCGTGCACAACTTCCAGCATCATTTGCTGGACCGGCGCCATCCGAACCAAAGGTCATTCCGGGGCAGCCTGTCCCACCCACGATAACAAATACCACCACTCGGTTCCTTGCGTTAGATAAGTGTATCCCAGGACGCAAATATGTTCAATTGTGTTCGCTAGCACCTGTCGACCCCACACACTTAACTAAGTTCCCGCCGTCGAAGAATAAAAACCGACGTTACGTTCTACAATACGATCCAGAGTGGCTTGCCATAACCCGTGTCTTCGCACCGCATCTGACCATAGGCGACCCCGAAGCCCAGACGCCTCCTGATTTGGGAGAGGCGGCATATCGGCCACTGATAGACAAAGAGCGCGCTTGGGTAGAGGAAAACATCGTGAGCGCGGATAAGCTGGTCGTGCCCAATAATTTCACTCACACCGCTCCGCCACACCGTCCCGGAGTTGACCCTGAGACGGTCAACTACCAGCCGAATGAGTATACGAACCCCCAGACCGCGGCCTTTTGCGAATTGGTCGGTGTGCCGAATCTTTGGGACGCGAGCCCCGAAGAGAGAGCAGCACGTAAGGAGAAGGGGCCAGCTCCTGAAGCGCCAAGGGTGAACCCAGGCGGCGGTGGGTCGAAAGGAGGAAAGCGCGGTGGCCATAGGGGAGGACGGGGCGGCGGGGGGCGAGGTGGAAGTCGCGGGGGATGGCATGGGCGGAAAAACTGATGTTGAGTTCTGAGAATGTTCATGTACAAACTACCTGGTATATGCTGAATATTGCAGACTGGCGTTTTACCCGGTATTATGTCTATCATCTAATGGCAACGGCTTAGCTTACTCTTAGCATTCATAGTTCGTTGAAGACGTCTCTCCATGGGCTTTAAATTTTCACATGTCTTGATGACACCAGCATTACCGTTGACATGGGAGAGAAGATTTGCAGACACAGTTAATACATATATAGGAATAGATTTGATCGTCAAGTAGAATTTTATTATAGAGTCTACTAGGTTAGATCTGATAGAGATGTATCCCCTCCTAAAAAGCATGGTCTCTACAGAGAAACACAAGCCACGCAGAGTGACGGGGGATTATTATTAATCTTCCATCCGTTATAGACATTCAACCCACGGAAGAGTTAAGAGTTGAACGCATATGCTTAGATGGGGTTATAGTGAGGAGGAGGAAAAAACACATCCTGATTGCTTCTTATCTACGTTAGACCTACCAATTATTCGAATCATGGCAAAGAGTACGTTGAAAAGAAAAATCAATAACCCTGTTCCATTTGATCTTCGCCAAACTACTACCTTGTACTTGGACTTTTCGAGGAAAAAAAAATTATCGTAATCGTTGTGTCCGTGGTATCATAACGCCGATAAACGCCGGTGTCCTATCCCAAACACCAAATTCACCTACTGCTATCCTAACCATTGGCCAAGTTGACACATCTCATGTAGGAGGTAGTCATAAAGTAGCTTTAAGTTGGCTCTGCGGGTAGGGTGAAAGAGGTTCAAATGGTAAGCTTTTTCAGTCGTACAAACATAGCGGCTAGTTTTCTTACTGTCGATTCCCAAGAAATCTGCGGCCATCAGAAGCTCGAGGCAGAGTTCGACGGGGATCTCCATGTCCGGGACGTCTTCTCTCTCTCGGTTCTTGTACCAGTAGTGGCAGTACTCAACTACCTTCTCGAGCACTATTCCGCTGTGAGGTTAGATTAGCCCCGGGGTCGCCTTTTTTTGAGAACGACAGAAGTGATAAGTGGCGGCAACAGTATGAATTGCCGAAGGGATACATGTGGTGTCTCAGATCAAGTGTAGTTGGCTGTCATCCAGACCACATTGACGGTCTGTCAGTAAGAACACAGCGAAATATTTATGATTCATCACTGACGACACATATGTACCTAATGTATATGCGAATGCGAACAGGGGAGTGGGATGAGCGGGATGAGATGATTTTCCCATGATTCCTAACTTACTTGATCTCTTCGAAGACACATCGACCAGTTCGCGACTCGGAGAATTGGCCTAACACTTGTAAGTCCTATTTCCCCGGGAATTCAAGGTTCGAACCGAGAAGGATTTGCTATACTCTTCGGATCCAGCATGCCCTTTATAGCACGGCTGATCAGGGTTGCCTCGCGAAGCACAACGAACTCGAAGCCATCACTCGACACTAGAGTTACAAACTTGTGCGGGCTAACATCGTAGGTTGCCATCCTGAAGGATCTTTTTCCGCAGAATTCTGTCGGGAGGGAGTTTTACTCGCAATAAGCTTGGCAGCGCGAGAAAGTTGAATTGGACAGATGAAGAAAAGAAATAAGAAGGCGGCTGGTAAAAAAAAGAAATTTTTGAGTACGGAATAACGTTAGCGTTGGGCGTCAAGCGCCTCAAAAACCTGGTGGGACTAAGTGGGCTATGGGCTTTGTAAAAGTGGCAGAAGTGGCTGGTAAGTTGAGTATGTGGGGCATGAAATGCACAAAGTTCATGTTCTAAGGAACATTAGCGGGATAAGTCTAATGGCGCTAAAGGCTTTAAGGCGTCTAATTGGCTTGTTTACCTTGATGGGAAGGTGGGGCATGATTTATGCAAGCTGAAACGGTGAAACAATGGGTGGAGTTTAAAATCGTTGCCCTGTCGACGTCCAAATTGACCTTTCTATTGACGTCTGACGAAATGCAGAAGCCCGATCAACGAAATCAACCAACCATTGCGACCAACTCAGCCTCAGACAAATCCACAAGTCCACAGTCCACAGTCCACATTCTGCCCCCCAAACCAACCTTGCTTGTAGCCCTCTCTTGCATGATAATTCCGTTTCTGCCCTTTTTCAAACAAACAAGTCCCTCGAATCCAGAACCTCGATCATACATATATACACTACACACAAAAGGGATTAAAAGAGAAAAAAAAAGGTCTCACCTCCATTCCATCCCATCTATTAATTCTCACCCCTCTCCCCCATTGTTCGGCCCGCCGAAACAAAATCCTCTCTCTACCATTGTATATTCGCCTAATCACTAAGACGGTTAAAGAGGTGTTACCCCGACCTGACTTTAATAGGGATAAAATTAGCCAGCATATACGCATATACGAAACAATCCCGGGTCATAAAATAGAGGAAACAGAAAAAACACAGAAGTACTTCATAACTACTATACCGGGGACAAATTACTGTTTCTCTCTGTCTCTTTTGCCAACGGGGCGCAATCGGCATGGCTAACCACCAATATCGCAATTCCCAATACGGCGGCCAACCTGCGAGCGAGAAGTACGATAGTGGTGTCCAGAGGCGGCCGACGGGCAAAGAAGGGCGTAACACGCGGTCCAGCGAAGGCACAGTTAGCACAGTCATGAGCGCGTCGACGGGTAGAGAATCGTCGGCGACCCACGTCACGGACGCTCCCGCATACTCCAAGAAGATCGTGGTGGTCGGCGACGGCGGCTGCGGAAAGACCTGTCTCCTAATCAGTTACAGTCAAGGATACTTCCCAGAGGTAAGAAGAAGAAAAAAGAAAGAAAGAAAGATGGACAGACGAAGACGGGATGATGATAGATCTGGCCCTTATAGTCTCATACCTACAATAACTAGTCTTATTTCTCCTTTTTCTCCCCCCTCTTCCCCTTTCCCCTCCTCCATCCCCTTTTCCCCACGGGTGAAGTTTTAGAGCATATCGTATCACAATCACTCTTCCCGGAAAGCTAACCATCGATGTATAGAAATATGTCCCGACTGTCTTTGAAAATTACATCACATACCCAACCCACCAACCCAGTGGTAAGACCGTCGAACTTGCGCTGTGGGATACCGCCGGCCAAGAAGAATACGACAGGCTGCGGCCGCTATCGTACCCGGAGACGGATTTAATATTCGTCTGCTTCGCCATCGACTGCCCCAACTCCCTAGACAACGTCCTCGATAAGGTTTGTCTTTCTCCTCCCTCCCCCTTTTTGGGGGGGGCTTCCTTATAAAGGAAATAATACGTAAATAGATGGGAGATACTAACAGAGGTGCGAAAATGTAGTGGTACCCCGAAGTCCTCCACTTCTGCCCGTACACGCCCCTCATCCTCGTCGGTCTGAAGTCGGATCTGCGGAACAAGAAGACGTGCATCGAGATGCTCAAGACGCAAGGCCTGACGCCCGTGACAACGGAGCAGGGCATGGCCGTGGCCCGGAAGATGGGCGCGCAGTACATGGAGTGCAGCAGCAAGGAGATGACGGGCGTCGACGAGATCTTCGACAAGGCCATCCAGACCGTCGTCGCCAACGACAAGCGCAACCTCGAGGCCGCCATGGCCGCCGCCCCCTCCTCTACCGGCGGGAGCCATTCTGGTAGCCGCTCCGTCGGCGGCGGCAGCAACCGGGACAGCGGCGGCATCCCCGGGATCCGCACTTTTAAGAAGAAGAAGCGGAACTGCAACTTCTTGTGAGGAACGAAACGTGCGTGGGTTAGCAATGCAATGCAATGGAAAGCAAAATCCCGATTCCGAATCTTATTATAACGAAAGAGGCGGCGAACGATGAACGATGACGGCTGGCGGCGGCGGCGGCGGTGGCACGGAGGCAAAGGCTGGCAAAGGCACATGGCAAATGGCTTTCTGGATGGACACACGAAACGAAACGGAACCAACCAACACACTCACGCAAAAAGAAAGTGTCGGTTAATGATCAACTTTTGCATGACATCACATTGACTACTTTACTTTATTCTTTTTTTTTTTTTTTTTTTTTATCATCATGCTGCTTTTTTTTTGCTGTTCCACATTCTCGACGAAACGCTTCTTCTTGTCATCACGATAGCGGGAAGGATAAGGTAAGGAACTGCCGGTTTTTTTTTATATTTTATTTTATCATATCTCTCCTTTTTTTTCTTCCTCTTCCCTTTCTGTTTCGGTCTTCTTTTCTTCGTGTTTTGTTTCGCTCAAACCCTAGAAGAGAAAGGCTGAGACGAGAAAGAAAGAAGGGAAAAAGGAAGAGAGTGAGAGGGTTCTTGTATACAAGATTCTTCGACCACGGCGTTCCTGCGATTATTTTTGTTCCCTTTTCAGTATAGGGTCTAATGACTTAGGGTTCAAGGAGGGGGCCAAGGTGTTTTATCTTCGACGTCTCGTCTCGCCCCGGCTGGCTGGCTGGTCGGCTTGGTCATTGTTTTCTGCGAATAGCTGATGCGGCCGGCGCATTATTACCTATTATTTTTTTCCTCGTTTCTTTTTATTGAGATCGACGTGAGGAGAAGAGAATAGGAGAGAAGAGAAGAATGAAGAGGAAGGACAACGAGAAGAAAGACAAAGTCCCACGTTTTGCCTCGTTGAATTGCCGAGGAGAGACGAGAAGGAGGGGAGTAAGGCAGGCAGACAGGAAGGATTGGCCTTTGAAAAACGAGTGTATCACCATTCATGTTATACTGAGGGATCTGTTTCCTTTTGTGTTGCGCGAGAGATTCTTCTTGACTTGACCATGGCATGGGATTAGGAAATAAAGAAATTCACACAATAATCTTGTTTGACTTCGTAATCTGCTCCTTGAGATTTTTTGGTGTGATGTGTGATGATTGATTCGTAAGTTTTGTGATATGTAATGTTGTCGTAGTAGTGTGCCGTGGTTAAGTTGAGTTGTTAGCCACGGCGGGTATCGTCATGATAAATAATCATCACCTGCTTTCTTTCCTCTATCCCCCTCTCTATTCTCATCATGTCGTCGTAGTAGCCCCTCGTCCTTCGTGATTCGTATAAGGTTAGGTTAGGCGCATAGATATCCGGTCACGGACTTCTTGCTGTTTTTTTCATTCAAGAGCCTTTCCTGTTCGCTCCCGACTCACCAGCCTCGTCGTCGTGCCCATCTTGGTGTCCCTGTCCCTCGCCCTCCGCGTTACCCTCCTCAGGATCCTTGGCCATGACGCCTTCGAATTGGGACCATAGGGCTTCGACGGAGGAGAACTCGTTTCCGACGGCGACTACGGCTTCAAGGGACCGGTTTAGCTTGTTGATGTTGGCGAGGACATGTTCGAAGCTCTGTAAAAGGAGGGAGTTAGTCAGCTTATTCATAGGTGTGTAAGAAGTACCTCGCTTATATGTAAATGTAGCTCCTCTGTATAAGGTAGTTTGTATCTCTTCAATATCCATACCCTCTGGAGAGAGAGAAGAGTAGGATTGAGTACCTCCTATCTGTTATAATGAAGTGAAAAGAGAAGCGAAAGAAGAAAAAGAAAAAGAGGGAAGGGAAGTATTTAGGTAGACTACGCACCATAGCAATCTCACTAATTAGCGCCTCCCGCTGCTGCTCAAAGTATGTCTTTTCTCGTGGTCCTGCTGGCGTCGTTGATCGCTGAAGGGACTGCTGATTTGATGCCATTGCGGAATATTGATAGAAGCAGTAAGTTGTGTAGTAGGGAGTGTTTCTTCTTCCTCAAAATTATTTCGTAAAAGGTTCGCAGTTCCGATTGTCAGAATTGCTACACATGTAGGTACCTAGGTAGGCAGTAATATGTTGTGCAGTATTAATTATTCCTTAGAAACGGCGACTGACGCGCTGTGGCGCGTAGATTGGAAAATTGAGGGGTCTGATTGGAGATTGGAGACTTTCAGTTGGAGTACGGATCCGTACAGGTACGGAACCCCCCACTACCGTACCTTAGGTTATCCATATAACGTCACTGTCTGCGCAACAATACATGCAGCTATCCGTATAGACTTATAATTCCATACCTGCACATAGAGTCAGTATCAAGTATAAGTAAGGAGCCGAGACATGTCTCTAGCTTCTTTAATTATATGCGGCAAATTGAAATCAATTACTTGAAATAGTTATACTGTAGTGTCTGGAAGGTTAAGTTGCAGTGTTCATATTAAGACATAGCTTAAGACATAGCTCCATAAAGCGGAATTCATAGTGTTGAAACTCAAAGTGCACAGGTCATTCTTGACTCTCTCTTGGACCACTACCTAGGTACGTACTAGAGAGAGCACTTTCAGAGTTCTACTATACAGATCAAAACGCTACCGTGAAATACGGTGCTACATTTCCATGGTAGACCCCTATCCTTTCCCCCCCCATCCTTTCCTGCCATCATATATGCCCGGGCCTTGTGTGTCTATACCCTTTGGTCTCCGCTCATCATTCCTTCATGCTGTGAGAATAGACTGGAAACTGAGTAAATAAATAAAAGCCTTCCCCTATTAACGCCTTTGTGGTGGTATCAAGAACTTCAAAATTCCGTGGCGGGTCTTTGTAACTCATGCATAATGCATCATAAGAAGTAATCAGAGGGCCCGCGCCGTCCTGCTGGTACATGTCTCATATCATCAGGCACAGCTGAGAATATGCTAAACTTTGGGTCCAAGTTCTTGTCAACCGACATGATGGAAGCAACGTTTCCGCAGCGGTAGCAGTAGTTTGGAGCTGACCAGACCGTGACAACCGAGTTTTGAGGAAAGTGATACTGTTATACCAAATTAGCATACGGTTAGACCAAAATCAAGAGCATGTTAAAAAGGCAGTCTTACCTTGTAGCCCTCGTTAACAAGCTGGTGAGCACGGGCAATCAATTTTAACCCATTAACATGGTTAAATTCCGTTGCAACCTTATCACCGAAAAGCCACCCTGCACCACGCGGACTGATGGCCCAGGTCTCGACTTCTTCAGGATCACTCCAAACAAGGTCACAGAACGCACCCTCGTGAGGAATCTCTTGTGCTCGGGCTACGACGCGGATCTGGTCAATAGTGCGGATTTCAGGACTTAAACCTCCGTGGACACAGAGAATTTCACCATCCACTATGGCTGCTAGGACCAGGAAATCGAAGACCTGACAACACGACTTCCAAACAGAAGCGTTTCCGTATTTTTGTTGGCACTCTTCGTAGAACCCATATACCTGTGTAATTTGACGAGACTCGTGGTTTCCACGGACGAGAACAATACGATCCGGATACCTGGGATACGTTAGAATATAACACATAACTTAGGTACCTACCTAGGTAAGTACCTATGTAATGTAAATGCAGGAACTTCTTACTTGGCCTTTAAACACATAAGTAGTGTAAATGTTTCGAGACTGAAATAACCTCGATCCACAAAATCACCCAAAAACACAAAACGGGCATCAGCATTTGACACAGTCGGCGCAGCATCTGAGGAATTGCGCTGCCCAGGCTCGTTGCCCTCTTCCTCATCTTCTTCCACATTGGTAGATTCATCGCTGGGAAGTCCCGGAACATCTCCAGTTGGTGTTTTGGGCTTCTTTATCTTCTTCTTTAGCTTCGGATTTGTTATCTCTGTCGGAGGCTCGATATCGGCTGATGTGATAACGGCTGTGGAAGTCGCAGGAGGTTCCGTCGCAGGTTGGCCTGGCATGCCACCACTGACGCGAAATAGCTCGAGCAGGTCATAGAACTGACCGTGGATATCACCGCAGATAGTCACTGGTGTGATTACGGGTTGAATGTTGGATTCTAGAATGGGCAAAAGTCGGATTAGCAAATCGACTTGTCGCGTTCCGAAAGCTAACATACCTTCCATCAAAACTTCCTTCACCATTTCGCAAAGCTCTTTCATGACTGGCTCCGGTAGATAGCGGCATTGCTTAGCTTGCTCGAGCCATTCGTCTAAACCCGCTCCGGGAGTGAGTTTTGCTGGTCCCGGTTTAGGGACCGCAGTACGTGGAGAACCCATTGCCCTATCGTGGATGTCTGGAATGCCTTTTTTTGGCACTTTGACCTATAACCAAGCTATGTGCAGCAGTATTGATTTAACAGGATCGGATCGGCCTATAGGAAGCAAGTTTGAATACCTGCGACCGTAAAACCAATAACACCAAGCGCAATAAGGACAAAAGATTTCACCAAGATGCTGTGAAAAGGTTCCGTAACATTAGCTTCTAGGATTTCTCTCAAGCTGGAAACTTCGAATTAACTTTGCGGGGAAGTTATTTGAGGATTGCCAGTTGTGAATGATTGGTGTTTATTTTTATGAAACTTCACGGCCGTCGAAGGACCAGCTTTCCGATAGGCAGAGTGAAGTTTGGTGTGTCACTAGGTTCGTCTGAGCTTGGACCTAGTAAGTCTGTACGGAAGTGGTGGACCTCAGAATCGTGGGATATTCGAGCTTGGAAGGTAATTGGCTCCGTTGTAGCTTGTGGCTTCACGGAAGCTTTTGTTCCAAATACAGTGCCGTATGTGAAGTTGAGAAAATAAAACTTTGAATTGGCTTTCGCAAGGATCGGGCGCCGTCTACGTCCGAGTCTCGAGGTTGGAAGTGACCCTCCGCCTGTAACCCCCGGCTGGGGTCGGCGCTACAGTTATCCCGGAGCTTGGAGATGTCTTTAGGTACCTATATGCAAGTACCTAATCTCAATTAAAGCAAGTCACGTGCACATACACGTATTTATGAATCTATGTACATACCCGAGTGCATACATAAGTACCTAGGTACATTAGCTAAGACTCCCGAAAGAGGTGTATTATGTATACTACCCCTTTTCTATTATGTATGAACACAATACCTTTATTGTGCGTTGAATCAAAAGTTATGCTGCGGAACCTCAAGGTTTTACTTACTGTCTAAGTGCTGTTTGCAACGCATTATCACAAGCGCTTACCAAAATAAATGCACCGAAGCCGTTATCTAAAATACACGATAATGAAGAAAACAGGGCGAAAACTAAAGAAAGACGAATTACAATTATAAAAAGTAAATCAGCAATATTCCTAATATGACAAGAAACTTGTGTCAAACCATATACTTGTCCTGACTCCTAAATGACTGCATTTCCTTCAAAAACCAACAGTCTGATTTGTGCAGGACCTTCTATGGATCGGTTTATGAACACGACACAAGACTACCTAACGTAAGGTATACTCAGTATCTTTCAAATTAGGTATTATGTCAAAAACTAAATTACACGAATGCAAACCCAAAAATCTACATACCCGTCTCCCGGGATATACACCTCCACAACCCTATATCCCGGCATCAATCTATCTAAACGCTCAAGGTTCCCCTTGATACATTAGGTACCTAGATAGGTACATCCATACATCCATACACAACGCTACCTACTCTTATTTACACTTCCAGCATTTATCCGAGCTATCCTCACTAGTGCAATTGTTCTTCTCGAAAACTGCCTTCTTGGGATACGGGCATATGATCTCGGCCCGAGTCGCGTTACCGGACTGCTTTATCATCACGGGGCTCGACTCCGGCGCCGTCCCGTTCTCCACCCATTGCCGCAGCTGTTCGAACATGCTCGTGGGCTGGCCGCCCGCCCCGCCGAAGCAGTGCTCGAGCCCCGGAACCTGGTAGTACCGGAAGAAGTCGGACGTCGTGTTGTCGAGGTGCGAGACTTGCTTGTAGTAGCTGAGCGTGCTGGCTGGTGTGATGGCGTTATCGGCCTGATATTGTTTTCTATCATTAGTATCTTCTTTTCTCTTAAATAGGTACCTAGGTACCTACTTAGGTACGATAAATGTATTGGATAGGTAGGAATAATGACTTACCAGACCGTGGAACGTCATCATCTTCCCGCCCGCGTTCTTAAAGTCTGCGAGGTTCGGATCCGTCGCGGCCATCGAGGAGCTGAAGATGCGCTTCAGGGTGCGGAACATGTAGTCGAACTCCTCGGGCGAGACCTCCGTGATATTGGCAGACGTGTCCCGCAGTATGAAACCCTGGTACAATTGCAGGAACGCTTCGCGGCCGGTGGGCACGCACTGCTGCCCGCTCCGGTTGCACGTCGTGGGCGCGATGCTCGCGAGGTCCGCCCCGATCTCGAACCCGTACCACATGAAGTCGCCGTTCGAGAACCGTGGCCCGTCCCACATACTCTCGGCGACGGCGGCCGCCGCGGCGCTGATCGCCATCGTCGTGTTCGTGTCCGCGCACTCAAAGTTGGTCCCGATGTAGTCCGACGCGGAGAAATTCTTGCGGCATTCCTCCGTTTCGGCGATGAGGCCGTCCTTCACACCGTCGAGTTCGTCGCACGCAGAGATCGCGAGGGATGTCAACTTCGTCAGCTCGCACGCTCGCGGATATTGTTTCGTGGAATCCATATAGAACGCCGCCCAAGCCGATGAGGTCATCAACTCGGCCCAGTACAGCGCAGGCGCCGCGGCGATAATTCCGTCGTAAACCGTGGGGTATTGCTGGGCGAGGATGCTGGCTTGTCGACCGCCCTGAGAACATCCGTTCCAATAAGAATAAGACGGACCGTGACCGTAGTAGCTCTTGATCAAATCTTTTGCGATGGTAGCCTGTGCGTAGACTCTAGTATTAGCACCAACGTGATCTTTACGGAAAATTTCCCAATATGTTTGTTGCGTCCGCTTACCGCATCGTTCAGAGTAACATGTCCAAGATCGTCAAATGCAACCAGGTTCAGATTTCCGGGACTAATAACAACCCAATCCTGAGATAGGGAGGTCCATTCAGAAGATAGGGGGGTTCCAAGGCCAGAATCTGTCGTAACGGTCGCATATCCTTCCTGGATGGCGGCAGCCATAGCAGCGTACTGGAGGATAAAACGACCAGCTGTCCAGCCACTACCTCCTGGGGCGTATAACCTGTCGTTCCAGTCGTTCACGGGCAACCAAGTCTCGACGTTGATAGTGTCGTTCAACCCCGGGTGCGTATAAGTGACCGTGACATTGCAGAACGTAGCATTCTGTACATTTACGGAGGGCTGAGTATATCGCCAATCTGCCGAGACGGGGAAGTTGTAGTTGGTAACCAGGTTTGTATCCACGGAAAGGATCTCGGCGCCGAAGAGCGTCGGCGTCGAGAACGTAGACGCGGTGCAAGAGTGGTTAGTCAGTAAGGAAGTCATCTTTTACGGTAATATTAAGCCTCCTCGCCTCGTAGACTTCAAAGGGATGTCACACCAAGTCATCTTGACTGAGTTGGAATGCTACTCTTATATATGAGGCCTTGGATCGAAGGACGCAAACTAGATTTAATCCCTACGACATCATCGACGTACGTAACATTCCCTATTCCAAGCCAGTCAATGCGGATCGTCGTCCGATTCCTTCTCCACAGTGAAACTAGACAATGGCATCGTCTTTATATGTTTTCAGGGCGATGCGAAATTTAGTAAGCAACTACTATGTACGAAAAAAAAAAGAACCAATACTAGAATTTACGTATAGAATACGAAAAAAGATTGTTTTGGTTGCAGCCTGGTCTCGAGCTAGACCAAATTAGCTTGCCCGGGGGGATACCCATGTTGCCTCGTCCTGTCCAATAGAAAGTTTGCATTGAACGTCCAGCACGTACCTATGCATCGGACCTGGGCTCCTAGCATTAGATCAGAAAAGGAGGCAACGGGAAGGGGGTGGCTTATAGGGGAGAAGTTACTACTAGTGCTTTCATTCATTTTTTTTTCTGTATATGAAATACTTCCTATGAGAGCTAGGTTCTATACTTCCGTGCTTTGTATAATGCTCTTCTCTTTCATTTCTGTTAAGTTGGTTGCTAGCATTATTTTATGGGCTATCCCAATTTTCATATATGTCGCGGCTAGGCATGGGGACAACCGAGTAATGCCACGCACCAATTTCTGTTTTTACGTATATCGTTTTTTCCGCGTATAAGATTTTCGCGCGTATTGTACGAAAAAGAACCTTTTAAGAAATCCTGCGTAACAAAAGAAAGCGACCAATCCTTTGGCGTTGCCAAATTCGCCTTAGGTATCTTCCCATGTCCACCATAACCGATCGTCACCGGACGAGAAGACCCCATAGGAAATCTCGGGCAGGGTGCCATAATTGTAAACAGAGAAGAGTAAAGGTGGGGCATTCTTTATTAAGACTCGCCAGATCTCTCTGATATGCATTGCTTAACTCGATGTGTATGTGCCGCAGAAAAGCTGACCATATACTAATTTATTTGTCCAGTGCGACGAGCTCAAACCAATCTGTGGTAACTGCTCACGATTTTCCATCCCTTGTGGGTTTTCGCCACACCTATGTGGAAGCGAGAAAAGCAAGAATATATTACCTGATGTCCCAATTCGTCGGAAGCGAGGCCGGCCACGTAAAGATTGGTCGGCTATCACGAGGGATTCTGCACCCCACGGTGAGGATGAGGTCGGTGAAAGCTCTGAAACCACAGGGTCTAGCCCAGGTCCGTCACTAATAAAGGGGCCAATTTCATCTCCTCAGTTGACTGTTGATGAACTAGAACTGCTGTATCACTATCTAACCGACCCGAACTTCAGCCACGGGGACAAACTGATGTGGCAGGTCAAAGTCCCTCGCTTAGCCTTCAGTCATCATTATGTCCTCCATCTGATACTAGCCGTATCGGCTTTCCATCTTATGAGGGTAGATCCATCTCGTGCAGAGCACTTCAGGAAGCTTGCAGATACCCATCACTCTATAGGCATTCGCCAAGCAACCAAACTCTTTCCTCAGCTTAGCACAGAGAACTGCGCTCCATTATATGTCGCTGCAGTCTTTGCCTGTGCCTGCGGCTTTGCCAAGGAGCCGACTCCAGGGAATCTCCTCATTATCGCCGAAGGATGCGAAGTACCTTGGCTGGACCTACTAAGAGGAGTCCGACTCATTGTTGAGAATATCGGCTTGGAACACGTTTTCTGTGGCGTTTTGGGTCCATTTCCTCCACCAGAACCCAAGGAGCCAACAGAAACAGACGAATACCAAGTCGACTTTGTATCGTGGGAAGAGCCTCTGCAGAAGTTATCAGCGCTCGTTTCCACTGCGCCTTCGTCAGCCCAAGAAATTTATAACAGCACCTTCGAATGCTTAACATGGTGTTTCCATGAAACTTACGGGACATCTACTGCTCCCAAGAGCCTGATATTTGGTCAGCTTCACGTGATTATGGCATGGATATACAAACTAGACGAAGGCTTTGTGGAGTTTATACGCCAGAAGCAATCTACTGCCCTCATAATTCTAGCGTATTTTTGTATACTTCTCAGTTCGCTCGAGTACTATTGGTTTTTACAAGGATGGGCGAACCACATCTGCCGAGGCATCACGAACTCTCTAGATCCATCATATGAACACTGGTTAGAGTGGCCAAGGGAACAGATCGAAAAATCTCTTAAATCACGAATAAAAAAGAGAAGAGCGTCTTCTTGAATGTTGAGTTGCTAGGAACCCGTCTGTCAGGGATATGTGGCGCCATAGCGACAGCGCAGAATATTACTTTGAATAGTATCTAGGATGAGGGCGTTTTAGACTTGTTGCTCGAGTGTATTCGGGAGTATCATATATATTCCTTGAACATATATTCTTCCTGTTTATAAGTTAAATGCTCCGTAAGTGTTGATAAATGATTGTATCGGGACTGTCTTGAAGAATATGCGAGAGAGACGGCAGGCAAGCTGACATTGTCCGGAGACAGTCTCGGTAATCCCGTAAAGAAAGACCGTTTTCACGGCCCCACTCCAAAAACGGTGGGAAAGGGTGGCTCCGTATATGTTCATAGCCCGTTCTGAGTACCTAAGGTAGCTCGATATTGCATATTACGAAGAGGTACTTGAGAAGGCTTGAAAAGGAAGGACAAACTCCCCTTCCCCATGCCCCACCAGTGTGGAACGTCACTACGAGCGGGACCTAGGTAAAGCTGTTAGTTACTAAGTTACTTAATGTATTAAACTTTCTTGGACCTGATTCAGAATTTCCAATTAAATTAAATTCCCAATAAAACCCGGAGCTTTCATTCTCGGGCGCGTCTCGCGCGTTAAAAAAAAACTTGGAACTAATCATCATGACTGAACCAACTCGAGATTCATGTCCGCCTCCTCGCCCCGCCAATCCCATGAACCGTCCGATATAACATGTATCGCGCCGGAGCCCTTCGAACCTATTCCCCTTATCGCCGATATCGTGCGTACCGGATATTGCATTCCGGGCTCGATATTTTTGGTTGAGGGCGTCGATTCGGTCCATACGTCCAGATCCAAAAGATGGCGCACCGTACGTCTGTTGCTAGGAGACGGGGAGCTATGTATCCAGGCGCTGCTATCGGCCGAGATGCATAGATACGTAGACCAAGGGGAAGTTGCTTTTGGTTCGTACGTTAAGCTGGAACGATTCCGAGTCGAGTGGAGGAACCTTGGTAACGGAACTGACGGGGACTCGTCAACTACCAAGGGAAAGGAGAAGGCGAGTGGTGACCACGGCAATGGTAACAGCATGGTCTACTTAGTCGTCGATGACATCGCGCTTGTCGGGTGGAACAATACTCTCGTCGACACCGCGCCAGTCGAAAGCACCGATACAGGCACTGAAGTGTCACAAGACCAAGCTAAGGACAAAGCCCCGGCTTCGATCACAACCAAGCCAGTCCCAGGCAATCATAAAACACAACCTTCCGATAGTGGCGTTGGCCTCTTGGAGAAACTAGCTGACGCGGATGACGATTTTGAAGTCATGCCGAACGCTGCTTCGAAGGCAACCCAGAACAGGATAGACCTCGCCGGGAAATCCAAGGGCGGAAACAATCTCCCCTGGCTGAGCAACGACCCAGGCAAACCCCTGAAGCTCACCAAGCTACGCTCGATCCCGAATCTACCGTATAAGCAAAACTGGAGCGTCAACGTGCTAGCCGTAGTTTCGGCAATATCGGGCCTCGAGCCTTCGGGACTACCCCCGTATAGTCAGCGACAGGCCAGACTCGCCGACCCGTCTACCGATAAGCACGTGCTCCTGACGGTATTTCTTGACCCGGAGCAGTTTATGCCGGCGGTGGGGAGCGTTGTGTTGCTGCTAGGTGTCAAGAACCACCGCTTTGACGGCGGTAGCTTGAAGAAGTACGAGAGCGACCGCCCGGCGGCCGGGAATAGCTGGTGGTACGAGAATCCGACGCAGTTCGAGTGGTGCGATGTCGAGGGGCTGAGGCGGTGGTGGGCTGAGAGTCAGATTTGCTAATAATACATAAGTCTTTAGAGCATTAGGTAGGCAACTAGGAAGAGGCTGGCCAGATTAGCACCCGATAGACGCGCATGGGTGGGATAGCAAGCAACTTAGGAACGCCGACTGCCGTTATCACATACTGTAACTTCTTATGCATCACTTCGATTAGTGAATGGACCCGAGGCAGGTAATGATAGTATATTATCCAGGATATTTGGTCGCTATACAAATAAACACGTGCTACATCCTTGGGGATCATACTTCGCTAATAATAACCCATTAGCAGCAACGACCATTCCTTGGGTCTCATGTCATCAGTTCCACTAAGTATGTCCATGGTTCAACTGCAACTAGTTCTTCCCATTATCCTTCCGAAATATTCGCTTCTCAATAGTCAAGCTTCAACCCGTTTTCCACCGCACACATCCGCTAGCGATGTCACCATTGCAGACTTAGTAGTTACGGCCACCAGAACTCTGGGGGGCTTCGGTAGTTCGTTCGAGGATCCTGTTCACAGCTTGGTCTAAGTAGTGCATGTCTACAACACGAAAGTTAGTGAGTATTTCCAAAGACAAGAAATATAAAGATGCAGTGGTTTACGTACACTCGTCGGGCGTGTGTCTCGTGTAATTCTCACCGAAGAGCTCGCGCATGTTCGAGTCGGGGAAGAGGTAATAGTTCAGGGGTCTCGGGGCGCCGTCGTGCGTGGTCAGGGCCGATCTCTTCCAGTTCTCTAGCCGGTCCATCATGCGCACGACCGTGGCTTGGCCAGGGATCTCGCCGACTTGGGGGCCGTTGTTGTTGACCGGGTCTCGGTTTTCAGAGCGGGCTTGGAATCCGCCTAGGGGTAGGTATTGATACCAAGCTTCGGGAACGGAGGTCTGCATGGTTTGGTGGACGCCACTGGGGTCGAAGTCGTGTCCCATGTAGTGCTCGCCATCCATATGGCCGAGAACGTGGCCGGGGTCGTGGAAAGACGTGTTTGCGATGTACTGCCCACAATCGCACGAGGGCCCGTGGTTTTGCGTAGACCGACCGCCAGGGCGGCGGTTGCTACCAGAACGGCGGGTGCCGCATCGGCAAGGGTTGCATCGGCAAGCGGCGCCGCAGGAGCACATTTTGCTATCCCTTGGATGTGGTAATTAGTGGTATGAAAGGTAGGTATGTCCGGTACTGATGGTAAAAGGAGTCTGATGGTGAGGTTTGAAGAAGTAGAGTAGGTGAAGATGAGGATGAGGTTTGGATGAAGGCGAAAAGTTGGGGAGGGGTTTCATGTCTATATAGATAAAATTTTAGCCTCCAAGCAGATATCTCGAGCGATGTTTGAGTCACGATGACCTTCCATGTGTGAAGTTTCGAGAGTACGTTGACGTGTGTTGTGAGTTATAGTGATGCCTCGACAGTTAAAATACCGAAGTCCAAATCGAGAACGGAGAAGCTTTGTTACTGATTCAATTCGATGACAAGCCTCGATCATAAGTATCTCCTTCCCAAATCTCGACAGACCTTCGAGTTCGCCAACTCATAAGTGAATCGAGTCGAGGTCATTAATTCTTGGCAACACGATTGTTTGTCATACCCTCTGGGACTGGTCCAAAGACTGGAACTTGAGTCAGGCCGAAGTCACGAATTTACGTGTTACCCGTTTGGCTATAACCTTTCTTGGTTACCTAGTTCTACTAGAATATATCATGGAGAATTCGTTCAAATAAAAGTGATATGGGTGTTGATTAATGTCATCTCCTATACGGCTGTTGCGAGAGATAAAGCAAGGCAGTTAGATATATTTATTCCCGCTTTGAAGGTAGGTACCTACCTATCTAGGTAGTTATGTATGTGTACAACAGCTAGCAATAACGAGGAAAAGCCATCAAGTTGTGACTTTGACTGTAACGACGATACCCCATCCACGAACGCTCTCCCATATTCCAAGCTCGTTCTCTTGGCGGAACGCGACCTCCTGAGCAGCGACTGTCATGTCAGCCCCTTGATCTTCTTGATCGTCTTGTGTGTCATCCACCGTGGTATCGACTTTTAGAGGACTCGGTACCACCGGTACCACCGCTTCTGGTGGCTTCTGGTGGCTTGCGCGTTTGCCCCAGAACCAGCTTTTCTTCTCCTTCTTGGGCGGTAGTCTTTGCTCAACCACAGTCTGAACTACCGAGTTAAACCTTACTTGAGGTTTCTTCTCCCTTTTCGGCTGCAGGTAGTTGGCGATGCGGCGTGCCATCTCCTCGTCGCGCCACCAGAGTGTTCTAATCTTTTCGGTAGTGTCATCCTGCGAAGAACTAGGTCCATCAAATCGACCCCAGTCACTGAATTCTTGCCCGGTAGCCCAGCTCGGGTCTTCGCTTATTTCTGGGGAACTCCGGGTGCTTGAACCAGGCTTGGCGTCCTTGCTGGAATTTTCTATGGAAATTCTAGCTACGCGACAGATCTCCCCGCGTCGCTTCGTGTCTTCCAAACCGCTAAGGACGGCATTCTTGGGGATCGCAGTATCTGGGACTAAAGTAAGGGTAGCCAAGGGAACGGGAGTGTGCCGAGTCCCTAGGTCAACTAGAAATTCCTCGAGGACGGTGACAATACGGTCCAGTAGAGATGCATCACTAAATGATTGCTCGGCTTTCCGTGCTTCTTGCGCCGCCCGGATGAGATCTGGAAGGGATGCAACATGGTGTTGGAGATGAGAAGTCAACGAGTTCAATTGCAGCTCGTTTACGGGGGGGATATTAGTTGGAGTAGCGGAATAAGGAGGAGGAGGCTCTAGAGGGTCTTTGCTATCCATATTCGCTAGAAGCTTGTCCCGGTATTCGACTGGTTGGTAGGTGGATGATGCAGGTAGCTAACTAAGACATCTAAGGTAAGTCGGGTCAAAGCCCTGGGAATGGTCGGCTTATTTTTGCTTGAATGCCAGTAGCGAGAAAACAGCCAGCTTTGATGTGTCTGCCACGTGGTTATTCTATAGGTAATCTTCCGAGCCAGCTAACATACAGGAAGGGGGGTGCTCAACACTAGGCAAACACGGTCGCTATCCAAGCTAAAAGCATGAGAAAACCATGAGAGTTTTCTGGTAGGTGCTTATCACAGAACTTAAAATGGGGTCAGGAATCACCTAAACCAAGACGATGATTATTTCTTAATAGATGTAACCATGAATTCCTCGTCATTGGCTTGCGAACATAGCCGAAATAATCCACAACGGCTTAGGTTGACACGGGGGATCGATCACACCCCTGAGTGAAGAGAATATGAGTCTAACCACGATTGACGACTAACTCCGCGACTGCCGATGGTTCGGACTTACATTCGGGGTCATAAGATAGCAGCAGTCAGCCGTGAATACCGAATATCCAGATTGGGACCTATTGTACATGATTAGCCTTGCATTCGCCGGCGCAACGGGGGGAAAGTGACTTGGAAAGTCTAAGCCTCCCTCGGCCTTGGCCCATGGAGCACCCGAAGGTAATGGTACAATACCTTACTTCTCTCTTGGTAGTTATCTTGTCACGCATATATCACTTTAAGCCGTCAACGAAGAATCAGCTGTGATATGCAACACAGTCAAATGTTCTTTCTGTACTCGAATGTCATAGCGAATTAATTACTAATTGACAAATCGAGATTTTAAGCTTTAGATAACGACGAAGTTCCAGATTGACGCATGAGTCCCGATCTCCCGCATCCGATCACAGCATATAAGTGCGGGGGACCGGTAAGACGGTAGGAATACGCGGATGTCAAAGCACTAAGAATGTAAATGCATGCAGGGCTCGTAATCATTATCCAAAATCAGGTTTGGAATACACCGTAACAAGTAGATTATTATAGTAACTGCGCCAGATCAACAAGGAGAGGAGAGGTTTGAAGTTAACTATGTGGACAACGAAGCTATGCCTCGAACTATAAAGCTACGGCACGATCATTGATCCACAGGGCTATGCTTCCCATACGATGGGGGACTCATGTCCACGGAGCTGAGCTTCAGCTCGACCTACTGGGGTCTCCCCATATGGAACCTTAAGCTTCGAGAATCATTCCGTTAACATGTATGTACATGTAAGTGAATTAGAATGCGTCTTCAATGAGAACTCCGCTTCGAGCTTGGATTATCTGTATTATCTGTCGGTAACAAATCAAACGCACAGGCGGTACATACTATTGAGGTCTTGTGACGCAAATTCCAAGGCCAGCGCGCCGCCCAACTTGTATGTAGCTAGCTTGGTGCATACATACCTAAAAATAATACCTACTTGGGTATATTACAAAGTGCTCAGTGGAGTGAGTGAATCCGTTATGAGTAACACCGCACAACTACACGCTGCACGCTGCACACTCTTGTATGCCTTACGAGGCTCTTTTTACATCCTTTAGCTTACGTTGCAGGTATGCATTTTATCCCTGTCAGCAGCCATGCATTGGCGGCGGATCGTTCGTTTAGCATCAGATCCAGAACTTAAATTGTAGTACGTACGTAGCGGACGGTGGTTGGCGATGCTCCATAGCTCACTTTACTGTAGTGTTGTAGATATTCACTTGGCCAGAATATGTATAAATAAAATCATTTATTCTACCTATCATCGAGCCATATGAGATATTTAAGCCACTACGAGATCCTAATAACTCTCGTATAGGTGCCTACCTAGCTGAACTCTTGGTAGTTAAGGGGAAAAAGGATTACTTAGGTACCTGGTACGTTGCTATGCTGCCCACCTGTCTTCCTAGATTATGTAGCTTTCTTCCCTTCAAACTTACAGAGTTGATAACTTACTGTACCTACCTACCTAGTCGTTCGCATCGCCCCTTTACTGAGCCTGTTTGTTTTTCTCGGTAGCTCTTAGCTGAAGCCTGAATATAACCTCACTAAGGTGTAGACTACATCTCAACTTCAGCCTCTACTAGTGACTTACATAAGTACCTCTTTATTGCGCCTCACTCTATACGGTCAGCCTAGGCATTTCGAAAAGCTAATATTCTAGCGTCCTTCGATCGCACATATAAGTGAATTATATCGCGTGGTCATAAACACCATATCTTCACCTTCTGCTTGTCCGCCTATATATCCCTTTCTTCTCTATTCTCCTTCTTCTCGACTGAAGCACAAGAAAGACGCCCCTAGCTCTTCCTAGTACTACATTACCACTTAAAAAGCTAGCCAAAAATTACACCACCATGTCGTATAAAATTGCCGCCCCCGATGAGTACCTTGCCATCACTGGCATGAACGTGAAGAATGTACTCATCACGAAAGCAGCATGGGTCTGGCCCTTTCAGAGATGCACACGCTTCTCGGTTCAACCACACGATTATGCCATGAACCTTCAAGGTACCTCCCTTATAGAAACTACTACTTGATATACCTAATAGGGTATTAACTCTTCTACCTAGCCATGACAAAGGAGAAACTTCAATTCCTTCTCCCTGTCGTGTTTACCATTGGACCGTGCGTGTTACCCCTTAGGCACACAAGCATAACTTAGGAAATAATAACACCGTAATAGGGATGTGAACAATCGAGGAGCCAACTCGAGGAACCACAAACCAAATGTAAATCAGGAAGATGGTCATCCAGGACACGACCATACCCACGACGAGGACCGTGGGGATTCTCTAATGAAGTATGCCATGCTGCTGGCCGAGTCGACCTCCCAGAAAAAGGGGTCGCAGTACCTCGAGAATATCGTCAAAGGCATCATCGAGGGTGAAACCCGAGTACTGGTATCCAGCATGACCATGGAAGAAATCTTCACGGAGCGCGAGGAGTTCAAGCGCCGCATCTTCCGAAACATCCAGGGCGAGCTCGACCAGTTCGGCCTCAAGATTTACAACGCCAACGTCAAGGAGCTTAAGGACGCTGCGGGCTCTACCTACTTCCAATCGCTCTCCCAGAAGGCCCACGAAGGCGCGACGAACCAGGCCCGCATCGACGTCGCAGAGGCGCAGCTCCGCGGAAACGTCGGCGAGGCGGAAAGGCACGGCCAGCAAGAGCGCTCTATCGCAAAGATGTAAGTTTTCCTTCCTTCAACCTCGGTAGCTACCTACCTAGGTACCATACTCGAAGAAAAAAAAAATAAAACCCTACTTTCCCCCTTGTGAAAAACTAGGTTAGGAGGTACCTAAGTTCCTAACATGTGTCACCCCGTAAAGTAACGCGGAAACCGCCGTCCAAAAGACAGACCGAGACGTCGAGCGCGCGGCGGCGGAAGCCAACCTAGCGACGCAGAAGACGATCCTGAGCCGGGACGTGGAGATCGCGCGGATCCAGGCGACGCGGGCGACGGAGTCGCGGGACGAGGACCTGAAGAAGGAGGTGCAGGTGAAGCGGGCGGCGGCGGAGCTGGAGCGGCTGCGGGCGGTGGACGTGGTCAAGGCGTCGATCGCGCGCGAGAGCAAGCAGCACGCCGCCGACGCCAAGGCGTACGAGGTCGAGGCCGAGGCCCGCGCCAACTTCGACAAGTCCAACAAGGCCACCGACGCCGCCGCCTACCGCACCAAGGTCGACGCCGACACCCACGCCTTCGCCGCTGTCAAGAAGGCCGAGGCGTCCCTGCAGCAGCGCCTCCGCGAGGCCGAGGGTATGGCCGCCATGGCGGACGCGTACGCCAAGATGAGCAATGCTTTTGGCGGCCCGGCCGGTCTGCTCCAGTACAGTAAGTCCTTCCCCCCACCCCCGGTCTCCTTCCTTTACCCTTTATCATCTTGAAGGCCTGGAAGATACCTACCCAGGTACCTAGGTACGTTTTGCTGACGACGGCTTTTTACAGTGATGATCGAAAAGGGCACATATGTCGAGCTCGCCAAAGCCAACGCCACAGCTGTCCACGGCATGCAACCCAAGATCAGCGTGTGGAACACGGGGTCCGAAGCTGGATCATCGGGAGCTGGCGGCCAGGGGACCGGTCAAGATAGCGCCGCCACGTTGAGAAACGTAAGAGACCTATGATCCATTTGCCTGCCTGATGGGTTAAAAAAAGCATGTGTACCTAATATTAACATATGGCGTTCCAGGTATACCAACTTCTCCCCCCGCTGATGTCGACCATCCACGACCAGACCGGAATCACCCTACCCGAGTGGCAGTTCGGCAAGCTGCCGAACAACGAGGTCACACGACGCGATCACCGCCGCGAGCACTCCCAGGGCCAGGATAATGTTAACGGAAAATAAGCGCGGGAGCGCCGTTCACGATGAATGATCATATCACAATTATACCATGCAGTCGTTTCGCACTTTGACTCTCGCTTTTTTCTAGTTTCGTTTGTTAATATATTGCAGACAGATTCGGCGGTTTATTAGGTACCTCATATCCAGGTACTTACCTCTATGTTTCAATAGGGGGAGGGGCGTTTGTTGATATCCATCTGAATCAAATTTCATTCTCGTTTTTCCATACGACATAATGTTTGAATCGGCTTCTTGACTTGGCTGAACGCTCTATTAGGACTGATACTGAATTATTATGAATATTATGTGCCCGTTCGTAGAATACAAATAGTTGTTAGCGGCATAACTCCTGGAGCATGATCCAACGATGTATTAGGTACCTCTTATTAGAGGTCTTATGAAAGTCGCAATGAAGTTCATATGGCCGTATCTGGATAAAGATTCCGGGAGATTCAGAAGATTCCGGAGGAACGTAACCTCGCCAACTTCTAAAAGTCGTGTTTCAAAAGAAAAGATCTCCAAAGTCTTATTGCCGGAACTTATATATTTAATAGTTCAAGTCGGAAAATGTCGTAAATCCCTAACCTATAAGTGAAGTACTGCCTCGCGAGCTGCGGCCTCTAAGGTGATATGGATTCGAGATCTCATTTGAGAAAGGGTTATATACGAAGTACCTCTAAGGAACAGTAATTTGGTATTATCCATGTGCTAGGACCATAGCCCGTTGAAATACGTTATTGTGGATGAGAGGTATAATCTATTTCTTTTGATTATCTTTTTTTACGTGGTATTGCTACTAGAAAAGCAGCTAAAATCTATTGCACGGGACGCGCTGGGGTATGGTTGGGTGACAAGTCCAACATGCTATAGTGGCTGACCGGTACTGCAACAATTTCCGGTGGTTTAGTTACCTCCTACGGCGACGCGATGTGTTCGCTTCCTAACCGAATCTTATCGCGCTATTCCGATCCCAAGTCCCAGCAACAGGCGGCCGTTTCTCCTGCTGAGAGTTACTTTCTATGTTCCCCGCGCCACCTACGGTACCGCCAGTAGGAGGCGGTGTGCTGACAAATTTAATGCCTGCTCCTGGGTTCCATACACCCTGCATGGGGTTTGCCCTCGGGGGTTGTGGTTGCGGCGCCACCGTTTCACCTGCCGGTGCCCATGACTGGATGTGCGCTTCGGCGGGACTGTGCATCTGTTGCCGGGACGGAGCAGGGGATGGCAAAAATGAAGCCTGTTGTGGTTGCTGCACACGATCTTGTTGCCCCCCAAGGCTCAAGTTATTTAGCGGTGGCATACTCAACTCATCCTCGAGCATACGCGCCTCGTGTCTTCGCTCGGCTACGAAGTTCCGCGCTCCATCTCGGAAGCCACCTACTATGCGGCTGAGATCGTTGTAGAACTTACGTCCTGCCTCTGCGTTGCTAATCAACTCCTTGTATTTGTAATAGGCGTTCTCAAGCTTCTGAAGAGCTTGCTCTCTTTCCTTGTTTCCCTTGTCCCCAAGAATCTTCTTCTGGCTCTCGAACTCACGGTTTACTCGTGTTAGCTCCGCGATAAGCTTCTCCTGCTCATTCGCCTCAGCCAGCACAAGCTCGAGGTCTGGTTCATAAAGTGAGTCTAATCGCTTTTCGAAGAAATCTTCAAAATGTGCGGGCACAATTGCAGTCGCCACTGTGTTGGAGCGCTCTAGCCTTGCTGCCTCGGTCAAGATATCAGACTTGATATCATCGTCACGGGCCTTTTCGCGAAGAGCCTCAGCTTTTCGGCGACGGCGACCCTCGAGGCGTGCTATATTGTTATACGCCGTGCGCAAGCGACCAATTGCAGGTTTAAGCGCTTCAGGAATTTCTGTGCGACGTGATGAAGGCACGAAATCGAGCAGGCCACGATCCGGTCCTGTGAGAACGGCCAACATAGGTTCTATGCTATGGAATTTGTCGCGTACAACCTGATCGCTGCTTTCGCTGCTCGCAAACCAGCCCTCGGCATCCGCTACCTGCTTCCAGAGCTTTGCACCTTGATTCGGCTCAGAACGACTTTCAGGCCGCAACCAGCGATCTGTACCATATTTTCTACGTAACTGAGTATCTTCTTCCTCTTCTGCTTGCAGTAGGCTTTTCCCTTCTTCGAACACTGCTAAATCAGCAGCGCGCAGCTTGTCGATATCAGCGAAGCTCCTTTGCAAGCGATGCAAAGCATCTGCCTGCCGGATTTCTTCGGCATGTTGAACCAAGGTTCCAGGCAGGCCGAGCGGCTTCTCGAAGGCCTGAAGCGAACCTGGGAGATTAAGTGACGAAAGAATCTCATGAATCCTTTCGTTCAGTGTCTCGAGTTCAGCTACGATGTTCTGATTTACTAGACGGTCCCTTCGCTCTTCATAAATGGAGACGGCAATATGAACGGAGTATGGGACGAGTTTTGTAAACAGAGGAGGGCCGAATTCCCCCTTTGCTCTTAGATACTCTTGAGGTGCTGATACTTGCGGTGGTATTCGCGCTACTGCCATGGTAGCTCGATCTAGGATTTTGAGCTCTGCCTTTGGTGGCACTGGGTCTATAACATAGTCAGCACCAAGGTAGGCCTCCTGGTCGATTATTGTATTCGTCAGAATACTTACTTAAATAGATCACGTCGTTGTCTCTTTCAGCCCGCTTAAGGTCTTCTTCCACCCTTCGCTTGAGACCGTTTAAATCTTCCGCCACGGCTTTGTGTAAGTACCCGCCGCGACTTTCTCTAAGCCCCTCGTTAACGCACGAAACAGCATCGCGTAATCTGGCCACCTCTTCGCCATATTTTCGCTTTTCTAGACATTCGCAAGCTGCACGGTATTGAGCTGCAGCGGCAAAATGATGGTGTTTAGCGCTCATGTGATGAATCCAACTACTACTGATAGCCTGCGACCGCATGGATGCTTCACCGGCTTCGTTGTATAGATCGGAAACCTTAGCAGCGAGCTTCGCTATTGATGCATCCTTGTAGCCGTCCATAACAGCCTTTTGCCAGTAGCATTCTTGAGATTGCGCCAGTTGTAATTGTATTAACGAGTCTAAGGTATGCCCGTCCATGTCCTCAGGTGGTGTCGTTCGTAACTCAGGTATAACCTCATTCTTTAAGTGTGTCAGTACGCCTGCCGACTGACTGAAGTAGCTCGCTGCGGTCTTGAGGCCATCAGTACTGGTGCGATTACTCGCTATGGCTAACTGGGAGTATAGAGCGGCAAGGTTGTATAAGATGTTGGCGAGTTCGAATTTTAAATTATTGTGTACTATGGGTCGTTCGGTGTTGTAACCTAAAGCGGGATACCATGTGAAATCTGCGCCGATCTATTTACGGATGAGACTTGTAAGCATAAAATAAGAGACGACTAGGAGATAGCTAGTAGAAGACCGTAGTTCCAAGAAAACTTACATCTATAGGGAATTTCCCTCCGATCCAGACTAGCTGTCCAGCGTAGGCCTGTAGTCTCAAGACACCAGTCGGATGCGGCTCGCGCACGTTCACAGCATCGCGTCTTAGGGTATCGATCACCTCTAGATCTTGGCGGAACATATCTGGATGTTGGTCATATTTCGTAGATATATACTGCCGAATAGAGGACGAGAGCGACAGATGGGCTCCTTTTCGAAAGGGGACGGCGAGAATGCTGTTTTGCATGATGGACGGGTGTTTTGCATAGATACAAGGTAAATACCTGGTACTCAGGCTATAAACGAAACAAGGTAAGTGAGATATAGGATAGAGACGGTGTAATGTTAGAATATATGTGTACCTTTTCCCATAGCTACCTAGGTACTAGGTAGGTAGCTAGTTCGAGACGTTTCGGTAGAGCTTATTTGCTTTAAGGCGTTGGAGGTTTAAGTAAATAAAAGAAAGAGGTAAGTAGATGACTTCATTCTGGACAAAGTAAAACAAAGTAAAGAAACATTTGGCCGTCGCCTTGGGCAGCCGTTTTCTTTAGTGGGGCGCGGGGCAGATCTTACATAAGTGAAACCCAAGATAGCGCCCCCTTTTCCAATAGGCACTTTGAACAATCTTATACAGATGCGTATTATATACATTTAGGTGAGTTATACACTGATAACTAATAACATTCGAAAAATCATAATTGGATATAAAAAACCACCCATTAGCATATTTCACTCATTAGGTACACAATACAAGTTATTCATCTTCAGGTCATGTTCTTTTGGCCTATCTAAGTTAGGTATGTACAACCGTAAACGGCATCATCCACCAGTTTCGTCTCGAGCACTTCGATTCCGAGCTGGCGGTGCCCTCCAGCACGGCATTGAGCAACCACCACCATCACCATCACCACCATTTGACGCTCCCAAGAAAAAAAATATCAACCCAAAATCGCCAACCTCGACCGTTGTAGCGACAATCACGACACCATATTTCTCACTAGACATCTAATGCCCGTAACTCCGCTTCCCAAAGAGTAACTGTATCATACAAATAGACAGGGGGAATAAAAATAACTAGTGTAAATGCCGAGTACGACCTTTTCAGCCGTCACTGATGCTGGGTTCCAAATGATAATAAATGTAGTACGATGTAAGCGTACCGAGAGTTGATTCCTCCTTCGAAATCAACTGCGAAGATGTAAGGTAGTAGTAGTAATGATAAAGCGATCGACTATATTGGCAATTATGCATTATCGGATTTTTTCTTTCTGATTTTGATAGTAGTTGGAGTGCGATAACCAGCGCTGGTAAAAGTGTGCTCTGAATGTTAATAAAGCCAAGCAGAAATCTGTCCAATACTGACAGGATCCAAAGAGCAATGCATCATGTTGGTGATTTGCCATCATATAGATTGCAGTTTATGCAAAATAGCGAGTCGCTCTCCTTGGCCCAACTAGCATTCACAAGTGAGACGTCCTGCTAGGCAATGCTGAGATGTATTCAACAAGGCAAAAAAGCCGGGTATGCAAGAGAGGGGTTGTTGTTGCTGGTGGAGTGTTGCTACAACATCTTGAGCGGAGCCTCAGATGAGTTCCCAATCTGGCCTTCTCCCAGTAGGTGAATGGAAACGTTTGCCTGTTCCTATCCCATCGTGTAAATATCATTAGATCGTTCACCACCTGTTACGTGATGTCTCTACGGGACCCAGATAAGCTCAATTATGCCATCGACATGAGACATGGGATCACCGTTTCGCTCAACCCATCTCCAATCATTGGCCTTTCGTACGTAGACGTGGGTAACGGTGTTGTCCTCATTAAGGCGCGCTTCCTGGAGATCCCAACTAACTTTACGACCTGTCTTCAAAAGACTAGGGCGCTGCGGGTCAAAAACGTAGTCCAAATTCCACCCCTTATCTTGAGGGGCGGCTGCAAACGTTCGTTCCATCTGAGCGAGGTTGAAGTCGATGCCGTGGGGGTAATGAGCAACACTGAAGCCAGTCGAGATGATGAAGTTATCGCTAGTACGGAACCGCTGAAGCGTACAGTCCTCACCACAGATATGGGCAATCTTAGTGTACTCCCAAGGCAGAGCCGAGTGCCACCCGCCACCCTTGAAGTGGTGGAGAGAGATGGGCTTAATACCAGACTCGTAGAAACCAGATGGGTCGCCATACAGATCAAGCTGGTAGAGACCACGAAGGATAGATAGACGAACATCTGTGTTTTCGTAGATGCACTTGCGGAGTAAAATATCACCCTGAGGACCCCAGCCAGAGTTCGATTCATGGACCTTCTCCTCCGTCTTGCAGCTGTCGTAGTTCTTAGCGATCTGCTCAGCTAGTGGTACCGAGAGAAATACACCAGCACCTCCAAAAGCTTGCGAACCATGACGGTCAACATTGTTGACATCCTCGGATAATGTCCCGATGTAAAGCATTTCGTTGGGATCGTAGTCCTCAAACTTTTTGGTGAGCGCGTGGACACTAGGGAAAAAAGTGTCATCATCACACGACACAAGCCATTTCTTTGATGCTCGCTCCGGGTGGTTGTATAAAGTCGGGATAAGTGTAAGATAACGGACGGCCATCTCCATCGACGAATCCGAGTGGTAGACATCAACATCAATTCCGGCGTGGTGCAGTATCGTCTTAGCATGCAGGATCTGATCCTCGGTTGCATCCAGGAGCAAGAGGATCAACTTGCCACCATTGGAGTGACCCTTGCCATCGGTTAACCAGTATGTCCATTCATTCACTGGACTAGTCTTCTCGGAGCTGAATCTCTTGAACGTGGTCGACACACCGAACATGAAATCAGACAGGTTTCCAGTTGCAGGATATGGCGATTCGGGAACTGGAACTTCCAAAGGCTCAATACACTGCTCATCGCCGTAGTTGCTCGGGTGTTGCAAATCGACGGTAGTAAAAGTATCAGGAAGGAATGCCTGGGGAAGCTTGGTGATTGACTTTCGACTTATCGGCTGGCGGTTGATCTTGACATATCGTTTGTAATACTGGAAAGTATCCCCAAGCTCATATTTTGCCTTCAGTTCACCCATGTGAGTTGAGTTGATGCCGCAATCCATGACATGGTCTGACACAGGCGCAATATCCTTGTCATTTGCGGGTGCTGCTTCACTAAGAGGTTGTTGCGGAGCATCAGCCCCTTTATGGGTAGATGCGGCTTTCACGATTCGCGAGCCGACATCTTCTATACGGTCGGATTTCCATGTAACGACAAGTAATACTAGTAACGCGACAGCGAAGAGAACGCATCGCGAGAAGGGGTTCCTCATGCTGAAGAATCTTTGATGCGGAGAGGGCATTCTCGCTCCCATCGTAAGGATTTCCCCCAGTGACAATCTGTCAGGAGGGGAGGTCGTCTCGACTATAATCGGTTTGGTCTAAACGGCAAATCGCTGGTTTTCGTTGCTAATCCAAGCGGGTAAAGTCAACCGCCGAGTTACTTAATGACGGTTATCACAGAGTTTCGTGTCTGTGGATTTAGCATGCGGCGCGACGGTTGACAATCTATGTCACAAAGACTCTTGTTACTCGAGAACTTCGCAGGCTTTTTCGTAATCCAAAAAAGAGTAGGTGGTAACGAACGACACCTCACGCAAAGGAGAGAAGTGAGACGAGTAAAAGAAAGCAAACGCTTACACACCCGTCTGACGTGTAAGGCGCTTCTCAAAACTGTATGAGTAAAGAGGGAATTGGGTTATTTTCCAAAATGAAGAAGAAAGGACACAACGAAAGACAAGAGGGAGGAATTCGTCAGTAGAAAAGGAAATAAAAAGGAGGGATCAACCAAGGCAAAAAGTAAAGTAACGGGCGATGGGTAAGAGAAACATGGAAGCTTGACAGGGGGGAATCACCTCCCGTACTAGTACAAGCGGAAGCTAGAGGACGCAACGGCGTAGCGTACCAGGTATGTACTTAGAGTACCTATGTATCGAGTGTATCAGGTACCTAATTGTGAATGGCCACAATAGAACAGACCCGGGCGATTAGGGGGGGCATGATAAATTGGGGTTGCCGGGATTTGTATTAGATCCGCTGATCGAGGGCCACCATTCGAGGTACCTTGAGAATGCGGTCGGTACGTCCCCTGTTGTAGGTTGACTGGGTTGGGCAAACCGGAAACTGCAACAGCAAGAAAAGAGAGAAGAGAGCAGTTGTCTTGTGTTAAGGTACATATTTTGCATATTATTATAGTAGACATATCGCATTGGCGCTGTATTATACACAGAACAAAGCAGATCCTAGATGATATCTCGTGGTTATTTAGCTAGCGAGCGTTTTCTATCTCATCCCATGTGTGTGTATCAACAAGATAAAACTCATGTACCCTGATCCTTGATAGGTGTATATTACCTAGCGCGGCAACACCGCGCATTAACCAAGTCGATAGTATTTTCTTCTTAATAGGCCATTAACTTACAGCATACCTCAGTCGGCTTGTAGATCCCTCAAAACTGGATAAGTCCAGTTGTTTACTTATCTTACATGCTACCTACTATGTACCTACATATTTCCAAGTTTTTAAGATGCGCTATATTGGTCAATACTAAGATATGGGGGAGGTATGGGGGCGTTTATTGTTTACTACATAGTAGTGTATATGTACCGCGACAAATTTGAGTGACGCTAGAGGTAGTTTTTGGATAGTGGCTTGTGATAGTTTAATAAGACTTAAGACGTGCGCTAACTTTGCATAGTAGACCCGCGTGGTTAAAATTCCAGTTCCATGCCCATCGATCATGCTATGGTACGTAAACCATGTACATCGCTGCATGGGTTAGGTCCCTACCTATCATATCACCGGATAACACCTTAACTTTAACTGTTAGTTATAATCCATTATTAAACAGTGTTGCATTTCAGACGAAGAACTCATTGACGAGAAAAAAAAAAAATCTGATGGTGGCCTACTCAGGCTGATTCCAGAGAAAAATATCGTCATCGTCCCCCTTTCCCTAGTTGGATTATCCACCGATTACCTAGGTAGGTAGTATGTGCGAAATGTGGAAATGGCTGGCAGTGCTTGTGACGACGATCTTTTGCCATGCCCTTACCCGTCTGCTCGTCTGCCCGTCACGGCCACCAAAGCCTTTCCCTTCTCTCAGATCTCAATACGAACAAGCAAACTCGTGAACTACCTACGTACATCTGTAATTTACTGTTTCAAGAATATCAGAGGCATGGGCTGACGAATCATTCAGCCGCGCTTACAGAGAGAATCGATATGGGAAAGCATCTAACAAGTTGAAAAATCAATACGTCAATACCTAATGTGGCCAGTTGCTGTAGCCACCATGCGTGCACGCTGCAAGCTTCTTTTTTTTTCCATATTAGTTGGCATTAGTTGGCATAAACTCGGTAACCTGTCATGTAAGTGACTACTAGCAAAGAAGTGTACCTTTTTGGGCGTCCTATCCCATTACCACCACACCGTTTTTCTGTTAAACACAGTAAGGTTAACGTTGACAGTCGGACAAATCCAGAGATATTTAAGTATAAGGTTACGCGTACCTTATTTTAGTTACCTTTTCATTTGATGGATATGAGATGTTACTTTAGTTGGAAGTCTAGACACGAGAAGTAAGAAGTTTCTTCCCTTTGCCTCATAAACTTTTTATCCCTCCATATTCTAATCCTAACTTCGGGCAATTCGAATTCATCTTATCTGCTTCTAACGTCCCATCCATACCTAGGTAATTTAGATATTTCCCCCGGTATTCTAGTGTTCACATTCAGATCCCGGCTAGCCAAGTTGGGAAATCCCTGTAAGAGTTTTCCGCTCGGCCATGTACTGATGATGAAGATCGCTACGTCGTTTGTCTAGATATTCCCAGTTCCCAGCCCGCCCCTAACCACCATTAGCCAGGGGTAGCACAGACCAGCATTCGTAAGCCGTGGGTCTATCGTTTCGAATGTCTCGCCAGTCATCGTCCAGTTCGGCGAGATTGCAGCAATTACGTCAATCTTGCCAATCTTACCAACTGTTTGAGCACTTTTCACTTACATAGTACACTGGTATTCATGTCTCAAACCAGGACCTGGCATCTCCATTGATGCCCTCTTAACAAGAAGTCTTCTTTCAACCAATACTATTGTCAACTGACAAATGCTAGGATAAGAGCGGTAATTACCTTGAATTGATAGTATTTCCTTCCGATGCTACAAGGGACGCGATGTTACTGCTACGCAACACAGATATCTATCTATTTCACATACCCCGACGCAAAACGAAAATTAAGAAGAGAATAGATTTTATGAGAGTATATTGTAAGCTGTTATCTTTTCGGCATTAACAATGCGGCTGCAGACCAGGGGTCGATTCCGTTTGTCTACTTCGAGGTACATATATCCGCGATGCTATGGTAGGATAAGGCTTGAACCTCAAGGCCTGCCAATACTACGACGATAATGACGAGAATGTGACAGCCACGCCATGCGATATTTCCCATATAGAATGCCTTATCGCGAAAATTGTCCCTCGCAGCGTCTAGAGCTTCTAGAAGCGTCGCGGCTACGTCTAATATCACGGTTTCTATCAAGAAGAAGCTTATATTTATTTTACATATCGCTCGCTTCAGCGCGGCAGTCTGAATTCGCTCGCTAGGTATCGAGGAGCAGTAGCAATTTGGAACTTACCGGTCTTGCAGGGTACCTCCCGCTGGTGGTTGAAAGTTCTTGGCGGCTGCAGCCGACAATACCAAGATTCTGTGTGGCGGAAATTTACACGCCTAAACCCATCACAATATGCTTAATCAATGGCTTAATTACCAACAAGCCAGTTTGATTGGCTCCTGTTAAGGTACCTTACAATTTCTCACGCAGACAGCCGCTGTGATATGTCCAACGTATACTCAAATATACCTATCATGGATTTTCAAAGCCGAGTGGAGGAACGGGGTGAAGAGGAAAGTACGTAGAAGGATAGTACCTATACCAATATATTCTTTGAGTATAGGTACCTAAGGCATTCAACCGAAGCTGCAAAGCCAACCTTATTATTATTAGACCAGCCTCGATCCTCTAATCAACTACTATACAACGCTGTCTAGCCTCTGAAATGAAGCTTCTAGCAGTGGACTAGTATGGCGTTATCAATGTACAATAGATTGAAGGTAAGGCAAGCCTTCACGGTTACTCGGCTCCAAAATGTACGACGTGCACGACTTGGACCCGACCCAAGGCTTGGCCTACCATTCTTTTTTGAGGGATCGTCATACATGACCTTCCGATTACCTATGCTAGAAGAACGGAAAGTCACTTGATAGAATAGAACCGAGAAGGGCCAGGCTAAAAACTACAGAAACTAAGAGACTATACCCCAATATTCTTCAGATCAACGCCAGTCGGTGACAGCCAAATGTGTAGAGATAATCAACGGGGATGTCGGAGATCTTGAACGATGATCGTGTTCAGATTCGGCAAAAAGAGCCCGATAGCCTGTATCCCGCGGACGGACCAGACGTAACAAATTCGCCTATTAGTTAGTAAGTGATCCGAAGGCTCCCTGCAGCCGGTTCTACCTAAGCAGCTAAGTCGGAACCTCTGTCACCGTTTCGCAACTTCTTCGTTGCCTTTACAAACATCCATCTATCTCTCTCTCTCATGTAAGATTGCCAAGTCTTCCCACAATAGCGCAGGAAGACCAAAAACTAGTGCAGGAGGAGCAGAACAGCTATTTTAGAGAACGAAAACTATTAACCACGCTAAACAAGACTTGGCGTTGGGCTATTTATGTGCTTTTGGTCAAGTTTAGAGAACTAAACGGGCGGCGCTGCTTAGAAGGCGTAATCTCTTCTAGTCACCGGAGCGTTCACATGCCAAGAGCCTAAACATGAAACGTAGAAGAAGACGTTCGAACAAGGACCGACTCGATTAAGGTGGGAAAAGGTGGAAGTCGATCTGTGACCAAAACGCCAAGCAACCAACCTTATTGAGAAGGCCCCTGAATCGAGTGCGCTTCTTCCAACCCTATCACACATGCCGTACCCCAAGTTAGCAGACGATAGCCCCACTCGTCGAGTGAAGTTCGAACTCCATCCTCGGCGGAAATGGGGCACGCGAGCCTCCATCCATTCTTTTGGGAGATTTTGAGTGTGCGTTTAACGGTCCCGGCTTACGACCGTGGGAGTTTTTGTCCTCTTTTGATAACATCTTTTTTTTAATCAACCTGCCAATCCCTCGCTAAGGGTTAGCTAGCGTTCTAGTAGCCAAGAACGATTAGCCACATCCATTGTGCTTCAGTTATTAGTAGCACGCAGATCCTTTACGTATGGAGACATTTGTACTTGTACTCCGGCGGTAAGAGAGATCCAGTAACCCCGTCTTTTTTTTTTTTTTTTTTTTTTTTTTTTTTTCCCTTTGAGGCTCCACGAGAGCCGCCGGGAATAAGGAAACACCTAGATAATTTTGCCCTTTATTACACTAGTGTAATACCATTATCATTGCGGATATTTTAGCAGTTGTAACAGGACCATAACTAGGCTGAACATGATCCCACGTGCTCGGAGCTAGAAACACATGTATCTGAAACGGCGCAACTAAGGATATCGTTTATTCTCCGCAACGATGACGGCAATGCCTTCTTTGTCTACTGGTAACATCCATAGGATCTCTTACTAGGTGTAGAAACCAGCCGCATTTTTTCAACTCAACTCAGTATTCGCGTGATTATTATGTGTTCCGAGTCCCAGGTCAATTATTTGCATCAATCAATTTCTAAGGAGTTGTTAATTTGAATCCCTTCGCTTATAATATGTCCAGTATAAGTCGAACTATACCCACCACAAACACCATTGTCTCCCAATAATCAGGTAGTACTTGTTTCTGTCTAGGTGAAACTTCTTTAATACTCAAACAATGTCTCTTCATATGCATACTTTTCCCTTACTTTAGGGTGATAATATACCATTCAATGCCCCTTTATATGCTTTCTACCTCAAGGACTAGAATCCGCACCGAAATTATTTGTAACTACCTACCTACTCCTTAAGCAAGGAACTGGTAGAATTCGTTGCGAAATGGTATAGTCTTATCAAATCCTAGTCTTCCGAGCAACAAAGTTGCCAGGCTCCATGCGGTGGAGTATAACTATATGTAATGAAGCTCATTTCAATAGTGTCTTCATCCTTAACCTAGATACCTAGGCGGTGAATAGAAGTATTACAGAACCCAATTGTTCCATCCAAGAGCGTTATACTATGGTACTTGTACAACACCGCTTCTCGCATAAGAAGCCTACGTATTTACATAGGTACGTCAGACATAGTATCCATGGAGAATCGATGGCGAGTCCCTCAATCGTTCAACCAACGATGTAAGATTTGATTGATTAGTACTCTGAATGAACTCCCGCGTTGGGTAAGGGATGATTCAGCTTAGTCCAAGCAAGATACTCGTTCCTTGCGTTCCTTGGTCCGTTTCTTTATTTAGAGCGGCTGACACCACCACATTCACCTATTCCAGCAATTGGACAAATAAACTCATCAGAGACTGTCGCTCAAAGTAATCCGTACAGCCTCTCGATTCCATAGGACTATACGAGATTCTGATTGGCCGAGAGATATGGGGGACACCCTAACCACGTCTAAGTGGACCGATTGGTCGGTGCTACACGGTAGTCTAGAATTATATACCACTATAATTGGCAAATCTTCCATCGAAGCATGAATGGTGTAGCGGTAACATTCAACCCTTCCATCATCAAATGCAAGGTTGAGCTCGGGGTTCGACTCCCCGTTCATGCATTCATTTTTCTCCCTTTCACATCCGATCTTTTTTTTCTTCAAATCTTACGAAGCCTCACTCGTACGTAACATTCATTCTTTTTGTCATTTTTATCTGAGCAATCAATCCCCTGTGATTCGTCAGCTCATTACGTCAACCTAGCTCAAAAAGGGATTTCATTTTTATGCGCCTCATCTGTGATTGGTGAGCTCCGAGCTAAACCAGCTCGATCTCATTCATAATGGTGTGTCAGAAAGCTGAAGGATTTGCCGAATTCAATATTGAATCAATAAACCAGAGTGGAGTTGACGGCAGAGGAAATAATGAGACAGGTCAAATCATGTCCGTTGAAGGGACTCGTATGATGGAAGCATTTGTTCGCAGGGAGATCTGCCCATTTCTGTGACATTAAGTCGTCAGTGCGACTCGAATGCGCCCCTGGTCTTTACACGAAACAGCCTCTCATCACTGACAAATTGCGAGTAGAGTGATTACGTAGTCCACGGTACGTGCATATACATGCCTTCTCTCTTTCTTGCTGGGTTTATAATTATAAACTTCCAACGACGTATATCCTAGCAGCGAGCTGGGGTAGCAGACCGAAGCAGTCTCATCTGGCCGCGTGCGTTCTTGCTGCAGTCCGCCATCGTCGGTAAATAGCGGATTTGGGACAGTTTACCGAAACGACGCTAGAATCTATTGGATATTCGTATGAATCTTCCAAGTTATGTTAGGTATTTAGTTCCCTTCGAATCCGGTTCGCGCGAGTCTAAAGCGGGTACATTTTCGAAGAGCCAAATGTCCCTAACTTAGGTTCGAGGTGAACCGGGCGTTCCGAGGACGGAGAGAGGCGAAGATGAAAAGTTTCTAGGTAGGTAGACAGGCTGTTGAGATAGTAATTATACCTATATAAAAAATCATAATACGAGGTTGATGTAAATGAAAATCTCGGGTTACGTGAAATTAAGCTACTCAGGATTTGTGTAGAAGATCGTGTTTCGCAAATTAAAAATACGAAGTTGCTACCCCCCGTACGCGTTCATATCTCCCCCAATGGCCCAGACAAAGTCCGCATCAAAGCTCCGGCAGATGCTGGCCGATCCGGAAAAGACCGTGGTATGCCCGGGCGTACACGACGGACTCACGGCGCGAGTAGCTCTGAGCGTCGGCTTCGATGCGTTATACATGGTAGGAGAAGGGCCTCGCTTTCCTTAGCCGCAAGTTGGCACGCCACTTTTCTAGAATGACATTCCACTAACTTTCGGACCAGACGGGCGCCGGGACAGCTGCGTCCCGCCTGGGACAGCCGGACCTCGGCCTCACGACCGTCGACGACATGGCGACGAACGCCGGGATGATCGCGGGCCTGGACCGCTCCGTCCCCGTGATCGCGGACGCCGACACCGGGTTCGGGGGACCCCTGATGGCCGCGCGCACCGCCGAGAAGTACATCCTGCAGGGCGTGGCGGCGTTCCACATCGAGGACCAGGTGACGACGAAGCGCTGCGGACACCTCAGCGGGAAGGAGCTCGTCGACACGGCGACGTTCGTGGCGCGCATCCGGGCCGCGGCCTCGGCGCGGTCGCGCCTGGGCTCGGATATCGTGATCATCGCGCGCACGGACGCGCTGCAGTCGCGGGGCTACTCGGAGGCGGTTCGCAGGCTACAAGCGGCCGTGGAAGCCGGTGCCGATGCGGCGTTCCTGGAGGGCATGCAGACGAAGGAGCAGATGGCGCAGGTGGTCAAGGACATGGCGCCCACGCCGTGTCTCCTGAACATGGTCAACGGCGGCGTGACGCCGCTGGTGAACGCGCAGGAGGCGAAGGAGCTCGGGTATAAGATCGTTCTGTGGCCGATAGCCGGCATGACGAGCGTGTATATCGCCATGCGCGAGTTCTGCCGGGAACTGAAGAGCACGGGCGAGATAAAGAACAGGTATAAGGAAGACGGGAAGATTGATGGAGGTGTGAGGGATGTGTTTGAATTGTGCGGGCTGTCGACTTGCATTGAGTTCGATAAGGAGGTTGGAGGTGCAAGTTTCGCGAATGGTGCATAAGATACATACCTCATATTACATGAATTATATGGATATTAATTATTTTATGTGAAGTGGACAATAGGAGGCTCTATCTTCTAAAAGGACACCCAGTCCAGGACTTGTGAATTGTTACCTTGTTCTCTACCTAAGCAATCGAAGAACTCATAATCTACTATTCAATGACGGTTTTGAAGCCGTCTTGGTACGAAAGTATTCGATTCGATATATCACACGGCCACATGCGTGGCCCTCTTTACCACAAATATAAGTTGATCTGTTAGTTTTGCGATTAAGCAAACGAACGGAAGGTTCAAACTCCGGATGAAAATAAATATAAATACTATATAAGGAGCTACGGCGAAGGCAAATATATGGAGTACCATTCTCGGGGGCTATGCGGCTGACTGGCGAATCAATTGGTGCGGCGTTTGCCTCGATTTCTATTTCAGGATACTCCATTCCGCGGCCGACCCAGCATCCGATCTACAAGCGCTCGGCGTCGAATAAGGCTCCAAGCTGAGTTGGTTTCGAAACAACAATCGAAGCTTTGGTTCTGCTGTTGTTGGTTCATTATCCTCTCGGTAACACACACCTGAATTATAGGCGAGAATAGTCTTGTTTTATAATAGCTACCAATCCTAGTGTCTACCGGCTTATCGAGAGTCGTCTGCCAGCTCTTTATATAAATATATACCTCCGGATAGAATCCATCCCGGTAGAATTCCGCCTGGGTATTCAGCACTCCGGTTTGCCCTTCCGCCTACCTTAATCAGACTGATCGATGTGCTTGCTGTTGGTCGCTCCAAGACAGCCCACCTGATGATGGGTAGGTACTTGTATAAGATCGAAAATGTATGTGTACCTAGGTATATATGTGTGGTAACAACTCTACGATGTAAGGGTTAAAATGATTTTCTAAGGAAGCATTGGCATATAACCCGGTTTGTTTTTAGATTTCTTTGATATCATAAATGTACCCAGGTAGATTTATATAATATTTCACTCTTCCTTAAAGCAAAGTGCCGAACTATCAAATAGTTGGCGTCCTCATCGATATACCCACGAATTCAAAGCCGTTGTCAAAGTCAGCAGATCTGTATTCACCAAACATACTTGACATATACAGGGCTCGACTTCTGTCAACTTAAGAGATTTCCCCTAAGTTTCCTTTCTAGCTATACAACTTCAGCATTATCCCACGATGAAGGCTACTTTGCTATCTTCATACCTCTCTGCTGCGATTTTGCTTGGGCTGTTAGGCTCAAGCTCTGCCGCAGTTGTTCCTCGCTCAGATGACACCACCATTGCCAATTTCGGGAGAATAGGAATCTGTCTCTCGTACCTCGGACCCGGAAACCTGGTGAAGGAGCTCGCCCCGTGTAAAATCTGGTGTCCGACGCAGAATCCGGGATCGGACCCGAATGCAGTCGGCGTACGTCTTATTCCCCCCTAGTCATTATCGAAACGAAACTAACCCATAAATCCCAACGACAGTGCAAAGGCCCGGACATTCCCGAGGACAAATTAGATCCCAGCACGATCGACGAAGACGACGACGGGAACAGATTTACCCCGGGCGAGTGCATCTGCGACCTGTCAGCAGCGACAGCGTTCCTCAACGTCGTGATCGAGGGGCTTTCGGAGCTGGACAACGTGATATGCGCCGTAGTCCTGACGGCCATCACGACGCTTGTCGAGCTGGGCCTCGACGCCCTGCCGGGGGGCGCGTCTCTGACCGCGGCGCGGAGGGCCGTCGAAGGCGCCAAGACGTTCGTCGAGAACGGGCTCGAGGCCGCCTCGTTCTTCGGGGACTGGATCGGGAGCACCTGCGGCATCTCCGACTTCAACTTCAGCTTGGAAGACACCTTCTTGGGCTTGAGCGAAGCCCCGGACGAGCTGGGCGTGAGCAAGGGTTGCCTTAGGCAAAACAAGATTTGCCTGAAGTCTTGAACTATGTTGGAGGGAGATTGATAGGGAAAGGTTGAGATGGCGTTTGAGATGAGATAACAATGGTATTGATATGAGTTTGAGGTTTAGGAATGGCTTAATATACAGGGTTCTAGGTATATCGTGATGGATAGGATTTACGTGTATGGTATCTCATTAGACGGTTTGTTCTGGTTATGCTGTGGACTCGAATATGATGCGTCCCTCTTTATATTATATTATCTTAGACATGCCCGGTGCTCGTTAGCCTCTATTATTTAATTCGGAATTTGATACGTACGTATTATCAAGTGAGAAATTTCTATTGGGATACCTGTGCAAGTGTTCATTGTAGATATATTGTGAAGCTATTCGTCATGTTGTGGAGAGAGGAGTCACGGGGAGGATTGACTTTTTGTTTTCTCATCGTATTATCACATAAGTTCTAAGAAACAGAAGCCAGCTTCAGGACGGAGGATCCTTAATATGTTAGTAATGGTTAAATATGGTCAACTAAAGTATAACTGGCTCTAACTACTCCCATCATAGCCCTTCTTTTCGTCTTTAACGACGATGACGTGCTGCCCTCTCGGTGATCTCTTCCGGGCAGATAACGAATTTCCATTGGCGAAAGCGTCGATTCGTAAAGAAAGCTGGGAATTCCACCTCTGGAGGCGGGGTAGACTCTCTCTTATAAGGTTCTGGAGGTGTCGGTGGGTTCCCGTTAGGGCAATTGTAGAATGCCCACTCTCTTCCCGTGGGGGTGCTGAACCACGCTTTCCGGACTTGCGTTCCGAGAGGCGTGAAGTGCGACGGAGTGTATGTACCCGTGTTTGCCCAGAGCAAAGCCTGTCGACTGGCGAGGAACTTTCGCCCATTTCTACTATTGAGCCAGACTATCCCTTGTCTGGTCTCTAGCCATGGGAAACCATACTCCGACGCCAGCCACCACCAGCAAGATTTCGATGCTAGGAACAGGAACCCCGGCCTCTTTTCATCACTCCAGTCATATCCAAGCCAGTCATATCCTTCGGCACTTGCTAGCCAAACGGAAAGTTCATTTTGCTCATCGTGTACCGGGTAGGCAAGCCATCGCTGGCCGTCGTAACCTTCCAACCACTGCTGCCTGCGCTGGTACTTATTAAACAATGCATAGGTCCAGCGTTCAGTAATATCTCCAATCATGTGCTTCTCGGAATTGGCGAGATACTTTTTCCAGTCTGGATTATCCTCGAGCATTCTGTCATAGGCTAGATTCATTGCAGAGCTGATGCTCCGTGTGTCAGTTTGGAAAGCCTTAATAACCCTCATTCTTGACGGGGGGACCTCTCTTCGGAATCTCCCCACAACGATTATAAGTTCTTCGATGCGTGAAGACCGAGGCCATATAAAATTAGGGGGTGGATCCCAGTTTTCATTGGCCATCGTACTGTCAAACACATCATCGAGCTTGAAGGCACAGAATCGAACGCCACTGAGGTAGGAGGGTATAGACCATGGTTCCCTACTAGCCATCTGGTTCACACAACCATCATAAAGGAACCAGTCCAGATGCTTCCTCACCGTAATAGATTGGGAATGTTTGTGAGATTTTCCAGTTCCATGCTCGTCCCCTAAAAAGAGACGGAGGATACCTTCGGTAAGGGTTTCTATACCGATTGGTCGGCTGATTGACGGGCTGATAGTGTTCAAGCCTTGTCGTAGCTGGTGGGATCCATTCCATTCTTTGTTGACGTAGAGCGCCTGATCACCGCCCCAACATTCAGCCAGGCTGCCTTTCCTGAACCTGAAATAGGCCCAACTAGGCGATGAGCCGACCACATCGAATATAGAAGCCTTTACATCGTATGGTAGATTGTCGAATCTCAAACCCTGAGTTCCGCGCTCGGCGGCAGAGGATGATCCTGCGTTCTGACTGCTTGCCCCCAAAAAACCCCCCGGCACAGATGCCGTGGATTCTCTAGGCTCGGGCTCACCCATCCTACGGCGAAGCTGCTTGGCTGTGTCTGCTAGAGCAAGGTGGATACTATACTCCATGATTGCAAGGTAATTAGCAATAACTACTAGTAGTTAGCTATATTCCCTGAGGCTTTATTGTTAAGATTTGATGAATTTATTTTGGCAAAATAAAAGGTTGCTTTATAAGGAAAGAGGTAGAGGGAACTTGGTAGTATTTAAATAGACCGGCTACTATTACTATGTAGAAGGCTTTGGTATAGATCGTGAATTAGATCGTGAATCGAATCGTCGTGACAATGAGCTATGATGCATTGCCTACAACGTCACTAAGATTCAAAGTCAGTTAAATAGGTGAATTGATCTTCAAGAACCATGTTTCTGCTTGCTGGCCTGAGTAACTTCGGTCTGACCTAGGTACCTGACATGGTGATTATGAGCTGTATACTTGGAATCCTGGACAATGATATTAGTCCATTAACTAAACCAAACCAAGTCACAAGGGACGAGTAGTAGCACGAAGCGTTGCATTAAAATGATGGAATACCATTTTACCGTGTAGTAAGTAATCAATTCCCTCATGAGCATATATACCTGCATTGATGAACGCCCCAGCCGCGAAGCTAGTGAAGTCGTAAGATTATTCTATAAAGTGCATCGAAGAAATGTAGCGCGGCAATGTTGTTAGAAAGCAAACATTGCATATCATCCTTTTTTGGGCGAGGGTCAAAACCGAAGCTGGTACGTCCGGCACGCCCAGGTATCTCGTACAATCATAATCATCGTCATACAATGGCGACCGTCTTGTATAGACAACGAAGACGGTTATGGCCAATAAAGCCTCGAGTAGCTTGTCCTCCCACTGCATAAAGCCGTTGGATATATCCGTCCCTCCCACCCCTTGAGCCACGAGGCATCCCAAAACGTCCCAAGAGGGTCTTATTCGTCTTGCATCTTATTTCTAGACAGCGAGAAGTCATCTGAACTCCATGATGTCCCTGGTTGTGGTATCATCGCTGACCCATTTTTCATTCCTATCCATATCTTAGTAACCCATTCGTATATCCCCACGATCTCAGTTAGAAAATCCGGGTCGATATTGAATCATCGGACGACGCCAACCCTACCTTCCTCTAAACGCCTGCGCTTCGCTAGTAACTCACTTGGGTAACCAGAAGATTCGTGATCCTCGGAGAAGCTTCCGTTAAAAACCTCGGAGAAGATACCCCTTTTACGCTTGGGTGGCAGTGATAGTTGGGAAGTATTAGACATTGATCTGTCTTCCTTGTCGAGAATCTCAAGCATGCTTTCAAATTCTTCTTCTTCTTCGTCTTCTTCAAAGTTGTCGCTGTTAAGTCCTTCAAAATCGGGTACTAGCTCATTCTTAAAGGTTTCTATGCGATCTATATCGAACTCGCCGATAAGATCCTTGCCTAGGGCCTGCCCCAGACGTTCCTTGAGGCCCAAAACGGGCCAGACAGGAACATGCCGATAGTTGATTGCGATTTTCGTATCTCCCTTCGGCGATTTGCCGGGCTCGTGGAACATGGCTAGGAATGATGTGGGTATTACGCTCGAATAGACGACAAAAGAAGAATCCTCTTTTGAAACCGCCAGGACGCGAACTTGAACATCCTTCGGCGTAAAATCCTCTCCCGTAAAGACATTTCCATACACATGCTGCTGAGCCATTGCTAGCATGGTAGCGAGGATGTAATGGTCCTCATCTAGATTCTTCGGTACCAACTTTCCTGATCGGATGGCTTGCAAACGGTGTATAGGACCATTGAATAATCCACCAGGACCAGGAGGTATTCGGTAACAGTTTCTTCTAATACGATTCAGAAAGTCACGATCCAGGTAGGCCAATAATGGTGTATCGCAGGAAGCCTTAGTGTCCTTCTCCTTGGCTACCGTCAAAAGATCGGACGAGCAGGTAGTAGCCGACTCAAATGAGCGCAAACCAACCGGGTCCTTGTATAAGGCCTGGCACCTAACCGCACTAATATATCGATCTTTACCGCATCGAAGTGTAAGTCTTGATAGATTAGTTGGAGATAATTGAGACGGGAATAGGCCTTCTAAGACGTTCTTCATTGCATCATTTTGCTCTATGTTAGAGACGTTATCTTGCATAATGACGTCAAGAGCGCGACTGATATTCACCACAGTTTGTGGTACCTTGGAAGGCTGAGAGTGCCATAACGAAGATGGAGATGACGGGCGCGAGGGTGTCGGCGTAGTCTGAGGAGCTTGTTGCACAAAGCGACAACCTAACACCTTTGTGTGTAATTCAGTCCAGCTCAACGGCGGAACATAGAGCGCGGTAGAGGCGTAGTCATGGAGAATATCATAAAGTGATCCAATTTGTGGCGACAAGATTTTGCGACACTTCGTTTTGCGATAGACTCGCTTTCGCTTGACCGTTACTTCTGTTGTGGTTGTTATGGTTGATCCCTGAGAGATCATTGTGATGGAGATATCGGGATGTTATCCCCTTAGAAAATAAAATGTTAGTAAAAAGGGCCAGGGGGGGGAAGGTACAAGGAAATAAAAAAAATATCGCTTAAGAAACTCACTGGAAGTGAAAGTGAAAGTGAGTTAAAGATCAGATTAGGTGAATTTAGGAGGCTGCAATTACACCTGCCTCCTTAATAAGGAACGGAATACAATACAATGGAAAAAACTAAAAGGATAAAAGATAAAAATAAAATAAAATACGCTGTACTTGTTGCCTTAATACAAATTTGGAAGGTTGCAAGAAGTACCGACTACAAATTAAAGGATAGAAGGAGCAATAATAGCTTAGGTATTAAAAAAAAATCGTACTTAATTGTTTTCTTTTGTTATTGTGCAACGTGAATCTGCACGACGTAAGGGGTGGACGAAAAAAAGAAAAAGGAAAGGCAAAAAAAGATGTAATAAAGTTTTGATACCGGGAGGCAACATGAAAGACGGGAGTGAAGACAGGAGTGGATGAGGGAGGAGAGAAAAAGACGCGACCTGGAGGGGCATTCCACCCGCAAACAAACGTGGATTGAGACAGCAATTTGAATGCGGCCAACTAGCACCAAGTCACCACTGTTGCGCGTATTCACCTGATCTTGTGTCGCCCCCCAAATAAAGTTAGGGCTAGGCTCCAGCCCTTTAGATCAAGGAGCGCCACATCTGTTGCCGTTGCGAGCCAATTGTATTCCGCGGTTTCCGGTTCTGTTAAGACTAACTGCCAAGCTTAGCGTCAGATGGCTCCAGGCATTGTGGATGCAAGTCATTTCATTAGCTTGATTAGCCTGATTGATTAGGTTGGTGACATGTCATCTATCTTTAGCTCGTGCAAGTTTGGTGTGAATTGGCAAGAGGGTACATCCCCAACACAGTGTCACAGTGTGGGGACATTTATGCAAACTCAGTCTTACTATGTACTCTACTATGTACCTAAGTACTTCATACTCAACGCGCTTAACTTTATGCACCTGCATTTATCCGAGTGGGGTACGTACTTCGGAGTGACGTTTCATTATCACTAACAATTTACACCGGGGAACGTCAGCCTCAGCTGTACCCAAACCCTGCAAGCCTAGCCGTCAACAAGAGGAATACCTAATAGGAGCTCCCCTTTTTGATAAAAACAAAGTATATCCAAAAGTGCAGGCTTGTCAAGCTACCACCGATTATTCTCTCGGTGAATTCTTGACAAGATGCCGGTATGTGCCTTGCTATTTTATTTGCCAGCTCAAGAACCTCCTGATAACCCTCCTCCCCCCAATAATATCAACAATAATCATAAGATCTCCTTGACGCCTAATACCTCGAAGTACCTTCGTCCTAGCTGCTAACAAGACTTTTACTATCAAACTATCAGGCCTACAACTCCATGTTCAACAATGACCCCAACATCCCGCGTCTAATAGGGAACTTCCCTCTCCTCCCCCTCCGCACCAAGACCCGCGGACCCGCGTACGTGCTGCCGCAGCCCAACCCGCCGCTCCCCGCGAACGAGAGCCCCGACCCGGACGCCGAGTCCTACGACATCCTCGACGAGGTGCTCTCGCTCTTCCGCGCCAACACCTTCTTCCGCAACTTCGAGATCCAGGGCCCCGCCGACCGCCTGCTCATCTACGGCATCCTCTTCGTGAGCGAGTGCCTCGGCAAGATCCGCCCCCAGCACTCCCTGAGGGACGCCACCAAGGAGGTCCTCAACACCGCCTTGGACCTCAACTTCGCCATCCCGGGCGACCCCGCGTTCCCCCTAAACCAGGTACGTTCCAGCTTGACTTGATTTTGCCTCCCCGGATACAGAAACACAGCAAAGCTTCACGGTAAGGGGAGAGGGGGTCTAACCTCGACGCACAGATCTACGAGCCCCCGCGAGACAGGCAGGATGCCGAGCAACTACGACAGTATCTCTCCCAGGTACGACAAGAACTAGCTTCGCGGTTACTAGCACGAGTTTACGAAGAAGATGACGCGAAGCCGAGCAAGTGGTGGTTGAGTTTCACGAAGAGAAAGTTTATGGGCAAGTCGTTGTAAGGAGAGGATACCGCCTCTACAATTCACAGGGATATCAAGTGTCGAATATCAAAAGAAGCCTGCCAAGCTGTCAAGCAAAGAATTCTTGTTATAGGGGTATCGATCGCAAGTGTATGCGAACTGAAAACTAGACTGAAGCTAGCTAAATGCTAGACTGTTATATCCCATTCCATGAAATTGGGTTCTATAACGCCGATAAATGCAACCGTATTTCCGTCCAGCTTACTTGGAAGTTTCTTCCTGTATCGGTCCTTCAAGCTTCCGTTTCCTGGTACGGGCTTTCCCTCTGGCTTCTATCTTGCCTTCTGCTGGCTTGACTCTCCATGCTGTGAATACGTATCCTTCCGCTCCGCCCCTACTTGTCATCAGGGGGTGTGTCCGTCCAGGAAGGACCTGCCATTTCCTAACACGGCTTGTTTGCAAAGCGGCTCCAAGCACAAGGGATGGGTTTAACGGGAATTCCTCGTTACCGGGCCACTGCTCCAGTTCTTGGTGGGTTTTACCCACCGCCTCTTCTGGCGGATTTGATACCCAAGCCGCGCGACGTGCTATGCTATAACAGTCAGCTAGCGCTGTTAGAGGTTCGATAGTCTGCGAGTAAATAGCGATAGGTGCGCCACCAGCAAGAAGCGGCACCGCATAGCGCATAATAGATATAGGGTCCATCGTGCTAGCAACTACCAGCCCAGAGAACTCGCCCTTTCGCGTAGTATCCACAACGTGACGAATCTTAGCCCAACGACGCCGCTTGCGGTGGTATGTGCCCCGACGATTAGCTTTCCACGAGCGGAGCGCCTCAGGTGACACGCTAGGCATCTTCGAGTTGTATGTGGGATCTGATTCTGGCTTGATGAGTTGCAACCAGGATATGGACATCAAGTGAGAGGCCAAGGGGTGGTCAGATGGCTGTGCGGGATTCGTAGCATCGAAACCATATTCGCGGAGAAAAGTCAGGTTCGGTTGTTGGTTGGCATGAATAACGGTGAGCGTGTTGGCACCCGCATATGGTACTTTTAGGTCGTTACACCGCGATTTCCCATCTCCATGCGATATTCTTGTATTCTGAGGGGACTTCGGCTCTGTGGAATCATGGTCCTGGGCTGTTGATTCCATGGTGGAGCCACTAGGTTCGTTGCTCGTTCCAGAAGGGGGGTCTTCTTTATTTGTTATGACTTTTTGGTTATGCGAATATTCCTTTTGATATGCACTGGATGATGTTGGTTCCTGGTTGTCCTCTGCAACTTTATTTTCAGGCGAATAAAGGATACCCATCCTCTCCGCCATAGCTGCTACTAGAAGACCGCCAGTGTCGTCCACAACAAGCCATCGTCCAGGTGTAGATTCGAAACCCTTTCCCTCGCGATCGCCGACTTCTTCAATATCGCATTGGTCCTCTCCACCAAAATGCACGTTGGCCCAGCAGCCTAATAACGCTATCATTTCATCTCTCATATCCAGTATCTTGCTTGGATCCTTTACCTCCAATTGCCAATGAGCGAGCATGGGCACATCCATAGGGAGGACAGAGAACCTTCGAATATACTTTTTCGTCTTAAGCAATTTATATTTGGCTAAAGAATACTGCGTCTTCTGGTCGATCGCCGTATGCGATAACAATAACTTGGCTATTATATCTCTTCCAGCATCTGTGCCATCTTTCTTCAAGGCTTCTATCTTCTCTGTCGTTAGAGTTTGGCGGGCTGAGGTATCGATTTCTACGCGATCGGTTCGAGCTACAACAGCACCAGATTCAGGATCAACGAGCGAGTACTCGATTCCAGTTGAAGTAGCATTCTCCGCATCATCACCTTCGTTGGTTATGGGAGTTTCTTCTTCCAGGGCACTGGCCGATGCATCAGAAGATAGTATATCGCTATACAGCTCAGAGGCTGGCACGATACGCAAGCGATTGAAACTCTCTCCCGGTTGCTTATCTTGTAATTCATAGGTCAAGTGGTATGGCCGGTGAATTATGAGATTACTTGGGAATGAGCCATACTTCCCTAAGGAGATTGTCCTATAGAATGAATGAACGTTAGTTAATGCAGTTACTTAAGATGGCCTACGATGACATACGTATTGGGGGTAACTTCAAGAACCCGAAGGTTTCCAGAAGGAAGCTTAAGAGCTACCAAAGCATGAGGTTGGACCAACGAGTGCATCTCGAATTAGCCTATTATCTTGGCGTCGAGAAACTCGAAGATCTTAAAGTTGTTGTTGATTTCAAGAATAAACTTTTTTTTTAGATATCAAATTTGGAGGTTAAACTTAATTGACCCTGGTTTGCAGATTTGGAGTGTAACCCCACTGTGGGACCAAAGCCACGTGGGGAAGTACATAAACCCAGGAGCCAGCAGAGCCCTATGCTACCTCCTAACTTACCTGTAGATTACATCTTACATAAGGTCCTAGGTTATCATAGAATAGGGGTATCATGTTAAATTAGAGTTGAAGAAACAACAACACAAACACAATTGGACTTTACATGTTGTTTTCTGGGGTTATGGGCCATACTATTAGCAATCAGTTTGCTGGCGCTTTTGACATAGATGTATAGAGATCCACAAAAACTTGAGTTCTCGGATTGGCTACGAACTATTTATTGCTAACGAGACGACAAGCAATGAATCATTTACTATGAGAGGGAACCCGAGTCATTGGAGCTTGACGAAGTATAAGAAAGTGATCAGGAGTGTGTCCGCAAGCGAGACATACGCCATGATACATGACGTAGCTATGACTTTGACAACTGGCGCAACGGTAACGTCAATATGTGAGCAACTCATCAATAGTACTTGCTGAAGCAGCCTAGCTGGAAGTCAGACTTGACTTTATGACATCTCTTACAAGTTGCCAGATATGACGGAGCATTTGGAGAGCACATCTGCAATCTTAGCGTTCCATATCCCCGAGGCTATGAAGATCTGGAAGAAGGCTACTATACAGATGGGCGGTACCGTGTTTTAGAACGTGACCGGCATATTGCTCAGGAGTGCATTAAACTCGCCGAGAAATAGATCCTTAGACACGGGGAAATGGAGGCCGGGGAAAGAAATGGTCAAGAATTGAATAAATGGCCTTAGCACTCTCAGCAGTGTTTATTTACTATAGCAAGGTGCGAAGAGTGGTTTGATTGCCTGTGCAGTAGTTGAGAATCCGTTACATGATGTAGCTTTTAATATTTAAACCGTCTTCAAGTTTATAAGTTTTTCACAAGTGATAATCAAACTATGCCAATCGTCCTTGCATGCGTCTCGACGTGGATGGTCAAATATATACCTTACATTCGCATTCTTACGTCAAAACTAGTATTACGTAGCCGACGTAGAAGACCTAGCCTTACGAGCCCCGAGCACGGCTTTACCAACGACAGAGTCGTTCTGTCTGCCCAACTCGTCAGAGATCCATTGCCCAATATCCGCCATAGCGTCGAGGTCGATGCCCGTGTCCATACCCAAGCTCTCGAGGAAGTACACCATATTTTCCGTCGCCACATTTCCAGTGGCACCAGGGCTGTACGGGCAGCCACCAAGACCACCGACAGAGCTATCGAAGGTCCTGATGCCGCGCTCGAGAGAAATCGCCGTGTTCACGAGGGCCTGGCCGTACGTGTCGTGGAAATGCATGGCAATGTCCTCGTTACGAATCCCCGCGGCCGCCATGCACTTCAAGAGCTCCTGGGTGCGGGGCGCGGTGCCCATGCCTGTGGTATCCCCGAGCGAAATCTCGTCAGCGCCCATCTCCAGCAGGGAAGTGGCGATCTCGGCCACCTTATGCGGGTTTACGTCGTGTCCCTCGAAGGGACAGCCCAGGACCACCGAGATGTAGGCCCGGGCCCGGATGCCTAACTGCTTCGCCCCTTGGATCACGTCCTTGAACATCTCGAGCGACGTCGCGATGTCGCAGTTCAGGTTCTTCTGGGAGAAACTCTCGGTCGCGGCGGCGAAAACTGCGATTTCTACTGCCGGCTTGCCTTTCAGGCCTGCGAACGATTCGGCTTCCGTCAGGTAGGCACCGGGGTGCTTTTGAAGTAGAGCTGCGGCATTCTCGAAACCCTTCGCGTTGGGGGCGAGGAATGAGTACGTGATCGGGACGGGCGAGGGGATCTTGTTCGTTAAGATGTGCTCGAGAATTTCGCTCGAGTTATCCATCTACAGTAGTTTCCTCTTAAGTCAGCTTCTATTCTATACTCATGCTATACTATTCGCAATTCAAGGGAGACTAACTTGTGGTACCCATTTCGGAGAGACGAAGGACCCAGCTTCTATGACGGACACACCAGTCTTAGCTAGCCTCTCAATGAATTCGATCTTGGTAGCCAGAGGAATTGATTTCTTTTCATTCTGTAAACCGTCTCTCGGTCCTACTTCAACTATCTTCACTCGGTTATCGGAGCGTGGTGGTTGCTGTTGTTGCTGTGTTGCTGATTCGCCTGGGTTTTTGACGTCGGAAGCTGTCGCAAAGCATCGTCGCCGAGCTGCTGCTGATGCTGCTGCTGATGGAGCACGGGTTGACACACGCCAGCGAGCTAACTGGATAATTGGGCGCAGCGACGCCATCTTTTATTCATATCGATCAGTTAAACCGCAATTCCCCTACTCATACCACATACCACCCAAAATTGTTGTTCTCTTCTCTTTTATAGACGTTCAATATTGCTCCTCAAAAGCTGCAAATGGAAATGGGGTAGACAGATGAACACCCTTGTAACTTGTAAGAGCTCGGCTACTAATGGTTCTTGGTTCGTCAGTTCGTTTTTAGAGGTATGCAGAAAGCCCGGGGGTACGTACCTATGAAGTCATTAGGTACCTTAGCGTCTTGGGGGAGGGTTTCTTAAACCGTATATATACTGCTTATGTACGACTCAAAAAATTGAAACGTTTTATACTGTAAATGGAAAATATTGCATTTATATAAATTAAATATAAAATTTAAATTAATAATTAATAAGTTTAAAACAAATAATTAAATATATAAAATACTTTTTCATTATATTATTTTATTTTATTATTTTTTTAATTTTTGTAATTATTTTATTTTCACGTTTTAAACGTGATTTCTTTAATTATCAATTCGTAATAAAAATATATATATTATAAATTTATAATATTAAAAAATGATAAAAATACCATTTAATTAATAAATTATAAAAATATAAATACATTAATAATTTAACCCGTTTATTATTATAAACCATATATATACGATTCGATATATTAACTTAAATATATACCGTTAAATTAACCTTTACCACGACGGTAAAGTACTTGCTAAGTCCAGGTCTTTTACTTAGATTACGTGTAAACGTGATCTATTGAAGAATGGGTTAGGTACCCAGGTACATGTAGGTACACTAATACGCAGTACGTACCTCAAGTACGGCATCGTGATGTTAATTTCTATTCAAATAGTTTGACTATTTTTCTACCTAGGACGCCTCCAAAGGGGGCCATGGTATGCCATTGCTATCTCTTCGCAGGCTTCCCAGATTCGCCGTCGATTGGCCACGTGCATTAAGGGGCCTATTATTCCCTCAAATACTACAACACAGAAAAACGTCCAGAAAAACAGAACTCTGTATATGTCCCTACCAGCCAGAGGACTTGTCTGGATAATTTGGTTTAATTCGAAGAACCAGGGAAAGCCATTCTTGATAAATGCTCTCCAATAATCATCTCTATCGCGAATCTTTGCGTGGACCCACTAAGACGCTCTAGCAAGGGCAATAATACCCTCCGCACGGAGGTATAGACAAATATTGAAGATGATATCGTCTCCTAGGTTTTCGAACGGGTCGTCTATCACTCGGCTGCTTAGGTCCACGAGCGGCAGTGGTTTAAGAATTGGTACTAGCACTATAATCTTCGCGATTTCAAGTGTTAATTCGGCTGACGGAGCTGGGTTTGCGATGAAGTACTCTTCGCCAGTGAAGTACTCCTAGTGTCCTTTGCGTCGATCCTCCGCGCCAGTCTGGACAACCAGCGAATACCCATCTTTTGTGAGATTGTGCATTACACGGTAAAGCCGTGATAGGTCCACATGCTGAACTGGTTTGTTCACGTCGGGATATATGCGGCGGGCCAATATTTCGTAGCACGGCCAATGGAAGGGAATGGCGCCTAAGGGCTGTGGTTCAGAGTCGTATTTGTAGCAAGTGTAATTGAACGTGCTGGGGATATCTAAGTTTTCCGCATCCGTGCCATCGAGCTCAATATACCCTAAGTAATTATATTTCCCTCTACCAGATATATAACCCCTGGGACGAATTAGCTAAAAGGATATCGTCCCAGGAGCAACAGAGCACCTACTTCTTTTCCGCGGAAATACTTTCTAATAGCAGACGGACTTCCGTGACCCAGGCGGCTCCTCTTTTGCTAATCACTTTAGGATCGTAGCCACACCCTATCATGGACTTCTCACTGATGAAATAAGTCGGCTCGAATGGACCACCACAGATAGCACAATAGCACCACTCCGAAGTGGTGATTAGTGGACGCCGCACCATGTCGTAGCGTTTCCGTAGCGTTTGCAGGTTAATGATAACCTTCTGTTTATGTGATATGATTTCTGCTTCAGGTGAATAGATCAGTGTTGTGATGTGGTATACTAATACTTTGATGCCGGAATGCAATGTAAGATGAAGGGTATGTCAAGATATTGGGGTTTCGCGTTGAAATAACGTTGGCTATAAATTAGCTCTGCCTATCATTACTTTCATTGCCTACCTCTTATCGAAAGCATATAAGGCAAGTGTCCTCTACTAAGAAAAACCTTAGGTTAGGTATCTATATGATGTTAAAGTTCCCTTATTACTTGCACCATATGCGTCCGTAACTTCTTGAAATGGACGTTGAGCTGATCAATACGAATGATATTGCGAGAGCTTCTCGTAAGTAATTAGCTCCTTTCCAATTGGTGTGATATGTTAAATTCAACTTTATCTACCTGTTATCAAGGAGTGGGTTGAATAACATCAAGTTTTGATACCAGAGGTATGAACCTGTATCAGAATTACATATAGGTACTATGTAGCTGAGTTTAGGTAATAGGGGGGGGGGAGGAGAGGGGGGCAAATTTCCATATTGCTATTGGACTGTACCTATACCTAGTACGTACCTAGGTAGGTAATCACATGCACGTGGTTTTGTGAATTGTGCACAGACCATGCTGTGGCTGTTCCCCACTCTCCGGGTGCTGCGCCAGCCTAGGTACATCAATGTAAGTGGGAGCTTTCAGGGTCCGGTTTTTTTAGAGCTTCCCGCCTCTGTAATCTAACAATCTACCGCCGTAATCTAACGTCAACGGTGGCTGGAGCTCGACATCAACTGCTTCATAGCCGAATCATAATCAAGCTTCTTCATTTGGAAGAGCTACACCTTCAACCTCCACTGTATTTTTGGACCCGATACACCTGTAATTGAGACATCATGGATCCTAGAGAGTCTTCTTCGTATTCCATTGTACCAAGGATTCGGTACAACACCGTCAGCGGTGTCAATGGTCCTCTAGTCATATTGGATAACGTCAAATTCCCGCGCTACAACGAAATTGTCACCTTAACACTTCCCGATGGAACAGAGAGATCCGGTCAAGTCCTTGAAGCCCGAGGTAAGCGTTGGGAAGCTTATATCGCATCGTTTCTGTATTTAACCATGTTTCATTATTACAGGCAACCGCGCTGTCGTGCAGGTCTTCGAGGGTACATCGGGTATCGACGTCAAGAAGACCAAGGTCGAGTTTACGGGAGAGAGTTTAAAGCTGGGAGTGTCGGAAGAGATGCTGGGACGTATCTTCGATGGATCCGGTAGAGCTATCGACAAAGGCCCTAAGGTGTTGGCTGAGGATTACCTCGACATTAACGGCAGCCCTATCAATCCCTACTCAAGAGTACGCATCTCTATAATGCAAGGCTATGTTAATGGGGGTGAAAGAAATCACCGCTTACCATATTGCTAGGTATACCCCGAAGAAATGATATCGACCGGTATTTCGACTATCGACACCATGAATTCGATTGCCCGAGGTCAGAAGATCCCTATCTTCTCTGCCGCCGGTCTACCTCACAACGAAATTGCCGCCCAGATTTGCCGACAAGCTAGCTTGGTCAAGCAAAAGGGGGCTACTAATAAGGGTGTGCACGACGACCACGAGGAGAACTTCTCTATCGTATTCGCCGCCATGGGTGTCAACTTAGAAACAGCCCGATTCTTTACTCAGGACTTCGAACAGAACGGCAGCTTGGAACGTGTTACGCTCTTCCTCAACCTTGCAAACGATCCTACGTACGGCCTACATTACTTTATTTTCTCTAACTTTATCGCGCATGTAGCTAATATTAAGCAGAATCGAGCGCATTATCACTCCTCGTCTCGCCCTTACGACCGCCGAGTACTATGCCTACCAACTCGAAAAGCATGTTCTGGTCATCCTTACAGACATTTCGGCCTACTGCGATGCCCTGCGTGAGGTTTCTGCCGCCCGAGAAGAAGTGCCAGGTCGACGTGGTTTCCCTGGTTACATGTACACTGATTTGTCAACCATCTACGAACGAGCCGGTCGTGTCGAGGGCCGAAATGGTTCCATTACCCAGATTCCTATTTTAACTATGCCTAACGACGATATTACACACCCTATCCCTGATTTGACGGGTTATATCACGGAGGGCCAAATTTTCGTCGATCGCCAGCTCGACAACCGTGGTGTCTACCCGCCTATCAACGTGTTGCCATCCCTCTCTCGTCTCATGAAATCCGCCATTGGTGAGGGAATGACTCGAAAGGACCATGGTGATGTGTCCAACCAACTTTATGCCAAATATGCCATTGGCCGTGATGCTGCAGCTATGAAAGCTGTCGTCGGTGAAGAGGCCTTGTCGGCCGAAGACAAGTTGTCGCTAGAATTCCTCGAGAAGTTCGAGCGGCAATTCGTGACACAGGGCGCATACGAACAACGAAGTATTTACGACTCTCTAGACATCGCGTGGAGTCTCCTCCGTATTTTCCCTAAGGAGTTTCTTAACCGTATCCCCGGTAAGATTCTCGACGAATTTTACACCCGCTCGGCTACGGATCGAAAGGAAAAGGGGAAGGAGAAGGAGAGAAGTGATAAGGGTGTTAAGGACACCGACGCACCCCAGGAGGAGGAGAACCTTGTCGACGTATAATCAATTAGACACCAAAGGGGGCGTAAGCGCGACAGATGTGTATAGGGCAGTCGTATTACGACGGAGTACAGGTTACTTATCAGCATTCAATACAGTGGTTGTTCCATTGATTTTTGGAATTCATGAGGAAGAACTTATTCACATTATTCACGTCTTATGCAGGGCCTTTTTTTCTTTTCAGCGTGCGGCTCAAATACCTGACAAATCGAAATGCGAGTTTACTTGGCAAAACATCATGGCAATATTTGTTATAACCTTGTGTGTTAGAATCAAGATACTAGTCTGAAATACTGGTCTGAAGACTTGCAAAAATTCATACAGCTATCTACCTAGGTTAAGTAATCATACTTCTGATCGACTTGCGGGTATAACTCCAAGCTAGGTTCACTCGGTACCTTTCGGGAATAACAGACCGGAACTGGGCTGGGTTGCTTGCCCTTACCGGCTCGGCCATTTTATGCTTATTTACCCCGCACTGTAAGTAAGGGTGCCTAATCTAATAGGTTAGCCTACCTAGGTACCTTAAGCATCAATAAAACATGGGGATGTTGGGATTTGAAAGATTCGAAATAATCCTCCTAGGCAGCTAGGTAAAGGTATAAAAATCCATCATTCACGTGGTTCACTTGTGCTACTCAAATTCTCGCACCAATTGGTGAACATCCATGCTTTTCCCGCCATTTCCCACATTTTCTCCATGTTTGCTGTAGAAAAAAAAAAACCGGCGGCCTTTCTGTAAACGGCAGTGGGTTTTATTACGAACAGATCGGGGAATCCTGTCTCAGCGGAAGGATACTAAATCACGGGGGCAAGCAAGCCTCGAACGTTCTTTTCTTTATTTGCTGTTGTGTATGCGTCGCCGGAAGCACGCCCAACAGACCAGAAGTCATCTTACATAGTATATACGCCTCGAGCTAAGCCATAAATGCTAGCGAGAGGAATGTACCTAATGCAAGGCACAAGAAGTTGTTCAAAGGGAGGTTGGAGTTGCACGGAAGATCCCTCCAAAGCTTAATATTGCAGGGCTTAACGTCATTGAGGAAAAGCAATCTCCAAATGACTCCAGTGGGGTAACATAACACCAGGCCGGCCAGGTTGGACAAGTATTCAGCCCAGCCTTGAATGAGATTTACTACCTAATTAACCTTTCTTAGTCTATCAGACTTCGAATAGGTAACTCGACTTCGTGGGATCCTTTACAAAGATTCCGAGCACGTTGCCAACTCCACTCCGGTACTGATATAGGTATAGGATCCATCTCGGGTAACTCTAGAGTCTATACTGTGTTGGTAGAGAAATCCTTCTCGTAACACTCCAACTTAGCTGGTTAACGCCGCCAGGTAACACATGCCTAACTTACCTATACCGCCTCTTTACGAATATCAAACCTTTATAATACCTAGTGTATCTACCTAGTTTTCTCCCAGGTACCTAAGGTAGCGAGCCGTCTCCTTGGGCTCGCAGTTATTGGGTAGTGCTGGTTTTTTCAACCTGCACTGTGACCCGCAAACATGCGATAAACAAAGAGCCCTCTTACGTGCAAGGAAAACGACCGCCAACTCGGATTCCAACGGACTAGCGACTTACTGAATTCGTGCCGTGATACCACATGATTTAGATGAGGCCAATGCAACGCTGCCTTGCAAGTTACGTCGTCTACCCCAACTTTTCCAAGAAAGCGGAGTAGCTTTACAGGCCTCGCATAAGCCGTAGCTGGGGATCGCCGGGGCTGCTGGGGCTTGCTAGGGTTAGCTGGAGTTCGGATGCAGGTGAGATTAATAAAATTCCCCAGCTTTACACAGTACTCCCCCTCTGTCTCCCTGTAAGTAGACAACGTGATGAATCTTCTACATAGTACCCTATCCCAACCTATTCCCATTGTCCAACCAAATCAAGTTTCTCCCGACGGGGTTCATCCTTTGATGACTGAATTCATATAAGTCACCAATCCTTCCCCGGGATTCCTGTCGCTTTTTGCTTTACTTTCGCTCTGCCTTCCTCTCTCACCGTCTATTGCGGCGACTACAAAGCATCAGCACCACGAGTCAACATGCGTCTACACAATAGCCTCGCTTCTTTGGGGGCCTTTTTGCTACCGTTGACCGCAGCACAATCGCCCGGCGGTACTGGGAGCAGCAATGTGTCAAGTAGTTTGGGTCCCGATGAGCATGGCTTTTATTGGATCTACAGCGAGGGACTCTCCGCCGCCTTCATTCCTTACGGTGCTTCCGTCGCAAAGCTCTTGGTCCACGATCAGTACGGTATTGAGAGAGATGTTGTAGCCGGCTTTGATAATGCTACGGCCTATACGCTTGACAAAACCCATCCCCATCTCGGCGGCGTGCCGGGCCGATACGCAAACCGCATCAAGAATAGTACATTTGAGATTGACGGCGAAACCTTTCACGTTAAAGCCAATGAGAACCCCACGCTGGAAGCTCCTGATGGTGTCGACACCCTGCACGGTGGCCCCAATGGCTGGGACTTCCGCAACTTTACTGTCGTTGCTCACTCCAATGATAGTATAACATTCTCAATTGTGGATCCCGACGGCGAGCAAGGATTTCCCGGAGAGGTGATTTCCTATGTAACCTATACTCTGCACGAGTTCACTTGGGATATCAAGCTGGTGGCTATCGCAACTACGAAGAAGACGCCCATCATGCTTAGCAGCCACACGTACTGGAACTTGGACGGCTTTGCCAATAACGAGACCAACACCGCCTTAAACCACACTTTCTACCTGCCCTACAGTGGCCAGCGAGTTGGTGTCGACGATATCCTGATCCCCACAGGTGACATCATCGCCAACAAGAAGGGATCGGTGAACGACTTTTGGAGTGCCCCGAAGCAAATTGGAACCGACCTTCAAAAGCCTGACGCGGAGGGTAACTGCGGTTTCAACTGCACTGGTTATGGTAATTACCCCTGTCACAATGAAAATCGTAGATGAGAAGACTAACTTATTCTAACTAGACAATTGCTGGCTTGTCAACCGGGATCAAGAGGGCCCTTATGACTGGCGCGCTGAGGGCGGCTTTGTCGCTCGTCTGCACTCGGAATGGTCAGGCATCCAGCTGGATGTGTACACGGACCAGGACGCATTCCAGATGTACTCATGCAACGGCCAGAACGGCACGATGCCGGTCAAGACGTCGCAAGGTCTTTTCGACAACGACGACTTCCCTCGCACGATTCCCAAGTACGGCTGCCTCGTCATGGAGGTTGAGGACTGGATTGACGCTATCAACCACCCCGAGTGGCAGCGCGAGTCCAAGCAGGTCTTCAGTCCCGGCGGCGACCCTTACGTCCTCCAGGCCAGCTACGTCTTCAGCATAAACACCACAAAGTGTTAAGTGGACGATTGTAAAGGTAGTTTGGGGTAACGACGATGGTAATAATTATATAATAGGATTAGCCGCGGCGCTGTAGCTTAGGGTGGCGCGGTGAATAGATGTTATACACATTGGGTATTTATATTACTTAGCGCTTCGTTTACACTGCCGACGTTGGCGCCGCATTTAGTATTTACTTAATAAATTTAATCAGCCAGCTTTGACGATGGGAATATTCGTTAGACTTTTAAAGTGGCTTATATGATCAGAGGTATTTATATATAAGAGCCTGAGATATGACGGATATAAACAGCATAGGCAGATGACTATTTTGGTGGTGAAGGACTCCCCTGCCAAGACTAGGGAAGCTATTAACGGGTAACTCATATAAGTCGCATGTTTACCTAGGTAGATAAGATACGCTATATATATAGCAAGTTATGTTCTGAGGATGACTCTTTATTATTATTATTAGGTGCGTACCTAAGGTACCAAAGAGTGTCTCTTTAGATGCGGCTGGAAATTGTACCTAGGTACGTACCTGACGTATGCAAGACAGACATATAAAAATGCCTTGATGTATTCACGGGTTCGATATCATAAGATGAATGTAAAAAAAAAAAAAAAAAAAAAAAAAAAAAAAAAAAAAAAAAATTTTTAAAAAAAAAAAAAAAAAAAGGATAAGAATTACCCAGAGGGGGGACGAAACCAAAACAAAGAAAACCCAAAAAATTGTTAAAATTTTTGTTAACAAACACCCCCGGCG